TAAACGGAATGAATTAAAATGGCGTCGAATATTTTCTAATTTGTTATTTGTTCTAGAACAAATCTGAAGTTGTCTCTGAAACTGAAATCTGTCAATTCTAAACTGTGAAGTTAGACAATAGTTAGACAAAAACAATGCTGTCCTTGTCTAAGCGGCTATACTTGTCGTGAGGAGAATGACAGGAATGACACTAATAATGACTGTTTCCAATTTTCCTATTTCACTGTCACCCCCCTGGGGCTGACTAAAGACAGGATTCTCTCCAAAAAAAATCCTTTATGGGATTATTTTTTAATTTTTTATTTTTTCGCCACTACACTGCAAGAAAATCTACAAAATAAAATAGTTATTTTTTGTAAACACTTCTGGCGTTAAACCTAAACGGACGCTGCTTGTCAGAAGTTATGTTTACAGTAATACAAATTTGCCTAATGAAGAAAAAAATGGTTTAATTGATGTTCATTAATTGTCAATTTTCTTGAGCCGCTGTAATTAAATCTGTTTCTAGTCGCTAAATCTGTTTCTAGTCGCTGTAATTAAATCTGTACAATACTCAATTTGGTGTTGGTCATTAAATTTCTTTCATTAATGATCTCCCGTGATAAGTATTCTTTGGAATTAGAGATGTTTTTGCTATCATGTATGTTTGGGATTATGTTCTTTACCAATGTTGTATGGTTGGAATTATGCTACTGACCAGTGTAACCGTGCCTAGATTTTCTGTAGACTGATGTCAAAATCCTGTTGTCTTGTCTGTGTATCTGTATTTCTAAAGGAATAAAAGAGCCGTTGTTCTTGTACTTCTATGTGGAAATTAATACCTACTTGGTGATACGTTATTCAGGTTTAATTAGAACTGATATAGACTGATTGCTTCTTTGTTCCATATTATAAATGGGGTATTTGTCATTAACACATCGTAACGATGGTGTCGGTTTATGAGGTGATATTTTAAGTGCCTGTTTTGGCAACTATTGGTGACAGGCCTGGTAGTAAGCCTTCTTCTTGTTTGAAAAAAGAAAAGGTCATCCGTGACTTGGAAATATACCTTTCTGTAACGCAATAATGTTTTTGTAATGGCAATTATCTAGTGACACTTAGTAGGTATTTTCAAAATCGACATTAGTTTATGGATCTTTATGACCAAGAATCCAAAAATGAAATAAAATACCATGTGTTCCATAAGAAAAAATATAACTTTGGTATGGATCTTAGTTCTGACACACCCTGTACATTTGAAAATAATTTTAAATTATGCACATTGCCTCTCTACATATACGCATAAAAAAATTTGTTTCTACATCTTTCCGTTTTCGTATAATCAACCGAAGCGAATGAGGTGCGCCACCCTGTATATTAGATGTAAACCAGTGGCTTTGCTCAAAAATTTCTTTTTCACTCGGTATTTAGCTTTGTTTAACTTGACTTTTATTTTAATAAGACACATCCAATTATACAACAGAATACAAATCGGTATTATAGTCGGTACATGTGCAAGTACATTTTCAATTTCAATTTCCCCATAAAAAAAAGCCGTACTTGTATTACTCTGAAATGCAAATTTCATGTTCAAACGTACTTCTTAGCGAAGATAACCACTTACAGTGGCGTACTACGAATGCTTACCGCATAATATTGATTAATGTAAGTAGCTAGCGTTTACTAATTTTCCCATCATATATTTCGGTTCCGTTAGATCATTATATACCATCCGGCCGTAGTACTCCAATTAACTATAGAAAAAGAAAATCACCTGAGAACAGGAAAGGCGTAATACTCTCAGGAAATACATTCAGGAAAATGAAATTTTCTTCAAAATATTTTGTCAGTTAAAATGACATTTCGAAATTAAGAAATCGCATAAATATTATTGTTTTAAATGGATCTATTTTATAATAGTGCTCTTTTCAAAACTAATTCTACTAAAAACTCTATATCTACATATTTTATATCATAGTATATACCGGGTGCGTCTCAAAAGTGGCTCACCTCTATAACTTTTTTATTTTTCCAGATAACAAAACGAGATTTGGTATGTTAGTATATGACATAAATTAGGAGTGATTGACGTATTCAATTGGTTTTGGTCACTATTTATTTCACCGGAAATGACTACAACTTTTGATTTTTAAATAACACATAGAATATGACACTCTGAATAGAATGACATATACATATATAGGTATATCATATGTCAAATTTTGACATTTTTGCATATGGTTTATTTGAAATTGTAACATGCGATTCATAACGACAATTTGACTCGAAATACAAGTGTGTGAATATCAATATTTTATCCTTTTTGATTTTTATAAATATTTTTGTTTTTCGAAATTGATGTTTTTCAACAATTTTTCTTTTTAGAGTTAAGCGACATTCATTTCATTGCCTTCGCTGACCCCGTTTTTTTCTTTCGAACATATTGTACTTGACAATAATTTGAGATTTTTTGAAAGCAATAAATAGAAAAATTACTTTAAAAAAAGCCAAGAAATGTATTATTGGAATTTTACAAAATAGATTAAAATGAAAATTGGAGCTACACAGCCATATTAGTATAGATATAATATATAAAATCCTTAAGTGACTCACTGATTAATCACGATCCTGCTCAAACCACCCAACGTAAGAAGCACAATTTTGGCATACAAATTGATTCTAGGGTGTAGATGTAGAGGTTTGATAAGAAGGGATTTTTCGAAATTCCAGTTCCAAGGAGGTGAAACTACCCCTCAAATATTACAATATTTTAGTATTGAAAATACTTCTGGCCGCGTTTATATGGGACCCATCTTCGAAAAAACGACATGCTCGAGCCAACATGGGTTCGATAACCTGCCTGTCAACACGTCGATAGTTTAGCCGGCGTTAGGAAAATGTAATAGGGCAAGGACATTCGAAGGCCGAAATGAGGTAGAGGTCGTTTTTAAAAATGTATATAGGGTGTTTCGAAAAATCTGGTCATTGATTAATCACGATCCTGCTTAAAGCACTTGACGTAAAAAGCTGATTTTTGAAAAACGGATTGACTTTAGGGTGTAGAGGTTCGATAAGAAGAGATTTTCTGAAACTCGAATTCTAAGGGGGTGAAATCACCCCTCAAATATTAGAATATTTTTTATTTAAAAACCGGTGAGTTTTAAACCGGAAAAGCTCTTAAACACGTATATTTTATTTTGTTGTTTTACATATTTTAAGATTTTTTAAAAATTTATACAGAGTGTTTTATAAAATATGACCATTGTGTAATCACGATTCTGCTTAAATTGCTTGACGTTTGAAGCTAATTTTTGGCAAACGGATTGACTGTGGAGTGTAGAAGTTCGATAAGGAAGGGTTTCCAAGAGGGTGAAAACGCCCCTCAAATATTACAATATTTGTTATTTAAAAAACGGTTAGTCTTTCGTGAAAGCGCTTGGACACGCATAATTTTTCTTTATCATCACCATTACAAATGATTAATTCGACTCGAACGAAGTCGCGGGTACACGCTAGTTTTATATAAAATCAATCGATCTGGTTCCTTGGAAGAAATTCCCTCTATTAAAAATATACTAATTACTTTAGGATTAACCTAGAACTTAGATTTGCATTTCCATAACAAAACAATTAATGTCGATCGTAATTCATAAGCTGTTTACAGTTTTAATAACCCCAACAAATGCGCTTCATTGTCAAGGTTTCTGGAGCACCGTCCCATTAATCGATTCCATTCACAACGAAAAACGTTTCTGAATGTAAAATATTTCATTGATTGAGTAGGTTAGAATAATAATAACATTTTGTTTCAATATAAACATTTCGTTAATGAATGGATTAATTTTTCGGATTAAAATGTTTAGATACAATTTTTAAGACTTATGTCAATTCCACTAAGTTTGTAGAATATTTTTTAATAACTATATAAGATGTTAATTTTTAATAAAGATGTTGTATGTATAATAAAGATAAGTATGTTGTATATATATACCTACCGGGTGTTTTTCCAAAGTGGTTCACCCCTAAAACTTTTCTATATTTTCAGACAAAAAAACGAGATTCGGTATGTTAGTATATGACATAAATTTAATCAGGGTTGATCGACGTATTCAATTATTTCGAAATACTTAGGTGCCATATTATCCGTAAATAATGTCTTTTTTCCAAAGAAAATCGATGATGAAGATTAACTCTGGCGCCATTTTTATTAATCATACCGGGTGCGTCTCAAAAGTGGCTCACCCCTATAACTTTTTTATTTTTTCAGACAAAAAAAGCGAGATTTGGTATGTGAGTATTTGATATAAATTACGATTGATTGAAGTATTCAATTGTTTTCGTTCACTTCCTGTGTTACCGGAAATAACTATAACTTTTGATTTTTAAATGGCACCCTCGGTATTTTGTTACTTTATTCGATAGAAAATGACCCTTTGAATAGAATGACATATCATATGTCAATTTTGACATTTTCGAATATGGTTTATTTGATATTGCAACATGCGATTTATTACGACAATTTGACTCGAAATATACCAAGTGTCTGGTACCAAATTATTTGTACAAAAATGCTTCTAACATAGCCTGCTTTCAGCGAGAATGTCAAAAGTTGACATATGATATGTCATTATATTCAGAGAGTAATTTTCTATCAAATAAAGTAAAAATATACCGAGGGTGCCATTTAAAAATCAAACGTTGTAGTCATTTCCGGTGAAACAGGAAGTGGCCGAAAATAATTGAATACATCTATCAATCCTAATTTATGTCACATACGAACGTACCAAATCTCGTTTTTTTATCTAAAAAAATAAAAAAGTTATAGGGGTAAGCCACTTTTGAGACGCACCCGGTATAGTATTATATCACATTTATTCGTCAATTAATTATACTCGTGCAAAAATGAACTTATACGAATTGACCGCCTCCCTTATTAGATTATTTACAAACAAACGAGTTTCATTAACAAACCTGAGGTATTAATACGATTGTTAATAAAGGATTGTTTTTATTAATTACAGATTAGATTTACACCACCAGATCCATCCTGAAGAACGTCAATATGAAGATTTTCTTGCCATTTCTCATGTTTTTAGTGTACGTAACAATAGTGTCTGGTTTTGGTAACACTGAAGATAGGTTCATAAAGAAATATGCAATGATGAAGGTAAGTTACACTAAAATTATTTGACTTTTTTTATTTAATATTTATTACAATCACAAGCATTTTATATTCTTTATATTATACAAAAGTCTTAAATAAGTGGTGCTAATATTTTCAAAGTGGTATATCTCGATAAAAAATATACATATTTTCTTTTTGGCGTTTTCCAATTTTTTTCCAAAAAACTCCAAAACAGCAGAATTATTTTACTTAGAAAATTAAAGAAAAAATATATTTTGCTTAAATTTTGAGAATTAGTGAATTTTTTTTTGGTTTTTTGTTTCTATAAATTTAATCTACTTATGTCATATTATTTTTTTTTTCACAAAAAAAACTCATAGACGTATTCCAGATTCCTGGGGTCAAAATATACCACCACTAAAAATATTTGCATTTATTTAAGATTCACCCTGTATATTCTAAAGTTGAATATTAACGCTATTAACAAAAGATCCAGTTGTTATAAAATTATACACTCACCACCGCACAGTGGGCAAAAATCCAGAAGTATGTTGCAAAAATTCTTTTTTTGTACGATTTTATTCAAATTTGGTAAAAACATTCTATGCCAGTAGGCCGTGAACCCTGTTAGTTTTGGCTGACTTGAGAGTGGTTGGGGGTGGTGGAGGGGATTCATAAAATGGAAAAATCATCTGTTGACTAATATAGCTACCAAAATGCGGTAAGAAAATTTTACATTTCACTAAATTTTACGATTTTTGGCAGAGCCAAGATGAAACAGACAAATATTGAGCAATTATTACTCCTCCGCCATATACAGGGTTTGTTTTATATATTGACATCTTCTGTAATTTTTTTTATTCGACGTTTTCGAAAAAAGTGTCTTGAATAAAAGTTTAATGGCCTCGAATACATTTTTCAAAACAGTCTCCTTTGCATATACAGGTTTGCATATACTGTGCATATACAATCCTGTGTGTGGCCCAACTTTCTTATTTCTAATTAGTACCCAATTTTTTATTTGATTTTTATTTTCTCCTAAAAATACTTTTTTGTAGCATAGCCTATACCTAATTTGAAATAAGATAGTTGAACCACGCCCAGACTTTTTGAAGCACTTTGTATATGCGAAATAGACTTTTTTGGCAAATTTATTCAAAACCACTTTCATTTGAGACAGTTTTCGGAAACGTCAAATAAAAAAGATAAAGGGGGTGTCAATGTATAAAAGAAAACCCTAGTATACTAATCCAATCGAACTTTTATTCAAAATTGTTTGTCATTTGAATAAGTTGGGTCTCTAATAATACCAGACAACATGTGAACAATATTTTATTATTATATTTTAAATAAGTAACAATATCCCGAGAATTAAACAATAACGATTTAGAAAATAACAGAACTTAACAGAACTTACCTAAAAATATCTAAATTTTATTTTACCACGTACTATTTACTGATATTTTGTTTTATAACAGCTGGAAGCAATGGTCACAAAGTGCACATTTTTAAATCTAAAAGAAAAATCCATTTCATTTAATTTAAAAAATTAGGTACTGTCAAAATTTGTCAATTTGTCAAAAAATGTCATTTGACATTTATGACATACCTCTTCGGAAAGCTTGAGAAAAGTTACGTAACTTTATATTTCAAGTTCTTCTCTAGCTCTAGCTACTATAACAATTAATTTATGAGAAGTATCCACATAAAGGATGTTACTATACATATACGCATGGAGGCTTACGCTTCCAATAAATTTAATGTTTTTTTGAATAATGATTTTTTTGACTTAACTTTTCTAAGACTTTTTTTTTCTAAACTTTTCTAAGATAGAATATATGCCACTATCAAAAAAACCTTAAATGATTATGTTCTACTTTGACCTTCACCTAGTTTTTATCCAAAAAATCAAAATAAAACATACTTTTTTACTTACCTTCACATTAAATTTACCGCAACCGGGAATCTACGTAAAACACGTTATGACAATTTTACAATAATTATTTACAGTAAGCTAAGGTCGTCCGATTCAATTGTTATAATACTGTGTCACTTGAATGCAACGCCCCTACTATTTAAAAAATTGTAGAAAAAAGGCAGTTATTGGACACACATTATCTGAAAAAGTAGGTTTTGCACAAAGTTCGTTTTACAGCCCCTCGAAAGAGACTCCGAATATGTTTTTTTGTTAGTTTTATGTGGTTTCCACTTAACTAATATGTTTCCAATCTAATGTTATTGCCATAAATGCTAACTGTGGATGTTTTTTTTTGCAACTTGGTTTGGACGTATTGCCTACTGTGCACCGGTACGAAAAACGGGCACCTTAAAATGTTGATATATTTTAAAGTTTTGTATATTTTGTTCTAGTGGGTCGATTTTGGTTTGTCACTGTCATTGAAAACGAAAAGTCATATTATTATTGTTTATTGACGTTTACTCTAGTAGAGATGGTTTTAAGTGGTTTTAAGTTCTGAAGTATCGGCTATTGCTGCTTTAATTGATCATGGTAGAGATCAACATTTGGACTTAAAACCATATCTGCTAGAATAACTACCCAGCAGACAATAATAATATGATTTTTTAAAGACAGTGACATTCATACCTATTTCTTAGTTTTCGTACAACCCTGTATTTTATTACTATTGATCATTCTTGAACACAACATATACCTATATAATTAATATACAGGGTGGTCCGAACTGTATTCCGGAAACTTCGGCACCATATTTTACTGATAAAAATAAGTAAAAAAGTTTATATAAATGTATATCCTAAAATGCTTAGTTTCGGAGATACAGGGTGTAGAAGTTTCATTTTTATTTCGATTTTTTCCAAATAATTTCTGAAGTAACGTCAATATTTGGATGAAAATTGGTGTCTGGGAGTTTTTTGACACGAAAAATGATTTTAATGTCAAAATTAAACTATTTGTAGAGGGCGCCACCTACATGTGTTTTAACTGTTCTGAAGAGTAGTAACTTTTTGTCCGTACCTGTATAAAGCTACTGAGTAAAAAAATATACATTTGCGATGTTTTTTACGTAAAAAAGGTCTCTTGGTAAAAGTCGCTACGAGCAACCGTTCTCAAGATATTTACAAGGAAATAGTCAATACAGCACAAAAACATTCCAAATTTATGATTTTAGTCTAATAACTAATTAGTCAACATGTTTAATTTATGTCAATAATGATGACAGGTATTGGTAATTTCGATTCCAAATATCTCGAGAACCACTACTCGTAGCGATTTTTACCAAGAGACCTTTTTTACGTAAAAAACATCGTAAATGTATATTTTTTACTACATAGTTTTATACAGATACGCACGAAAAGTTATTACTCTTCAAACCAGTTAAAAATACATAGATGGCGCCCTCTACAAGTAGGAGCCATATTCACATTGAAATCAAATTTCTCATGTCAAAAAACTTCCAGACACCAATTTTTATGCAAATATTGACGTTACTTCGGAAATTATTTGGAAAAAATCGAAATAAAAATGAAACTTCTACACCCTGTATCTCCGAAACTAAGCATTTTAGGACATACATTTATAAGAACTTTTTAAATTATTTTTATCTGCAGAATATGTTGCCGAAGTTTCCGGAATACAGTTCTGACCACCCTGTATATACAGGGTTGTTCACCACATACGACACGGAGTATTGTAGCTAAACGATGAGATTTTTACAAATTGTAAGTTTTGGGTTCGATGAAGGACTATTAGAGGTACAATTTAAAAATAATTTTACAAGATACAGAGTGTCCCAAATAAGTAAAAAATATCAAAGTTGTATTTTTTTAAATGGAACACCCTGTATATTATTACATTTTTAGTTTCTACGATTAAAATAAAGGTAAATTTGATAAGATTTATTATACTTAAAACTTACCGTTTTTGAAATATTTTCAATTTTGTGAAATTGCTGTAAAAATTTTAAGGCTTCATTTCTCCAAGGGTATCAAAGTTTTTAAAACTAAATATTTACTGAAGTTTATTTACTGATCAGTTATTGTGTTGCAATTATAAAAATAATACTACCTTATACAGAGTGTCTAAAAATTTATTTTAAATAATTATTAGCTTCAAACGGCAATAACTTGTTTTATTTAAATGGAACACCCTGTATATTTTACGAGAATCAGATGCACAATTTAATTGTCTATCAAATTATATTATACCATTTTTTACCTATCTCTTTAAGTTTCTGTGGAAAATACATTTTCTTGTAATTTAGAACTTATTTATCAATATACCCATGGACTATTGACATTTTAGATTATTTTTAAAGATGTACCACATTTTTAAAGAGTACAGATACTAATATTGTCGATATAATTTGTTTATTTTATTAAAAAATAAAAAAAAACTGTTTAAATATTTGTTAAAGAGGACCAATTAATATGATTTCAGTATTCAAACTACATTAACTGACTGTTTGCGTTGATTAATAATAATTGCTCCAAATACTAAAAAACTGAATTTTGTATGGGCATTAGACAGTGTGATAAAAAGTAACACCTTAAAAATGATATTTCATTTTTTAATAAATGCTTATTTATAACTACAGAGACTTTAATTTGATAACTTATTATTATATTGATTTCTGACTCAAATCCACATTTATTTATAATAATTTAATAACGAACACAATTAAGTATGTAATTAATTAGTATATGGGCGCAAATAATGGTGTTATATTTAATTAATGGTATACTCTTTTATAAAGATTTAAATAGTTTTCTTTTTGCATACAAATGGGCTAGTAATATTATCGTTTTGCTAAAAACGATAATATTACTAGTCTGTACATTTTGTACATTTGTTGCTTTAAAAACAATCTAAAATGTCAATATTCCATTGATATATTGATAAATGAGGTCTAAATTATAAGAAAATGCATTTTATACGAAAACTTGAAGGGATAGGAAAAAATAGTATAATACAATTTGATAGACAATTTAATTGTGCATCTGATTCTCTTAAAATATACAGGGCATTCTATTTAAATTAAAGAACTTATTGCCGTTTGAAGCTAATAATTATTTAAAATAAATTTTTAGACACTCTGTATAAGGTAGTATTATTTTTATTATTGCAACACAATAACTGATCAATAAATATACTTGATTAAATATTTAGTATTAAAAACATTGATACCCTTGGAGAAATGAAGCTTTAAAATTTTTACTGCAATTTCACAAAATTGAAAATATTTCAAAAACGGTAAGGTTTAAGTATAATAAACCTTAATCAAATTTACCTTTATTTTAATCGTAGAAACTAAAATGTAATAATATACAGGGGTGTTCTATTAAAAAAAATTCAACTTTATTATTTTTATTTAAGGACACTCTGTATCTTGTAAAAATATTTTTAAATTGTAGCTCTAATAGTCCTTCAACGAACCCCAAACTTACAATTTGTAAAAATCTCATCGTTTAGCTACAATACTCCGTGTCGTATGTGGTGAACAACCCTGTATAATTATAGAGCTGAAATAATTGAATGTTTTGTGTCCATTGGAGATAAAGGCAACCATTTTCATAAAAGGTTATTTATTAAAAAATAATTTGAATATGAAAAATTGAAACAACACGATTCGTTTTTAATTCAAAATATAATACTAAAATAAATCGAATAGTCATAGAATTAGACACATTAGACACATCTATTCCTTTCTAGTAAGTGTTTTTTAATATTTGTAGGTATGTGGTTCTGTGATTTTAAATGTACGAGTACGATATTTTTAGTAAAAAACTCCATGTTATTTTGGTCATAATTAAAATATTTTATATTAATTTTTAAATGGTTGCATTTATCTACAATGGACACAAAAATTCATTTTACACGTTAGTTCAGCTCCATTAATAATTAATAATTTAATTTGTTACTCCGTTAATCATTTAAATTAATTTTGTATTACATGTTATTAATTAACATAATGTGTTATATTTAAGTAAATATGTCGATATTAATGAAATGCAGAGTTGTAAAAAATAAAAATTTAAAAGCTTTAAAAAATTATATGCAGCGTAACTTTGAATATGGTATTTACTTTTCATTCTAAACAACTTTTTTAAGAAACTTTTTTACAAATTTTGAAAAATTAAACAACTTTACTTTTGAGGGAATTCATCATTTTGGAGCTTCCCCGTATAGAAAGTAAAATACTTGAATATTGCCTATAGTCTGTCCAACAAATCAGGGAAGATTTCGACAAACGACATCCCAAAATGACACAAAAACCAACTGTCACTGTCAGGGATCCTCTAGTTAGACAGACTATGGAATATTTGATCTTTGACAAGTTGCAGGCTCTTACCAAGAAAAATAAATTCTGAGAAATCTAAAACAAAAAGTCCATACGTGTATATGTTCAATATTGTTGGAGAATGTATATCTATGCAATAACAAATAAATGTCAAAAGAAAAATAGCTAATCTTTATTTTTATCTCAATTTTTATTTGATTTTGCTGGGATTTTGAATAAATTTCCTCAACTCTTTCTTTGTGTAAGAGAATAATTTCTACATAAATATCTACATAATACCATCATGTTCTACATAATCTCAAAAATGACAAAAACCTGCTCCAAATTACGAGTTTCTGTGTCACCAAACCGGTTTTCAATGCAAATAAATAGTACCAATAAACGTATGGTACCTACATACATACATATGTACGTACATACTTGCATATCAACGTTTCATTATCAGGGTTGGTAACATAGTAAACCAAGCCAACAGTGTTTTACATCATTAATGGCTATAATACAGGGTGACCCAGTTGTCTAAAAAAGCTCTATATCAGGTTTCTTATTTGATTTTTTTAAATCTTAAATTAGAAAATACATGGTGATTCAAATATATTTCATATTTTTACATTAATGTTGTGTTATTTTTCGTAAGTTCATAAAGTCGAGTTTTTAAGTCGAATGCTGTATATTTTTTTCCTAAACTTAACGTTATAATAAAAAATGTCATATTATCAAAATGTATACCGAGTGGTTATTCGAATATGACCATTTTTAGATTTCATTTTTCACACATTTAAAGCTTTCTTCAAATTACATAGTCGCAAATTCATACTTAAATTCTCTGTAAAATTTTATGAATTTGGATATCAAACACACTATACCTAACATTAACCGTTTTGAGAAAAAGAATATTTAAAATTTTTGGAGGAAAAAACTGCCTGTCTAAAAACGATCTAGTGACTACCACAACCAGTGGGACATAAAGAGAATACATGTGCATGTGGGTATCTACTTCAAAAAGTCAATTTTACTAATGTTTTCATAATATTGGTCGTAGCTGTCATGGAATTGAGCGATTAAAAAATTAACACAAATAATTTTTTTTTTCAAATGGAAACCTACTTTTTTATTTCACTAATGAAAAGATTTTTTAATTCGTTACTTTTTGGTTACAATGTCATACCTAAAAAAATCGTTTTTAAGTTAAATTTAAAAAAGGCGTCCATTATTCCCAAAGAGACCTGGTTTATAAATCCAAAAGAAGCGACTTTGAGTCTTTTTGCTTCTTTTGGTTTATGTGTATAAGCTATTTAAGATTTTTCTTGATTTTAGATAGTAGCCTATGACGTTAAACGTAAAAAATGGCGGGTTTCCATTAAAAATATATTGTTTATGATAATTTTGAGTCGCCCAGTTCTAGTTCAGTACAGCTACCGCCAATATTATATAACATTTGAAAAATTTTATGAAAAAAAAAATATATTTTTTGAAATAAATAGCCATATGTATTCCCTTTATGTCACTGTAGCTGCGGTAATCACTAAATTTGATGTTTAGGTTATACAAATTTTTTGACAGCTAGTTTTTTTTCTTCCAAAAAGCTTAAATGTTATTTTTTTCTCAATAATGGTTAATGTTAGTTATAGATTGTTGACATCAAAATTTATAAAACTGTCCATGGTATATCCGGAAGTGCTGTATATAGTATTTTAGGTTAGAAATAACATTATCAAATTAATTTTTATATGGTATTATTTATTACTGCAACACAGAATATATAACCCAAAACATATAAAATATCAAATAAATAAAAAAAATAAATAAAAACAAAAAAAAAACAACAACAAAACTAACTAAATTAAAATAAACAATGTAAATAGGAACATGAACATGTTAAAATTCTTTTTTCCTTGCTTTAGCATGAGCGAAAGTTGACACAATATTACCAATGTCTATTGTAGGAGCAACTTCAATTTCTATTGAAATAATTGCCAAAGCTGATAACCCATATAGTATTTCTTAAATAATTTTTGACAAACTTTCGTTTGGAAACAGATCTTTCAGCCGTATGTTCTTCATAAAATCGTAATACGTGAAGTTTGGACTTATTGATAGACTGTGGTCTGTAGCCGAACATGCTATCGCGAATCGAGCGAGCCCGAATGCAATTCTTATTTATCACATGGTATGCCGAACGCGCCTTCATAACCAGCACAGGTAATCGCGATATTATTTGAAGCAAGAACAAATTGAATTTAAATGCTATAACAATTTTTTTATGCCCTTCGTATGCAGGGTGCGATAATAAGATATTTTTTTTACGAATCGAATACCTTCAACAACCTACCGGGTATCCCATTTTCATGTGTTTTGTTGCCCTTATAAATAGGCTTTCACAATAGTCGGCTACTTTTTGACAAAATGAGAGATGCTCTAATAGGATTCATCATGGCCCTCTTAGTTACTGAGCTACAGGGTGATTTTAAAAAAGTGGCAGTTTCGGGCACCTCTCGTAACTCAGCTGCCTTATCGTCCTCTTAATACAACCATTAGGTAACTAGAGTTTTTGTGATTTTGAGTTAACTAGTTTGGCCAGTATAATTTTTCATGCTCTTTTTGATGCTACAGCTAGCTTAGTTCTATTTCTATTCGATGGTACAGAAATCCAGTGACAATACAGCAAATTTCCTTTTTGTCAAATTTAATGCTCTAATGAAAGATCACATATTTCCATTTATTTTTATTTTGCAAAATAAAAAGGAAAACACAGCTACAAAATTGCACAAGAACAAGTGTAAAGTAATAAGTTATTTTCGCGATAGCGTGTGCTAGTTAAGTAGTTAAGAAGACATGTGATAGATAAGAACTTAGTTCAGGATTGCCCGATTCTGCTTGATTCGCGATAGCACGTGATAGATATAGAAATGCGGCTCGGGCCCCGAGGGCCCGGGCCCGTGTGCTTTTCACACACGGCACGTCGATAGTTACGCCACTGTTTAGACAGATATGTTGAAGTAACGTCAGACGTATCACAGCCACCTAGATTTTATCAAATAATAAAGATCTAATCAAATCAAATCATGTAAATGAAAATATCTAGGAAAATGTTTGTTTGAGGGGTAGGCAATCTTAATAGTATTTTGAAGAGATATGAATTCTCCATTAAATGTAGGAATAATATACTGGGTGTTCTATTTAAAATAAGAGAGTAACTTGCTTTTAAAGGTGACCCATGTTCAATATTAATTATATCTGACCCTGTATAACTCTTTGGATGTGGAAGTTTTAATTTGATTTAAAGTACAATAGTTAATTTAACTACATATTAGGCTATACCGGGTAAATTCCAATTTAGGTAGCTTTTATTGTAAGAAAATGTTAAATATGTCAAAAACCTTACTTTTTAGTTATATATTTCTCTTGTAAACTTTACCATTATATTTCTCCCAGAATCCAAAAATCAATTATTATATAGGGTGTTCCATTACAAAAAACACAACTTTGATATGTAGCTTTTTTGGGGACACCCTGTAGAACTATATTTTTAAAAAGTGCTCTGAATTAACCTATATATGCTCACAAAATTTAATTTCAATACAAAGTGTCGTTCTCCTTGGAGCCTCCGCGGCGTATGAGAGGCGTCACCCTGTATAGCTGATTTGAGAACACTTAGTCACCCTGTATATTATGTTACTGGGTCATTTTAACCATCCAAATGCGTTTCAGATATACGAAAGTTGCTTTGGGCCAGACGTAGTTCGCCAAATCCGACAGGAAATGAAAGTAGCCTGCGCAAAATGCGCGTCCTACGAACTTCCTGTTACTACCCCGGCACCTCCGCCATCATCAACCACAGAAGAACCGCACCAGAACGACGCTAGCAACGGACTTCCTGCAAGCCCTAATGCAGCTTTTGCGCCTGGAACGTCGCCTATCGATGTAGAAAAATTGCACCAGGCTATTATGGCTTATAGACCGGTGAGTGAATTTTCCAATTCAATATGATGTTACCATATTATTTTTGTATGAATAATCCATCTACATCCAAGTTTATGATACTCGAAGATATTTAACTCGATTTTTTTATTGAATTCAAATGTTCTCTCATTTAAAAAAAACAAATTACACTGTAACTACACCTTCTTTGTACTTACCTATAACGGGCGTTTCTCAAATGGGGTGAGCCACCCTAAAACTTTTTTATTTTTCAGATAAAAAAACAAATTTGGTATGTTTTCGATTACATCCTGTTTCACAGGAAATGATTAGAACTTTTGATTTTTCAGTGATACTGTAGATATTTTTTTTATTTCATTTGATAGAAAATGTCAATTCTGAATATGTCAACTTTTGACATTTTCAATTAAGAAAATAGCATTTTAAATATTAATTTAGAGTGCCATGGCCATGTAACGACAATTTGACTTGAAATACCAAGTGTATGGTACGAAAATACTCGTAAAAAAAAATATTTTTTAAAATATGCTATTGAGCCACCCTCGTTCCATTTGAAAAAATTGAATAATAATTATTAAAAATACGATTTAACCTGCTAGAACAAGAGAGGAAAAACATTAGACGGTAAACTATATTTTTTCCAAGACTCCTTGATTAAAAATTACTGTTTTTAACACAGCCATCTTTATTACCAAACAATACTGCGATATGATCGAAAAAAAAACGGCGACAGAGATGGCTATGGAATGAAGATCGCTGAAATTTTATATGTAAAACCATACCGGGTGCGTCTCAAAAGTGGCTCACACCTATAATTTTTTTTATTTTTTTAGATGAAAAGACGAGATTTGGGATGTTAGTATGACATAAGTTAGGATTGATAGACGTATTCAATTGTTTATGGTAACTTCCTGTTTCACTAGAAATGACTACAACTTTGGATTTTTAAATGGCACCCTCGGTATACTTTTACTTAATTCGATAGAAAATGACATTCTGAATAGAACGACATATCATACCTATGTCAACTTTTGATATTTTCGCTTAAAAATAAATCGTATTTTAAAATTCAATCTAGAGTGCCATGGCTGTATTAAAAACCTTAATTTTTAATCAAGGAGCCTTGGAAAAATAAATTTGACCGTTTAACGTTTTTCGTGTCTTGTCCTGTCCGGTCAAAAGATGCCCAAATCGATTTTTAATTATATCTCAATTTTTTCAAACGGAACAAGGGTGGCTCATTAGCATATTTGGCAAAAAGCATTTTTTACGAATAATTTGGTACCACACACATGGTATTTCGAGTCAAATTGTCGTTATAAACAGCATGTTACAATTTCAAATAAACAATATGCGAAAATGTCAAAAGTTGACATGTGATGTCATTCTATTCAGAGTGTCATTGCCTATCGAACAAAGCAAAAAAATACCGGAGATTTCATTTAAAAATCAAAAGTTGTAGTCATTTCCAGTGCAACAGGACGTGACCTAAAACAATTGAATACGTTAATCAATCCTGATTTATGTCATACCTAACATACCAAATCTCGTTTTTTTATCTCAAAAAATAAAAAAGTTATAAGGGTGAGCCACTTTTGAGACACACCCGGTATAAAAAAAAGTTATGGAATTTTACGCAGAATCCCAAAATAAAATAAAAAATAGGGTGTTGCATTTAAAAAAACATATGTTATATCCGCCACACTTTTTTGCAGCACCTTGTATACACTATAATAATTTTAAAATGTCTATCTTAACCTTCCCTATAACTTTTTCATTTAACATTTTTTTGTAAACCTCGAAAAAAAAATGAGAAAATGGACTTTACTCTATCGTTGACTCACCCTGTACAACTGTTCATTTTTCAATGAAACTGTCGGTATTTTTTATACTATTTATGATATTTACTACAAAATTGTATTTTACACAAATACAATTTTGTAGTAAAATTCCATGTTTTTTTATACTTATCTTTCAACTTCTCTGAACGCAGTGAGCGCAATGCGATAATTGATAAATCCACAGGTAAAACTTGCAGTGTATACACTAGTTGTTGTTAATCAGTCTTACTTGACACTTAAAGATAAAACGTTATGCGTAGAACAGTGTAGACTGTAGACGGGGTTAAGACGGATGACCGTCTTGAGCAGTTCTCGTCCGTCTTACCTGACACGTAAAACTTATGTGTAGACGGGGCTTTAAGGGGATACACTAACTAATTAGAAGTTAGGGAATTATTTTTTTTGAGATTTATAAGCAGTAATTAAAGCTTAGTCTTTAAATCGTTCTGCAATTCATCACTTCATTATAAAATAATAATTTAATAATAATTGTAAAACACCGTATTTCGCATAATGGTTAATTACAGTTCACCCATTTAAACGCATCGTAAAATAAATGTAAAATAAGTTTCGTGCTGATGTAAATTCTTGCCCCTATTAATATTGTAAAAAGTAACTGTAGAGAGACGTAATTTATTTGACGATCCACTATTACACTTCGTGTAATAATGTTTAAAGATTTAATGAAACTGCATACTGAATAGGTCAATAGTACAACATTTTTAACGTAGCGATATTATTATAAAAATTAATTCCATATTGCAAATTAATTTTAATTAGATAAATAAAATGAAATAATTTCATTTTATTTATCTACTTAATTCTACTTTATTTTTAACTCTATTTTATTGGTTTTCAAATTTTAAGACGAAAATTAAGACTAAAACTGGTTGCATTAAGGGGTTAATGTCTAAAATTAGGGTTACCAGATTTTAGACCATTTGGGCCGCCACTTTTTTGAAATTCGGGACAATTTGACTCGAAAATATTTTGCGAAGCAACTATTTTACGCAAATTCTTTACAGTCAATAGACCCAAATGCGTAAAAAGAGAATTTTTACTTTAGTCTTACTTTAATTATTAATAAACACCAGACAAACTGTGGATATATTTTTGATTGTGTTTTTCCCGCAACTTCAACCGCATAAAATTCGAATTTTATTAATATAATAATAAATGTTTATAGAAAATAAATATACCGCGTGCGTCTCAAAAGTGGCTCACTCTTATAACTTTTTTATTTTTTCAGATAAAAAAACGAGATTTGGCATGTTAGTATATGACATAAATTAGGATTGACTGACGTATTCAATTGTTTTCGGTTACTTCCTGTTTCACCGGAAATTACTACAACTTTTGATTTTTAAATGACACCCTCACTATTTTTTTTTACTTTATTCAAAAGAAAATTATACTCCGAATAGAATGACGAATGGCATTTCAACTTTTGACATTTTCGCATATGGTTTATTCAAAACTGTAACATGCGGTCCATAACGACATTTTGACTCGAAATGAGCCAAGTGTGTGGTATTAAATTATTCGTAAATAAATGCTTTTTCCAAATATGCTAATGAGCCACCCTCGTTCCATTTGAAAAAATCGAGATATTATTAAAAATACGATGTTCATCTTTCAACCGGCCAGGGACAAGACTCGATAAACATTAGACGATCAAATCTATTTTTCCACGGCTCCTTGATTAAAAATTATAGTGTTGTTAACAAAGCCAAGGCACTCTAGATTGAAATTTAAAATACGATTTTTTTAAAGCGAGAATGTCAAATGTTGACATATCATATGTCATTCTATTCAGAATGTCATTTTGAATCAAATAAAGTTAGAGATTGCCCATTTAACATTTTTTTAGTTCTTAATGTCGATAAAATTGAGGAATGCCTTATCTATAATATAAAGTGTAATATTTATTATATCACCTGTAGTGGCAATATTTGAGTAATTTGAGAGTACCTATTACATGTGTGGTTGTAATTGATACTCTATTATTATAGCACCTAGTGGCAATATTTGAAAAGTATCTATATAAGACAACTTAACGCGTTTTTTTATCATACTGTATATTAATGGAATTTAAACTTACATGTTCTTTGGATTTTTCTAGAGTATACCCCAATCCCCATTACGTCCAGCAGCTTTTGGTCAAGGACCCTTAAACAACTTTTACAGCCCTGTTGCTTATGCAAACCCAGCCTTGCAAAATGGAGGATTGCCATTTTTCTACCCTGGTTATCAGCAAATTCCATTCTCTCCGTATGGAGGATATCCCATGGTTGGCCAACAATACTACCCAGGAAATAACAGAATGTCTGTAAGTACTGAACTTTTACATATATGTGATATACAGATTGTTAACTCGACGGTTAGTTATTGGGGAATAGAATGGCAACACTGCCTACATTCCAAATGAGTACTAAAGCTAAGCTGCCGACTCGTCCCGTCGCGTCGTCTCTCGACGAGCGTGCCGAGGTTGCCGTATTTCAACCATAAAGCTCTTGCCGCCAGTAATAAACAAATTAACAACCTGTATGTATGTTGCACCTACATATAATAAATGTTACTAAATCATATATTGTATTCTTAATTAGAAGTTTTTTTTTCACTTTATAGAGGGATATGGATATCAGAGGACAAATAGAAGCAATTACTTCAAGAATGAGCGGCAAAGTTAAGAATGTAACTTGTGTTATGCAGGAGCTTGGATATTTGGACGAAAATCTCGAACCCAACTTTAATAAAATCAGCGAAAGAATTGGCAACCTCCCAGTTGAAGATGAATTGAAACGTGATATGCAAGATGGAGTTTCGTTTTGCAGACAATTCTCGGTAAGAACTTTTGTCTTAGTTTTAGTACAATTTTTTATAACGCTTGCAATATTTTCATTACTTTTTCCAAATATTATTGCTTGCGCACTATTTTAAAATTTTATTGCTTGCATATAAAATTGTATACAGGTTGGACCTAACTGTATTCCGGAAACTTCGGCAACATATTCTGCAGATAAAAATAAGTAAAAAAGTTTGTATAAATGTATACCTTAAAATGCTTAGTTTCGGAGATACAGGGTGTAGAAGTTTCATTTTTAATTCGATTTATTCCATATAATTTCTGAAGTAATGTCAATATTTGGATAAAAATTGGTGTCTAGGAGTTTTTTGACATGAGAAATTTGATTTTGATGTCAATATGACTCCTACTAGTAGAGGGCGCCACCTACATATTTTTTAACTGGTTTGAAGAGTAATTTACTTTTAAACTTTTCGTCCATACCCGTATAAAACTACTGAGTAAAAAAATATACATTTACGACGTTTTTTACGTGAAAAAGGTCTCTTGGTAAAAATCGCTACGAGAAATGGTTTTCGAGATATTTGGAATCGAAATTATCAATACCTGTTATCTTTGACATAAATTAGACACGTTGACTAAATAGTTATTAGACTGAAATCATAAATTTGAAATGTTTTTGTGCCAAAAGTTCAACAGAAACTGTGTTATCGTCATTTTTTGCAAAAAGATTTATGATTAGTTTAAAAAAATAAAAATTTCCCAAACATTATCTACTCAACGCGTTTAATTTCCATTCTAAATATCTTAAGAACGGTTGCTCGTAGCCATTTTTACAAAGAAATATTTTTTACGTAAAAAGTCAGAGATGTATATTTTTTCGCTTGGTGGTTTTATACAGGTACGGACAAAACTTTATTACGTTTCAAAACAGTTAAAACACATCTAGGTGGCGCCCTCTACTAGTAGGAGTCACATTGACACCAAAATCAAATTTCTCATGTCAATAAACTCCCAGACACCAATTTTCATCCAAATATTGAGGTTACTTCAGAAATTATTTAGAAAAAATCGAAATAAAAATGAAACTTCGACACCCTGTACCTCTGAAAGTAAGCATTTTAGGGCATACATTTATACAAACTTTTTTACTTATTTTTATCTGCAGAATATGCTGCCAAAGTTTCCGGAATACAGTTGGTACCACCCTGTATATACACATAGTGCACACACAAGTTTTTTTTATAATACTTTCATTTTAATTTGATCAGAGATTATATAGGTCGTCCCAGAAATAAGTGCAGATATTTTAACTGGTAGTATATTTAGGCGCCGGAAATATCTGCACTTATTTCTGGGACACCCTGTATTGGGAAAATATGTAAACAAACAGTTTTATAAGTAGACTATAAAAAATACATTTGGACATTTAGTATTGTGCATATCAGTTCCCAAACATGAATTTCATGATATTCATCTATCTGTTAAATGTCAAATTTGACAGATACTCGACAGCAAGAGCGTAAATTTTATTTACACTTTAAAAATTTCATTCAATATGATCAAAAAGACGGCGTCAGCGATTGCTATGAAAAAGGTCGTTGTCATTTTACATCTAAAATTATATGAGGAACGTCATCGATGTTCATTTCCAAGCCAAGTGGACGCCGTTTTTTTCGATCATATGGTACCAAAATCAAATATGCCCTAAATCAACAAATAAATAAGAATTCCGTATTAAAAAATATATCTTCACCTGTGACACTGTAGATGTATTTAACTTTATCTCTATTTTTTTTCAGCAATGTGTTCCAGAAGTAAACAAAGAAAAATCTCCCCTCTCCAGAGAATTCATCAGACCCATGTTCTTCTTCAAGTGCTACAAACACAAAAAACTGGAATCCTGTATCATGAAGGACGTCAGAGAAAAATACGCTGGTGTCTCAGACGATTTTGAAAATGGCGATGTCGACCTCAGGAGAACCGGCAGAAAAGGAAAGTCGGAAAACTTTGACGAAAAAGAAAACCACATTGACGAATTCGCCTCGTCCATATACGACTTCTTATATGCTAGTGACGCTGGGTTTGATATCGATGGACTCTTCTAAAGTGAAAAACCTTATTCTTGCCTCAAATCGACTGCTTACACAATTAACGTGTGTAAAATACTAATACTGTTAGGATTTTAGGATACATACTAATTATTTATTATTTCTATAAAAAGACGTGCTATTTTTATACTTATTTTTTTGTAAAAAAGTTCTTGGATTTTCGCAATGGAATAGTCCACATATTTTTTATTCAATCAAAGCTCGAAAGGACATGTTTCATTGTTAAAATTCGACAAATAACATAATAAAAATTTTATACTAATTAAATTGTTGTTAATCTCCCATATTATTTTAGCGACAGGTGATTTTTTTTTGCTAATTGCTATTAATTAAGAAAGAGTTTATAGTATGGTATTCAAATTAATTAATTCAATATACATTCTAACACATATTATATTTCCAGGTAAAGATTAAACTACTTCATTCATATATCTACTATTAAAATAGTAAATGGACATTAGAAATAAGAAATATAAGCAAAGAAAATATTATTCAGTTAAAAAAAATAATTTTTAAATCTAACTATCAATTAAAATGTATTTTAATATAAATTTATTAAAAGTTCATAAACATTCAATCATTCAAACTTAAAATATATTACAACTATAATACAACATAAAGACTAATATAAAAATATAATACAGAAACTGGTAGAAACATTAGAGAAATAGTAGTTCTTTTAAAAAATACCGGGTGCGTCTCAAAAGTGGCTCACCCCCTATAACTTTTTTATTTTTTCAGATAAAAAAACGAGATTTGGTATGTTAGTATATGACATAAATTAGGATTGATTGACGTATTCAATTGTTTATGGTCACATCCTGTTTCACCGGAAATGACTACAACTTTTGATTTTTAAATGGCACCCTCGGTATATTTTTACTTTATTCTATAGAAAATTACACTCTGAATTAAATGACATAATGTATGTCAACTTTTGACATTTTCGCTTAAAAACAAATCGTATTTTAAATTTCAATCTAGAGTGCCATGGCTGTGTTAAAAATATTAATTTTTAATCAAGGAGCCTTGGAAAAATAGATTTGATCGTCTATACTTTTAGCGTCTTGTCCTGGCCAGTTAGATAATGCTCAAATCGTATTTTTAACCATATCTCAATTTCTTCAAATGGAACGAGGGTGGCTCATTAGCACATTTGGAAAAAGCATCTTTTTACGAATAATTTGATACCACACACTTGGTATTTCGAGTCAAATTTTCGTTACGAACCGCAACTTATAATTTCAAATAAACCATATGCGAAAATGTCAAAAGTTGACCTATGATAGTCATTATTATTATTATATTATTCAAAGTGTTATTCTCTATCGAATAAAGTTAAAAAATACCGACGGTGCTATTTAAAAATCAAAAGTTGTAGTTATTTCCGGTGAAACAGGAAGTGACCGAAAACAATTGAATACGTCAATGAATCCCAATTTATGCCATATACTAGCATACCAAACTTCGTTTTTTTAACTGAAAAAATAAAAAAGTTATAGGGGTGAGCCACTTTTGAGACGCACCCGGTATATTAAAATGTATTGAAATTTTATACGTGAAAAACAGATCTAATATTTTTTTGATAATACAATGTTTTTAATATATTTAAAATTTCTAAATACTATATAATACCATTTAGATTTTTCTAGATAGAGTAAATATAAAATTATTATCTATACATACAGAGAGTTCTAAAAATGCACGGCAAAATTTCAGGAGGTGATTCCTCATAAAAATATCTGGAAAAAGGTTCCTATAAACATAGGTCCGAAAATACAGTCTGTGGTAGTTTTAAACATACAGGATGTTAAACATTAAAAAATAGTTCTTTTGTAATTATCTTAAATAACCTATAGCAGACTTTCTTAAAAATTTTCAGTGTTATTTCTAGAAATAATATTCTAATTTAGGTTTAATTAAAATAAAATTACTAACTTCAGTGGCGTCACAACCTTATCGAAAATAATTAGGGAAAAATGTACGCTACTGGCTTTTCTTGCAATTTTTGTATTTTTTTAGATTGAGCAACTAAAAATACAACTTTTTAGCCGACCATACCAATAGGCATGGTAGGCTATTAAGATCGACAAAAAAAAGTTTTTTTAATTTAACTCACAATGATTTATTTGGATCATAAATGACCTAAATACAAAATATTTTCATGGTGTCTGTCTATCTGTCTGTCTGTCCGTCTGCCATCTGTAACACGATAACTCAAAAACCGCTGAACCGATTTTAACCAAATTTGGCACAAAAATACTGTGGCACCCGAGAATCTGGCCATTCGCTTTTGGTGGGGGTGGGGGGTTGGTAAGGGGGTATGGGAGGGGGTTAAAAATTTAAAAAAAATCGTAACTCCAAAATTACAGCAGCTAGCGAAACACGGTTTTCAAATTAAGATTAGGAATAATATTTGCAACAAACTTTGTAATAACATCAAAATAAGTCAAAGTCGCAGTTTTCGAGATATTAACATATTTTAGTATGGGCGGCTATACGTGCCTCCCGGCGCCACTTTTTTTCTTGCACCATATGCCTACCTGAAACTGTTTTAGAGAAAAAAAATCCAATTCATTTCTGGACTCCATTAAGAAAACTTAAAAAAATCAATTTCCATTTGCAACTAGAGGAAAATATCAAAATACTTCATAACATATTACAATTTATTTATAAGAATGATGTTCAGTTCCACCTAGAGAAAATTCAATAAAAATTACAGTTTTTAACATAATTACAAAACCTTTTTTATTTTAAAGTTTTAACATCCTGTCTCTTTAAAACTAGGCAGTTCCAGACTCATGTTTATAGGAACTTTTGGTCGTGCATTTTTCGATCACCTTGTATAATTTATTAAATATTTTATCAATTTCTTTTCTTTATTGTCAATCGTTACAGATCAGTTATCCCTTAATAAGTAATATTGTCAATAGTTTAGCCTAAAACAGTTGACGTATGTGAAAAATCTAAAAAAGGAATGTTGTTTTTTTTCTAAACTTCAAAAATAAAAAGAAATATCACAAAAAAATATCAAATTATCAAATAATTTATATAGGCTTGGTGCATTTCAGTTGATTTCAACAAATTCCGACCACAGCGCACTCTACGGCAGAAATCAGAAATGATCAACATATAGTTCACGCCGGCGCCGCCGTCATGTCGATCGCATTAAAATAATATTGAAATCGGGGTTTTGTCATAATATTTAACTATTTTAGTTTTTTGCTAGTGCAGTTATTGAGACTATAAAATACTCAGGTACGAGGTTTGTGTGATGTAACGCTGTTTCGGTAGTAAAAAATAAGTTAATATCATAATTTCAAATGTTAATAAAATTTACCAAAAAAATGTTAACGCGTAAAGGAGAGCGTAATTAGGGCATTGTTGAGAGCGTAATTAGTATTCAATAACTCAACTTTCCCGGATATTCAACTGTCCCGAAACAACATTTTATAGCTTCATAATTTCTTACACCGATTTGATCAATAGCAAAAATGGACTCAACAGTTCGACGAAACAAGTGAGTGAACAAATACTACGAGCTATGAGAGGTTGAAATATAATTTGCAATATTAATGGTATACTTTTTTAATTAACTAGTGATTAAATGTTTTATGAACATCTTCTAAAATTATAATTATATACCTTTAAAAAATTTCGTTATAGGCGAAATAACTCCAATTATGCCCCACTAGCAAAACCGGTGATAAAACTATGCTCGCTACCGTAGTTGAACTCATCTAATTTTTTTTAACTGGAATAATAAATTATAATGCAAGTCAGACCTTCTAAAGATATCAAAATATTTACCTATTTATTTTTTTGTTTAGAATTTTCAGAAATTATACTTTCTAACATTTTTAGAATAATTATTATACTAATTTTTTCGTTCACTCGCCATTTAAACCGTTGTATCTATTCCATATTTACGATATTCCCGGGCGGTGGCAGTACCGGCGGAGAATGCACCAAGCATGTTATTAAAACCTATTTAAACTTTTTTCTAAAACGAAAATATAAAAATATATTCAAGGGAACATAAAATACAGCTCTAAATTTAGCAGTTTTAATTCTATTATTCTATTCTTAAATTACTGTTTAATCCTTATTAAAGATTGGTCTCGTTTTGGTTTATATGTCATCAATGAAGCGTACTTCTTTAAAAGCTTCCTCCAATAACAAGTTATATCTTTCATTTTGAGATTATTCCAAATCATATTGTAACCGTTTTCGGCAATCTCTTTAGCTAGTTCGTCATGATTAATAGCAAATTCTAAAAGTTCCTTTAGGTCCTCTTTAGTAGCGTCGGAATTGACTGGAATGTAATGAATCCACGGTTTTAGAGCAGAATAAAAGAACTCTTGCCATTCGTTGCCAACATGGAACACCAGGGATTTACACAGTAAAATGTGCTTGAATCGAAAACTAGCCGCTACGCCTCTGAAATTGAACAAATACTTATATTTGCAATGTTCTTCAAACGACACTTCTTTGGCTGGCGGAGCATTGAGAGTATCCTGGAAAAATAGTAAAAGATAGGTTTAATGAAATTTCATTTTATTACTTACAATCTGCTTTATAGTACAGACGAGTTTTATCTAACAATATTATTAATAAATAACAGTTCATAATAGCTGTTGATTTTTAGAAATAACAGTTACGAAAACAACAATTCTAACTCAACATCAGTTGTTACAAATTCTACTGAAAGCTAGCAAGAGTTTAAAAAACACAGGTATGGAAATAATGGTACACCGGCAGCGGTAGCTGCTATGTTATGTTGGGATCGCTGCGCCATGCAACAGTTGTTTAAAAAACAACAGATATTAAATAATAGTATGTTGATATTGATGGCTTGCGATGTAAACTCCTGATTATCTTAACTATAGAAAAGGCTGTCCAACAAGTCAGGGAAGATTTCGCCAGGTGACAACGGAAAAACGACAAATATAGCTGTCATTGTCATGTATCCTCTCATTGGACAATATAATTGTAAGGATTTCTCTATTAAAAATGTTTATTAAAATATACTAGTTTTTATATTTATTTGACGTCTTATAAATAAAATTAATACATAACAAACTACTTATTTTAAACTGTTAATTTTAAATGATTTTCATATCCGTTACTTAGAAAAAACAGTTATTACAGCTGCTACTTTCAATAAATAACAAGTATGAAAATATAACAACAACAAAGACAGTAGTTTTGATATTTATATTAAGCATCATAAACGATAAATTTATTCATGTTTAATGATTATAAAGTTTCAAAATATTGTTTCTTGTTCTATTCTAAACTTATAGTAAAGACAAATCAGCCAATTCTACCTAAATCCGAATCTATGGAGGGTAGAGGTCTCTAGTCTCTACCTCTACCTATGCTCTACCTATTGAGATCTACTACTGGAGGGTAGTAGCTCTAATGTAGGCGCACACTGACCAGAGACGCACGCGCCGCATCGACCGAAGAAAAATATTGTTTGTGTTACTTTAAATGAAGCCATGCGGCTCTGACTAGTGTGCGCACCTTCATTGAAAGTAACACAAACATTAGGTATTTGTTTTCGGTCGATGCGGCGCGTGCGGCTCTGGTCAGTGTGCGCGTACCTCTACCCTCCATATCCGGATGATCCGATGTCTCAAACCTTTCACAACAATATATACAGAGTGTTTCAAAAAACATGTGCCATCTCTTGTGGGGAGATTCCTCACGTAAAAATAAGATTTACTTTTCATATCTACATAGGTCCGATTCTGCTTTGTTTCGTAGCTACAGGGTGTTAAAGTATATGGAGATGAGTTATCACTAGAATATTTAAAAAAAAACCATGTGCGCCGCTGACTTTTATCTTTTGATATCAAAATTGTGTAGGCCGTTTAATGCCAATTAAAAGTTATGTCTTAATATTTTGTCGACCTCCTTGATGAGATAAACTCAATTTTATTTAATCACAATTAATATAATTAAAATAAAAATAAAATTAATAAATTATATATTTTAGTTAATTTATTATTAAATGATTTTACTATTACTTTTTATTACTATTAATACAGCAATTTCAAATAAAAAAATAATTGTATTTAAGATAATTAGAAAAAACCTAATTTTAAAAAGTTTTAACATCCTGTAACTCTAAAACTATGCATTTCCATACCCATGTTTATAGGAACTTTTTTTCGTATTTTTTGATGAGGAATCAATTACTACTTATTTAAAACGTTCGCAAGTTAATAATATTAATTTTTTTAAAGGTTGCTATTAGACTTGGATCAAGGCAAATTAATAAAATTGCGTTTATCTCATCAAGGAGGCCGAAATCGGCAAAATATGAAGAGAGAACTTTTAATCGGCGTTAAACTGCTTGCACTATTTCGCTAACAAGAGAAAAAAAAGCCAGTGGCGTACATGATTTTTTTTAGAAAAATATTCCACTGATAACCCATATGCTTTAGCTTTAAAATATGTCGCATTTATAGTAACTTTTACCCTCAAAATTTCATTCGAAACGCTAAAGGTACTTTGAAGAAAATTATAATAAATCGAAAAAATATTAAGACTTTTACACCCTGTAGCTACGCAACAAAGCAGAATCGGACCTATGTTGATATGAAAAATAAATCTTATTTTTACGTGAGGAATCTCCCCACAAGAGAAGGCACATGTTTTTTGAAACACCCTGTTCTCAACACTTCTCAACCAAATGGATAGGCAACTAAAAATGCATTCATAATCTATCCTGTGATCGTTAGACACGTCATGCACGTCACGTATCCACTCCCTACAGTAGGAATGAAAAAATTTACAAAAAATCGATATATTCTTTGGTATTTGGTATATTAAATCAAAATGGTATGACAAAAAACAGCCTTAAGCTACATTCGAAATCAATTCGCTGGCCAAGTGGCAATTCGACATTAAAGTCGGCACGAAATTAACCATTCACAACAAATTTCAAGTCGAATTTTGCGCACGCGTGTTTAAACGTCTCCTGACATTTTTTTAGGTTAGTTGTTTGTTTTCATTTTGGAAGAGCATATGGAAGAGGCAAAATCCGGAACAGTTCTTAATTAAGTTTTCCAAGTTTTTATGTTTAGAAAAATGGAAACAAGAACGTCATTTAGTGATGATTTTTTTCTACAATATGTCTGCAATGTGTCTCAAAAGATTTTCGTAGCACCCAAAACTTTTTCTCGCCATTAATTGATTTTAACCATTTTTTGGATTTTGGTAAACCCCTTGGTTTACGATCAAGCGAATTATTGAGCTGCAACAATAATTGCCGTTTTTTTAACAGCAAAGCCACAAGTCCTAATAAAATAGGAATAGCGTCCACTTCACTCATTTTTCTTTTAATAATAAATATTTACTTTTCACAGGAAAATGGCTTGTAATAACAACACAAACAAAATAATTATTAAAATTTAAATGTCAAAATTGTCATAATTGTCAAACGAAAATTCCGTGCTGAAGTGGAAGTTTGCAGCTTGCAAGCTTTCAATTCAACTTCAACTTGCACTCTGGCGTCGAATTTTGTTGTGAATGATTACACTGAAGTACATATGATAAGCTTGCGTGCCAAAGTACCACTCGGCCAGCGAATTGATTGCGAATGTAGCTTTAGGTTGCCTTCGAAATGGCCGATCGACGATATTCACCGATAATGTATTTACCAAATTATTTTCCATACAAAATGACAACAACCGTTATTTCTAAGTTAACACAATATTTTTTTTTCGATCATACGGTATATTGACGTATAATAAAACTGGAATCCTGATCACAAGCGAAAAAAGGGGAAACATTAAGCAGGGATGGGCATTTAAGTAACTGCCCATTTTTTGGCGTTTTCTTTTTACGTTTAGATGTAAAATACTACTTAAATACTACTATATATGTATCTTTCCAGGATACTTTATGCAGAGAAGAACAATCGTATACGATTGTTCTTTTCTGCTTTATGTTATGAATATGTGAATAGACAGTCCAGTTGATGGTATCATACCGACAACGCTACGTGTCGGAAACAATTGTCAGCAATTGTATGATAATGTGCCTTTAGGATTAAGGCCTCAAGGGTGCTTGGTTGTTATACACCAAATTTTATCTATTTTATCACACATCCATTACAATTTTTTTAATTGCCAAAATTAAATCCCTTGATTACACTTGTTCGTACTATTAAATCCTTATAATCAAACGCTGCGTTATTTATTGATATACCAAAACAAAATATTGATATAAAGATATCGATATTTTAGAAAACATATCGACATATATTTGCCATCACTATTCTACAGTCCAAAAGAAAACGTAAACAGAAAAACCTAACCCTATTGCTTTGTTGGCAATATTTAAAATCTTATCTTTTTGTTGATAATGATAATTACACGATTTACACGTAATGATTTTTCAATGAATCGATACTTGTGATAGCATACAGTAGTACCTGAGAAGCAAACATTAAGTTAAGTAAATCTGAAGAAAAAAACGTCATGGGTGAAAGTGGAATGAGAGCACTTATTCTTGTTGGGGGCTATGGGACGAGATTGAGGCCTCTAACTTTGAGTCGTCCAAAACCGCTTGTTGAATTTGCTAATAAACCTATACTATTACATCAGGTCGAGGCTTTAGTTAAGGTTGGCGTGTCCGAAGTTATTTTAGCTGTATCTTATCGAGCAGAGCAAATGGAAAAAGAATTGGTTTTAGAAGCAAAAAAATTAGGCGTTAAAATGGTGTTTTCCCACGAAACCCAACCATTGGGAACAGCTGGACCGATAGCTTTAGCAGCAGAGCATTTGACAAAAGATAACAAACCATTCTTTGTATTAAACTCCGACATTATTTGCGACTTTCCTTTTAAAAAACTAATGGACTTCCACAAAGCTCACGGTAAAGAAGGTACAATAGTAGTGACAAAGGTAGAAGAACCTTCAAAATATGGTGTGGTAGTGTACGATGAAACAAAGTGTATAGAAAGTTTCGTTGAAAAACCACAGGAATTCATTTCCAATAAAATTAATGCCGGTTTATACATTTTAAATCCTAGTGTTATTAATCGTATAGAATTGAAACCAACCTCTATTGAGAAAGAAGTATTTCCAAATATGGCAGCTGAAAAAGAACTGTATGCTTTCGAATTACAAGGCTTTTGGATGGACGTTGGACAGCCTAAAGATTTCTTGATAGGGATGTGTCTTTACCTCAAACATTTAAGAACTACAGATCCGGAGAGATTATACAGTGGTCCTGGAGTTGTTGGTTGGTTAACATACAAAATTAGAATTAATGATATTTAGTTAGATGATTTCCATTTAATTCTGTCTAGAAGCAAAAGCATCTTGTTACTGTTTTTTATAATTCTATTTATTTAGAATGAAAAATGACCTAAATTAATCTCTCAGATTATATCAAATCAGCTTTAGGTTTTTTAAAAGCTATCTAACAGAATTAAAGTAGAAGTTAGGAAAATGTATCTAAGCATCTAAATGACATAAGTATCAAATATAGGCCCGATATTACAAAAATGTTCCATATCTAGTTTTCTTTTTTCAATTTTCACTGCAAATTTTTTGAAACAATATGCAAGCAATGGTAGCACACATTTTAAAAATATTTTCTTAGATACCTACACAGAATAATTAAAACTATATTTATTTTCTGAAGTTGTTTGTTTAGTTGGAATGCTGCAATTTTTTTCAGTCAGCAGATTTGTCAAAAATTTCCTTATTCTAAGAATACCATAAAGATTGTTCTTTGAAATAATTTTTAAACTCTACTGTTAATACTGTTAATAATATAAAAAAGCAAATTTTATATAAGTCTAATCTAAAAATTATATTTCAAAAACCACTGGTTATACATAAAGGCATAACGATATTTTTGGGATGGGACTTTTGTCAAATCCTCTGGATGGAAAAAATATCAATCCATTTAAATCAGCCAGTATATAATATGTTTGAAATGTGCATAATTGGCAGCATATTTTTCAAAAATTTGGCATACAAATTTAAAATAGGAAACCTGATATGAAGCTTTTTTGATAACTGACCACTGAATATTTACTAAACAAGCAATCCTCTATATTATCTGTCTTGTCAGCATTTTATAAAACTCTAGCATGTTTAGTAATAAGGTTCACGTTGCACTTTACTACAAAGGAGTATTGTTATACTTTTGTGTTATCAGTTGTACAATTAAGATATACAGTGTGTCCCAGGCTGAGCGTGCATGAAAAGTTTCTAGAGAAGTACAATATCCAAATCGGAGATTTTTTGCACATAATTGTTTCACAACGAGATTTATTGATTAAAAATATTTTCAATATGACGGCACTTCCGGAAATACCGGAAGTTGAGAACAACTTTCTTATTTTAAATAGGTACCCCCATTTTTTATTACATATATAAATTATCTGTTAAATTTTATGAATTTTGATATCACTCTGTATCTAACATTTTTTGTGAAAAAAAATTACTTAAAATTTTTGGACGAAAAAACCACTTGTCAAAAAAATTTGTATAGCCTAAACGTCAAATTTAGTGATTGCCGCAGCCTCTGTGACATACAGAGAAGGCACGTGACTATCTATTTCAAAAATTAAATTGTTCGAATGTCATATAATATTGGCAGTAGCTGTCATGGAATTGAGCAATTAAAAAAATATCATAAATCATTTTTCAAATGGAAATCAACTTTTTTATTTCACTAGTGAAAAGGTTCAATCATTACTTTTTACTTATACATGTTCCTATATCTGAAATTAAATCGTTTTTAAGTTGTTGAAGATTTAGTTTTAAAACGTATATTTTTCTTTATTTTAACGAATAGCCTATGACTGTACGTCAAGCGATGTAAAATGAAGAAAAATATATACTTTAAAACTAAATCTTAAATAACTTAAAAAGGATTTATTTTAGATACTGGAACATGTATAATCGAAAAGTTATGAACTGAAAAACCTTACAGTTGGGGGTTGGAACCTTTAGTGTTATAAAAAATAAAATGAAAAAAAAAATCTTTCTCTCCAGCAACCACTTTTTACACCATTTCACTTTTTGATTTCTTTTTGTTCATCATCTACATCTATCAGCAATACCGCAGCTACAAGCACGGCAGCTTTCTTCTTTGAAATTCTTGACATAACGGTAGCCCTTCTCGATGAAAAGTGAATAATCTGAACTGCGGCAGTACAATGTGTTGCATCGTGTGTACAAAAAATGGCTGTACTGCAAGCCGTACGATTTTCTTTGTGATCTGCAGTTCAATACGCAGTACGATAAATCGTTACTTGTGTAAGCCGTTATATTGTAAGAGGAACAATGTACAGGATGTCTCATTTTCATATATTTTACTGGGTTTCTAGTTTATAAGTATAGATACAAAGATGCGGTTTACATAAGTTATATTGATAAATGTGATAATAAATGCAGGAAGTTGCTTGAGCTTGAATGTGAGAAATCTTTTTATATTTTTGGTACATGGTGTTTTGTTTAAAATACACCCTTGCTTGTTTTGTATTAACACACCATAATTTTTTTTAATAAAATAACTCGATTAGATTTTTTCAGTTTTATACAGTATTTTTTCACATTATTTTGAAGTAATAACTTGTCACTCAAATTTTATATATAATATTAGTTTTTTGTTTGTATGGGGGGCTAATAACTTATTTTCTGACAGAAATAAAAAGTAAACAAAGGTATGAAATTAAGATTCTGATTTCTGAAAATCAATATTATATATTGGTCATATAACTACCCAATAAATAAACGCACTGATGTTTAAGAGTCTATTACGCTGTAAGGCCTAAGGAAATATATATTATATTTCAGAAATCTGCCTAAAGCTTAGCCTGATCCTGTTGTGTTAAGCCACACCCAAAATTCCAAACACACGTGCTTTGATTAAGGCTTAATTAAGGTCTGCAGAGCTTCAGCATTTGCCATAAAATAGCAAGCAATTTGTTACAAAACCATATAAATTATATATCACTGTAATCACAAAACTTCAATCTATTTCTGTATTGTAACGGAATTTTAAATTATGTCTTTATTCTCGAGAAAATTTAGTCCAAACATATGGAATATTTTGTTGATGTTTGACCATCAAAATCTTAAAATAAAGAAGTTATCTAAAAATGTGCTACTATACGGATATGGTATAATCCTTTATCTTTAATTTCCTTCTTCATTTGTGTAAAAATACCTAGCCAGTTTTCCATAAAACGTTTAATGCCGAACGCTTATTTTGCTATTTTTCAGACTAGTGAAATGGACTCTTAAGTGTTTAATTATCCTATACTCTGAATTTTATGTAGAATGCAAAAATCAAGTTTGGTTTAAAATAAAAACACTAAATCACCACAATACAACTTGGCCAAAAAGTGTGTTTTGGTGTATTGTGGTGATTTAATGTTTTTATTTTGCTGAAAAACCTTTTTAAGAGTGAAATAAAAGAGTGGGTGTCTATTTGAAAGAAATTATTTAATATATTTTATTAATCGCTCAACTCCATGACAGCTACTGCCAATATTATATGACATGCGAACAATTTAATTTTTGAAATTGATAGCTACGTGTCTTCTCTTTCTGCCACAGTGGCTGTGGTAAACACTAATTTTGACATTTCGGCTATACATTTTTTTTGACAGCCAGTTTTCTTCCAAAAATTTTAAATATTTTTTTTCTAAAAAACGGTTAATGTTAAGTATAGAGTGTTTGATACCAAAATTCATAAAATTTTGCAGAGTTTAAGTATGTAATAAAAAATGGGGGCACCTATTTAAAATAAAAAAGTTGCTGTCAACTTGTTGTGAAACAATGATGTGCACAAATTCTGATTTAGATGTCATGGTTTTCTAGAAACTTCTAATGCACACTCAGCCTGGGACACACTGTATGTGGTCGAAACACTTTGGTTTATATTTGCTGTCCTCCTTTCACGCAGTTGAGCAGCTCTGAACTGTTCAAGAACGCGATACTCTCAGGGTGCATCCACACTATCCTAAAAACAGCGTATCGGCGTAACGGCGTAACGACCTTGAATCGATTTTCAGTAATTCTATTGGCTGAAATTTTTGACAGATGAATTTGACAGATAAAATTTCTGAGAGATGAATGTTTCAGCCAATAGAATTACTGGAAATCCATTCAAGGTCATTACGCCGTTACGCCGATACGCCGTTTTTAGGATAGTGTGGATGCACTCTGACTCCATTCAATTGAGTCATAAAGCTCCAGAACTGTTCCGCGCCATATGGAGGCACCAGGCTATCGCGCACCGCTCCTTTCAGAACCGTTCTCGAGTAGCCCTAGGGCGTAAAGCCCGGAACTCGAAGTCCGCGAATGGAGGACAGCAATTTTATGTAACTTGTAAATGAAATTAAAATATTTTCTTGCAAATCTTTACTGTTAAAAATATGCTCTTACTTATGCTTATAAGTATGTACTTTTAATAAGGTTTTAATTTTAACAACTAATTCCATTTTTAGGGTTCCGTACCCAAAGGGTAAAAACGGGAACCCTATTACTAAAGCCCCGTTCTCAGAACAGCGAGTGTCGCCAGCGACACATCAAAAGAACCAATCAGATTTGTACAAAATTCAAACAGCTGTCAATTTTAAATTTAGTACAGCTCCCATTGCTTGTTTCAAACGTCAAACTGTGTCGCCCGTGACATGACGTAGTTCTGAGAAAAGCCCCGTTCTCAGAACTGCGACTGTCGCCAGCGACACGACAAAAGAACCAATCAGATTTGTACAAAATTCAAACAGCTGTCAATTTTAAATTTAGTACAGCTCCCATTGGTTGTTTGAAATGTCAAACTGTGTCGCCCGCGACACGACGTTGTTCTGAGAACGGGGCTTAAACTTCGCTGTCCGTCCGTCCGTCTGTCACAAAGGTTTATCTTATGACATCCGTTATTTGAAGTTATCGTGGTTGAAATTTTCACAGATAATGTATCACATGTTGCCGCTATAAGAACGTTACGAAATTTGACAGTTTAACATTTTGTGCTATAAATAAAGAGATTCACTAAACATGTATTATTGGAGCAAGACTTTTACATAGAATCTTTCAAAGTCCTCGGTGGCGCGCGTATTAAAAAGCGTTATGATTTTACGCTACTAAGGACGTTGGAGCCGTAGTAGGCAGGGTTCGAAAAATAAGCTCTTACTTATGCTTATAAGTATGTACTTTTAATAAGGTTTTAATTTTAACAACTAATTCCATTTTAGGGTTCCGTACCCAAAGGGTAAAAACAGGAACCCTATTACTAAAGCCGTTCTCAGAACAGCGAGTGTCGCCAGCGACACATCAAAAGAACCAATCAGATTTGTACAAAATTCAAACAGCTGTCAATTTTAAATTTAGTACAGCTCCCATTGCTTGTTTCAAACGTCAAACTGTGTCGTCCGCGACACGACGTAGTTCTGAGAACGGGGCTTAAGACTTCGCTGCCCGTCCGTCCGTCTGTCACAAAGGTCTATCTTATGAACCGTTATAGCTAGACAGTTGAAATTTTCACAGATAATGTATCTATGTTGCCGCTATAAGAACAAATACTAAAAACAGAATTAAATAAATGTTTATAAATAAAAAAGTACTTTCACTAAACATTATCTTTTAAGTAAGAATTTTACATAGAATCTTTCAAGTCCTCGGTGGCCGCGTGGTTAAAGCGTTATGATTTTACGCTACTATGACGTTGGAGCCGTAGTAAGGCAGGTTCGAATCCTAGTCAAGGCGACTTTTTTTTAATCGTTTTTTTTTAATTTTTACATATTTTTACCTTTTACATGCTTATTATTGATTAATACAATTTTTAGTAATGTGTTTCTTAATTTTTTTTAAATTACTTATACGCGCATTCAAAATTTCAGCTAAATCGGAAAAAAAGTTTAATAATATAGTATCTAATGCTGTATAGATAATGAATGGTACGGAAGCCTTCGTGCGCGAGTCCGACTCGCACCTGATCAATTTTTAGATTTTAATCTTACTGAATGCATGCACTAGTTATATTACTTAAATTATTGAAAAATGTATTTGTTTTAGGAAATGTCTTGGTACATTCCACTGCCAAAATTGGAAAAAGTTGTCAAATAGGACCCAATGTCGTTATTGGGCCCGGTGTAGTTATCGAGGATGGTGTATGTATAAAAAGGAGTACAATACTGGAAGATGCTACTATCCGTTCAAATTCGTGGTTAGAAAGCTGTATTATTGGATGGAGATGTATAGTTGGACAATGGGTTAGAATGGAGGGCATAACCGTATTAGGGGAAGATGTCATTGTAAAAGATGAGACTTATATTAATGGAGGTCAGGTGCTTCCCCATAAAAATATAGGAGATTCGGTACGCACACCACAAATTATAATGTAACTTTATAAATATTTTTTATATATTAAATAATTTATGTATTACAATTATTAGAAATAAGTACGAATACTTTTTTTTACAGTTAGTGTAAAAAATGTATGTATTGTATTGTGAAAATATGAATAATTCTTTTAAAATGCTCTTCTCATTCTGGACTAACTCTTCATTATTGTTATTTTAATCAATATGGGTCTTTAATACTATATGTGTAATCATATCAAATATATTATTTAGCCTAAGGCTATATTGATCAGCACTGTCTCAGACTGATCATTAACTAGGTCAGCAATTATCTTATTTTTGGCCAAGTTCTAGTCAACAGCTAACTTAATCAAAAGGTTAATGATTTCTTTTATATCAATATATTACAATCACAGTTTGCCTTATTATTTTGTAAATATATATTTTTTAATAAATATAAACTGTAAAAGTTGAGTCTGAAATTTTATTTCATATCTTCAATACAGCATACTCGTAATTCCAAGAATTGCACATTAAAAGAAGTATAAGATTCTGTAAATTTTGGTATAAGTCAGAAAATATAATTTTTATTTGTCAACATTTGGTAATTCCTGTATTTCAATACTAAATCTGTATCCATATCATATGTTTTGTATTATATGTTTATTATGCAAGGCATAGAATAATTATGCTAAGGTTAAAGTTTAATTTATTAAGTTAATTTTTGCAGATTAACATTAAATTGTTAATAAAATGAAGTGGTAAATTAGAAGATATAAATCAGTATATAGGCTATGTAAAGTTAAGCATTATGATCAAAAAGTTTTATTACTCTTACTACTTATTTCTTATAAAAAAAATTATCTCTATTATATAAAGCAAACTTGATCATATTTTTTCATTGTTTTGTACCGTATGATCGAAAAAAAAACGGCGTCAGCGATGGCTATGAAATGAAGATCGCTGTCATTTTATATGTAAAATTATATGCGGAAATGTCATCAATCTTCATTTCCCAGCCAACTGGACGCCGTTTTTTCTCGATCATACGGTACTTAGTGTATACCTACTAATATCCCCGGATTGTCTTTACAAATGGAAACATTTTTTTATTATCGGCAATTTGAGAAAAATGCATTCTTTGTAAAAAATTTTGCTTGTTCTAAAATGGTTTATCCCGTTTACTTTTCCAAATTTCCATGCCGTTTTAAAGAAAATTAGAAAAAATAAAAGGTGGTTTTCATATATTTACATGTTTTAATTTCGTTTTCATTTTTTGATAGATTGTTATTGGTAGAATTTTAATTATCGTCATATTTTTTGCTGTTTTAAAATGTTAAAAAAGCGCAAAATTTATTTAGTTCGATGTTACGGAAAGGGTGATAGTACCGTCTGATAAAAAAAAACGTCGGCCAGTTGGCTTAGAAATGAACATCAATGGTATTCCCCATATAATTTTACATTTCAAATGACAGCGATCTTCGTTTCATAGCCATCGCTGACGCCGCTTTTTTTAATCATATGGTAGTTATCGGAAAATGTGATAGTTTAACAATAACAAAAAATATGACGTTAATCAGAATTAATAATAATAACCATCTATCATCGAAATTGTATTACGATAGAAACGCCTTTTTATTTTCAGGATTTAGAAAAAATTCAACCATATTTTCATGTTTTTTCTCTAAAACTGTGGAAATTTGGAAAAGTATAAACGGGATTAACCATTTTAGAACAAGCAAAAATTTTTATGAAGAATGCATTTTTTTCAAAATGCCAATTATAAAAAAGTTTTTCCTCTTCTAAAGACAATACGGGGACATAATGTATTTTGATTAACTGTGGACATCAGGGTCCAAAACTAAGTTGATTACAACGCTTTTTGATCATATGTTGATTCGCCATATTTTAGAGTAAAATGTATACTACTCTGTTATATTTTTGTTGTAATCACAATTTAAGTTCTTTCTTTCAAAATAAATATTATTATTATTATACACTGTATAATATTCATTTCTACCATAGAGAAATATAAAACTGCTACCATTAAGATAGAGGTTAGTTCCAGAGGCCCAATTATATGAATCAATAGCCCATACTGCGGAAAGGCTGGGCCTGCGGATCCGGCCTTCGGACCCGGTCTTTCACCCAAAATACGAGAGTCTTGTGTGAAAGGCCAAGTCCGCGGATCCGGCCTGCGGACTTCGCCTGCCGAAGATCTTTCAACATTTCATAGCAATTGCTCACTATCTTTTAAAATTCATGAAAGAATCACTCATTATTTAATAAATTTGGCGTTTGTCTGTGTTTTTTAAGAATGAACGACAACCGAAAAGGCTATTAAACCCCGTTCTCAGAACATCGGTATTGTCGAGCGACACGCCAAAAGAACCAGTGAGATTTGCACAAAATTCAAAATTGTAGTTATTTGTTAGCTGTTAAAATTTTGTACAGGGTGTCCCACTAAGAATAGCTCTCGGCTGTATCTCGGAAAGTATTAGCCGTAGGGGCTGCGGAAAAAAAAAATACTTTAAAGAGGCTATGAGAAATTGCTGGAAATTATTTTCAAATTTGTAAAACGGCCGCTAGGGGGCGCAACACCTATGGAAAATAAGAAAATAGAATTTTTACAGAATTTTGCCAAGATAATGGGTACTATAAATAAAAGCTTCATAATCTTCAGTAAATTTTGGATTTTTTTAGTTAGAACCATTTTCCCCTCTCTGCTAAAATAAAGTTGAACGTTTTGAAAAGGCAGTCAAAGATAAAAAACGCTGCTAAGACTATTAAAATGTTAATCTAATAACAATTTGACGTTTATACTATTACGCGAAAAGCAACTTTTTTCCAAAGCCTACCATGACTTCCCTGAATCATCGTTTCTTGTTCACTGTTATTAATATCTTAATTATTAGATATTAATACATCTGGTATTATGGTATTTCGTCGATTTTAAAATAAAATAACTGTTTTTATCTTATTTTTTTGTTAGAATGGGCATAATCAAGAGGGCTACTGATACCGTATTGTAAAAATAAGATAATTAAGGGCTTATTTTTTGATATTTATTATAATTTTGCTAATATCTTCGGTTTGAAAGAAGATATCAAGATGCGGTTTTCGCTGAATTTTTAAGTTTTTACTACTCTTTACTATCAGCTAAAATTACACATACTATCTTATTTAATTTAAAAAAAAACGCGCCATGTTTGTTAAATTGTAACACAGCGCCCCCTAGCGCCTACGTTCGAAACCTTATTATTATTATTTTATGGTATAATATAGAGTAAGAACCGCTCTTTTAAACGAGCCCTCGTTTGTTGGATTCTGATCATCCAGTCCGGAGTTATTAACATTTAAATAAATATAGATCTAACCTTCCCCCACCACTTTATTTTAGCAGATAGGGGAAAATGGTTCTAACAAAAAAAAAATCCAGAATTTACTGAAGATTACGAAGCTATTATTTATAGTACCCATTATCTAGGCAAAATTCTGTAAAAATTCTATTTTCTTATTTTCCATAGCTGTTGAGCCCCTAGCGGCCGTTTTACAAACTTGAAAATAATTTCCAGCAATTTGTCATAGCCTCTTTAGCTATCTTTAGTAATAAATATTTTTTTTCCGTAAGCCCTACGGCTAATATACTTTCTGAGACACAGCCGAGAGTTCTTAGTGGGATACCTGGTACAATTCTCATTGGGGCAGCGATTCAAATTTTATTTTCTAAAAATTACCGGATACAAGATAAATTCAAGGAAACAGATTGAAAATGATGAATTAAATACAGTATGGCTGAAAAATAAAATGGCTTCAAGTTACAGTAGAAATGAGGATCAATAATATTACTACAATTTTTCTTGAAAACAAAGTCAGTTATTTTAAATTAGTTAATACATTATTATTTCAGTAAATATTACTTACCTCTTCAGATTTCCAAGCCTGGTTTTTTGTGTATTGGGCATCAACCATATCAGGATGTTCTCTGGACAGCAAGACTAATGGATCTCTCTCAGAACACGTTCTGGATCCTCTGAAAAATGCTTTCGGAATTTTATCATCCCATTTAGTGAAGTTGCCTAGTTTTCCTAATTTGGATCTATGATTGTCCCATCTCCCTAAACGAATGTGTTACATAAACTCTCTATTATGTATATTTATCTTATCAAAATCAATATTCAGTAAATTTGATATATTACCTATTCCTCTTGGATATAAACTTATAGCTGGTCCACCCTCCCAAAAAGCCCAAGCAGGATACATTATGTCAAAATACTCATCTGTTTTACTAAAGGAAAAGACTGGTCCAAAGAAACCATATTTTTTATTAATTTGTGGCCAGTCTCTTGTATTCACCTGTAGAAAAACAATGAAAATAAGTATCTACTTATTTGTCTTATGTTATCATGTTATGTATATTATTGGTACTGTAAAAGGAGTAACTTATTTCTTAAGGTACATTCAGAGAGCGTCTAGCGTCGCGTCGCGTCCGCCCCATTGAACTCGAACCCCGACGCTCAGCAGACGCTAGCGCAACGCCAAACGCGACGCTGTTTGCCTGAACGATCTAATTTAAGTGAATTGATTCCATTTCGACACGCGGACGCAACGCGACGCTCTCAGCCTGAATGTACCTTACTTCAATGTGTTTACTTCTTCATTCAGTATTATTCTTTGATACTGAATTTACTACCACTATTTTATTATCAATCTTAATAAAATAAAACCTTAAACCAAATATGTATTAATTATTAAAAGAATACTAACAATAAATTCCATATCAGGTAGATCTGATACAATTTCCAGTAAGAAATGTTCAATACCAACACATCTCGAAGGAAACATACAATTAGGATCCCTGTAGAGCTTATGATTGATTATTTGATATTTTGTACCTCTACAAAAAAAATACATTTATTTATTATGTCTGTATGCTGTGTTGTTCACTAATATACTTTGATTTTATATTATTTATAAGTTTTTCAGATATTCCTTTTTCTTTAAAAATTTTTAAATCGTGGGACATTACACCAGCATGACAATTGCATCTGTTTTCATTACATGGTTTATAGTTGCGTCTGGCTTGGTCAATCAATTTTAAGTATTTAATATATTTTGTATTTGCTTCTGAAATTATTAAATTATAAATTACAGAACAAAACAAAAATCGTTCACTCACCTTTTGAATATTTATTTACTATATTAGTAACACATTCCTCATTACTTTGTATAGATTTATTAGGAATTGTTGAATCAACCTTAATAATGAGTATAAAATTTAGTACAATAAAAAGTATTGTATAATATAAATTTTTAAAAAACATTTTTCTGTTTTTTGTTGATTTAGTATTTGTTTATTGTGGTTAAAACATAAATTCTTCTTCTTCAGAACTTCCGTTTAGAGGCCGACAGCGTCCTGTGCATTTCTGTGACACTTTATCATTTGAAGAGCTGTTGGTTTATGGTTTGATATGACCAAAATTATATATGATACTTGTAAGAAACAGGATATGAGTTATAGTTATGGAGTCTAAAAGGAGGAGGCGAATCGAACGCAAAAATTATGGGCCCAGTTTTTGAGATCTAAATGAAGTTCGAAAATCGCCGTTAGGGGCGCTTGTGATGATTGGGATACTAGAAATACACAGCTTCTTATGGCAAGAATAACTATTTTGTTATAAATTATAGAGCCAAGTGCGGGAACCTAGCGGGAACATAGAACTTACACCCTTTACTTTTAGAACTTATTCCCTTACGTTCAACTTCGTTCACCCGTTCACCCTAATACATCCCTAATAATACCGGGATATACCCTTACTCTTTTTGTATGGGTGGTTAAAATAGATCATGAAATAGATTTTAAAACAATTTATTTACTTACGTGTGACTATGGAGTCTAAAAGGTCTTTTTAAGCCCTCCATACGTGTGACGTACTCACCAGTACTCACCTCCAGGGGGGTGACAGTGAAATAGGAAAATTGGTAGAGGTGGGTTGTGAAATCGCAGTCCGCTACTTTGTCACAGCTCCACTAACGTCGCAGTATGTACTGCTCCAGTTCCAAGAAAATCGCAGTGACATTTCGGAGCAGTTTACAAGTTTAGGACATCTGCGCTCGTGAGTAGCAATAGGAGCAATAGCAGGCAATAGTGTAAATTCTGAAAATGCTCCTAGCCCCGTCGCCCGGTCAGACTGTTCCAGTCACAGTCGTCGCAGGTCGCAGTCGACTGGAGCATAGTATATTGAGTATATTCTGTGTACTGGAGCTGTTGGGAGTTTGGGAACGGGAAACGTAGCAGCGTTCGCTTTTTCTTTCATGAATCTAAATAAGATATTTATGTATTATATATTAATCACAAACAGATGTTTTTGACAAAGGTAATTTTTAACTTGTTAGTATGTTTATTTGTTAGTTAATTTTGTATCTGTGTTTTGTTGTATATCCTAAATCTTTTATTTGATCTTATACATTCATATAAGTTTTATTATTTATATCTATTTTTAAGGTCTGATGATGGCTAAATAGCCGAAACCGGTCACTAATAAAGATTTTTTTGACAGTTTCGACTTTGAATTGAATATAACATTAAGTTTTTACCATGGGCCACCACTCTGTGAAAATGAACAGACTCTTTAAGATATTTATAGCAAAGTGCTTGGTACTTAGAAACACTCAAATTCTTCTGAATAGACTAAAAAAATATAGCAACATCTATCAAACTAAGACATCAGTATAGTACCGTACAGCCGCGATTTTAAGAGCTCTAGGGGCCCGTAGTTCGGAAAAGTTCGAATCTTGTTCGCAAGGGCCCGGGAGGCTTGGGGCCCGTCGGTGACTTACCCCGATTGCACAGACGTTAAAATCGCCACTACTGATCGAAATAAAAAACGGCGTCCAGTTGGCTTGGAAATGACAATCGATAACATTCCCCATAAATTTTACATATAAAATGCCAGCAATCTTCATTTCATAGCTATCGCTGACGCCGTTTTTTCGATCATACGATATAAATAAATAAAAACTAGACGATGATGTTGCCTATCATAATCACACCTATAGTCCTGTACTTTTTTAGTAAATGCAACGAACGGTGCCGAACAGCCGAATATTGAGTGTGATTTTTCGGAGCAATTAACCTATAAAACTACATTTTTAATTTATAGGTTAATTGCTCCGAAAAATCGCTGCTACTTGTCGCAGTTTATTGGAGCAGTCGCAGAGCGTAGCAGCTCAGCAGCTCCACAAAAATCGCAGACTGGCCCACCTCTAAAAATTGGAAACAGTCATTAGTGTCATTCCTGTCATTCTCCTCACGACAAGTATGGCCGCCTAGACAAGGACAGCATTGTTTTTGTCTAACTATTGTCTAACTTCACAGTTTAGAATTGACAGATTTCAGTTTCAGAGACAACTTCAGATTTGTTCTAGAACAAATTCGAAAATATTCGACGCCATTTTAATTCATTCCGTTTAGTTTCGTTTTGGAAGTTCAATTAAATATTTCGGCTGAAATTTATAATTATAAAGGTAATAAAGTATATAAAATATATATTACATGAAGAATCCTGGAGAAAATGACGTTTCTGCAGTAATAGGTATGTCCCATGTATTTGAAAAATAGGTAGTAAATAAACAGTTTTTACATTTTTTAGATGCAAGAAAATGGTGTTATAATCTCTTTGATCGGCGATTTTTTGAAAATGGAAACAATTTACACAAAGGTAAGATCATTTTTAACTATAGCCAACATTAGTTATGTCCAGTATGTGCGATTTATTGTCAATAATGCAATAAATCGGACTGATAATCTGATTATGTTATCCGACTAAAAGTCTCTTTTTGCTTCTTTTTTTAATTTATAAGCCAGGTCTCTTTGGGAATAATGGACGCTTTTTTAAACAGTATATTTATATTTTATACCTAATATATCAATATTAAATAAATTTAATATTGATATTTTTACATTGTTAATTTTAGTATAAAAAAATTTGTTTTTCTGTTTTCAGGTTTTGGTATACCCAGGTTTTGTATAAGGCTCCTGTTTTCATGTCCCTGTGTCCGTTTTCTGTCCTTGAAGTCTGCGAATACGTGTGTTTATTTACAAATTACTGTAAGTCATGCTTATACCTTAACTAATTTACGTTAAAAGTACATATAATTAACTAATTGGTATTGAAACAATACAATCCTCTATATTTTTATATTTATTTAGTCACGTTGTTCCATATTTCAAATAAATATATGTGAATAAATTATTTTTTGGTTTTATTTATGAAAAGAAAAAAATACAAAATACATTTGAACTGAAAGAGGGCCCGCCATTGAATAACCGGAAACGGAAATGAAAATTAAGCCATCATTTACATCATATTATCTCTATTACACCTGATACAAAGGAAAAATATTCATAATATCAATACATAGTTTATTAACGTAGTTTTCATGTAGTTAATGAATGGGAAAAGACGTAGTTTTTGAAGAAAAACTACACGTAGTTAATCAGGTAAATTACGTCTTAGTTAACTACTTCCGAACCCTGGTACTCACCTCTACGAGACCTATGCTTTTTTTTTTAAATCAAACCCAATTTTTGTGTTGTCAAATTTTCATTGGTTAAAAGTTAAAAGTTGAAAATTCATTTTTCCCCACACAAGGCACAACACCGCTACAGCTGGTCTTTGAATTTGAGTAAACGAAAATTATCATACAATGTTTTTGTATTTTAGGGTAGAGTTAAGTTAAAAATTATATACTGTTTAGATTTACATATTTAGGTAAACTTAGCTGCTTATTACTGAGGTAATTAATAGAATAGTTTTTGTTTTTTTCTTAGAATATTTGAGGTTAATAGGTGTAAGTAAAATTTGATTTCTAGAATGGAAATAAAACGAATATGCAGGTTGTTCGTGTTTTTAACGATATTTTCTTCTGTAATATCAAAGAAGAAATCAAAGTCAGTTACAACTTTACTAGAGGCAAAATGGGAAACAACACCATTGGTATTAGAAGTAGCTGAATATTTGGCTGAAGAAAACCCGCAACTTTTTTGGGATTATATCGATTCTATTTCGAATTTAAGCCCACCATTAAATAATATAGGTACATATGATTTTTTTACACAAAAATATGATCCTTTTATGTTGGAATTCTTTTAGAAAATGACAAGAATAAGTATAATTTATTATTGAAACATGCAGAGGCATTACTGGCACCAATGCAGCTTTCAGTATTAAAGTTGTCACTCTCTTTACATATCTATTCTCCAAAAGTACAAATGTTTGGTCAGATTGCTAATGAAAAACATTTACCTGATTGTGCATGTATAGCTGATGTTGGTGGAAAAATGACCTGTGATATAAATCAACTGTCAAAGTTTATAGATAATGTATGTATAAATTGTTAAATATATCTCCAAATATATATTACTATTTTATTTAAACAGCCGACAGATGTACAACAACCACCTGAGCTGTTTAGAGTTGATAACCATTTTCCTGGTTCGGCAAACAGGTCATTAGCTGTAGTGCTTTATGGTGAATTAGGAACAGAATGTTTTTCTCAGTTTCATCGGTTACTCAAGAAGGAAGCAATTGATAATAAAATAGATTATGTTTTGAGACATTACGTTCAGGTAAACTACTTATAATATTTTATAAAGTTATTTAAAAATCCACTAATATAGTTGTAATGTTAAATTTCATTGAGTAAACTATTTGTAGACTAAGACTAATAAAAGATTGAGACTATCAGGTTATGGGGTAGAACTCCAAATAAAATCTACAGAATATAAATCACAGGATGATACTGAAGTTAAAGAAAATAAGGCTTCAGAAGAGTCTTCACAGGAAGAAGAAGATATTGAGATTGAGGGATTTGATTTTGCAAAATTAAAGTAAAATCACTATAGATATTGAAAAGGAAAGGAATTTACTTTTAATTAACTCTATTTTAGAAAGTTGTTCCCAGATTTAAGAAAAAACCTGGATAAGTTTAAACATCATTTAGAGGACTCTTCAAATGAGCTGGTTCCTTTAAAAGTTTGGCAGTTTCAAGAGTTAAGTTTGCAAGCTGCAGAACGGATTATGAATGCACCCAAAGATGAAAGTTTGAAAGTGTTAACAAACATTGCTCAAAATTTTCCAATGCAAGTATGTTTGGGTAAAACAATAATTAAAAAGAAATTTGAAAATTTTAATTGTTATAGGCTAAATCTTTGGTTCAAACTGTTGTTAATCCCGATATGAAAAAAGAAATGAAAATTAATTCTGACATTTTTGCATCGACCCTTAATCTTCAACCATCTGATACGGCTCTTTTTATTAATGGAATGTTCTATGATATTGATGTAGTTGATATCTATGGGATTTTAGAGATATTAAGGCAGGAATTAAGAACCATGGAAGGTAATAAGATAGTATAAATGAACTAGTAGCGCCACTTTTTGCTAGATCTATTGATCTGTTTCTGCTACTTTGTATTTGCGTCACAAGGTTACTGGTGCTTCCGGATATGGTTGATTTGTTGCACAAAGCCGCGACTGGCAAAAGGTAGTCTAGCACTTACTAGAGGTGTACAACAATTTACAAAGTTTTGAGTACAGAAAATAATTATGAATCTTATAATTATGTGAGTAGTGTTATAAAATGCTCCAGAATTTATTTTTTGAGTTTTCTTCGAAAACGAACGAGAATAAACAAGCAATTTCCGAGAATTTAAAATTAATGCAAAGAAAATTGGTTGGAAAAGTCATTCAGTTAATTTCATATACAGGGTGGTCCGAACTGTATTCCAGAAACTTCAACAGCATATTCTGCAGATAAAAATAATATAAAGGTATGTCCCAAAATGGCTTAGTTTCGGAGATACAGGGTGTAGAAGTTTCATGTTTATTTAGATTTTTTCCAAATAATTTCTGAAGGAAAGTGTATATTTGGATGAAAATTGGTGTCTAGAAGTTTTTTGGCATGAGAAATTTGATTTTGCTGTCAATATGCTTTCTATTTATAGGGGGCGCCACCTACGTGTGTAACACAACTGTGTGTTTCAACTGTTTTGAACAGTAATAACTTTTCTGAGTTAAAAAAACTACTGAGTTAAAAAAATATACATTTCTGTGACTTTTTACGTAAACAATGTCTCTTGGTAAAAATCGCTGCGAGCAACCGTTCTCAAGATATTTAGAATGTAAATAGTCAATACATGTCATTATTGACGAAAAATAAACACATTGAGTAGATAGTTATTTCACTGAAATAATAAATTTGGGAATTTTTTTTTTTTTTTAAATTAATCATAAATTTTTCTGCAAAAAATGACGATAAAACAGTTTCTGTTGAACTTTTATCACAAAAACATTTCAAATTTATGATTTCAGTCTAATAACTATTTAGTCAACATGTTTAATTTATGTCATTGATGACAGGTATTGATAATTTCGATTCCAAATATCTTGAAAACCATTACTCGTAGCGATTTTTACCAAGAGACCTTTTTCACGTAGAAAACGTTGTAAATGCATATTTTTTTACTCAGTAGTTTTATACAGGTACGGACGAAAAGTTATTACTCTTCAAGCCAGTTAAAAAATATGTAGGTGGCGCCCTCTACTAGTAGGAGTCATATTGACATCAAAATCAAATTTGTCATGTCAAAAAATTCCCAGACACCAATTTCCATCCAAATATTGACGTTACTTCAGAAATATATGGAAAAAATCGAAATAAAAATTAAATTCTACACCCTGTATCTCCGAAACTAAGCATTTTAGGACATACCTTTATAAGAACTTTTTTACTTATTTTTATCTGCAGAATATGCTGCCGAAGTTTCCGGAATACAGTTCGGACCACCCTGTATATTGTCACAAAGCCATGATTTCAGTATCATCATGAACTGCAACCGAGACGGCGTGAAATCCAGAGCGAAAACTTCTGATTTCTGCCGTTTGAACGCTGCATTCGGAAATTTTGAAATCAGTTGAAATGTACCAAGCCTATAAATTGAGAACAAATGAAGACTGGAAGTAAATAATGTGCTAAGTGGCAAAAAATCGGTTTGTCATGTTTTATTTGTAAAAAGTTTCATAATCAGCAACATATATAAAGCATTAAGTCCCACAACTATTGATTGCATTGACAAAAATTCTTAACAGAGACACCGCCGCGCCATTCTTATACATTGGTTTATGTAACAAAAAATTTTTGTTTATCTGGAAATAATGATTTTGGTACATTATTTACTTTAAGTCTTCAAATAGGTATTCAGGACACATTATCTTTTCTGGGCATATTTATATTGCAGACTAATTATCAACACCGCATACTGCAATTTGCAAAATAAAACAGCAAATCAGTAGCTAAATTTATGTAATAGTATAATAGTTTACTGGGGAATCCCATAATTTCGGCGACAAAGAACGGTCTGGGGTTGCCACGTTGTCGCTTGCTAAATGTCTATATTAAATACTAACGTTTACAATTTGGAGTTTTAATCTTTCAAATGCCCTCGGGTACATTTATTAAGTTTTTTCAGATATTTCAGAGATACAAATTGGTTAATTCTGTCTCACATAAATGTATAAAACTAATTAAATGAATATATAAAACTAATGAAACGAATTTTAGGCAACCAGAACCAAATTTAATATTTTTAACCTTTAAATCTTCCATTTAAATTAAAAATATGTTGTGCATAGTTTTTAATATATTAGTTCAAAAGTTAGTAGTAGTTTAAAAAGGATAGGAATAATGCTTCAGGATATCCTAAATACTATGTATTAATATGTTATTGTATCAGAGATTTTCAGCTACCTATTATTATCTACTATACCTATACAAGTTCACACCAAATAAACTTTTAGTCACGTGATTAAGTTTGACCGGCACAGCATTGCCCACTTTTATATATTTTCTTTTGATCAAAATATTTTAGGAAAAATAAATTAATTATAAATATAAACAGTTATTATTTGCATCAACAAAACGCACCTTCTTAACAGCACTTAAGGGACATAAAGGGCCATTACTACCGCTTTCCCGTTCGAAATATTCTAATAAAGTTGCGATGAGTTTTTTTACGGCTATTAAGCTATCTTGTATACTTCGCACTAGAAGTGGTTCTAAAAAGAACAGTGTTCGAGTGCAAGGTCTGCTAGTAAACATTTTCACCGTTAATCTGACTCTGTTCTGGGACTCAACGATCAAAATTCATAGCACGAATGACGGATCTCAACTGAAGTGTCCTGCATGCTGCCAACAATCTCTCTACTTATATCGACTGGCGGAAAATAAATACAAGGGTGGCGCTACTAGTTAATTATGTTCCTTATTCATATTTCTTGATTTGCTTAAATTTATAGGTCTTTATTCTCTTGGAATTGGTAATAAACGAATGAAGTCTTTGCTACATCTGGATTTTAGCGAAAGCGGCAGTTCCTCAGAATTTGCCATCGACATTAGAGATTCGTCAGTTAACTGGCTCAACGATATTGAAAAAGATTCAAAGTATCGATATTGGTCTAGTAGTTTAATGGAACTATTGAGACCAACTTTTCCAGGCATGATCAGACAAATCAGAAGAAATTTGTTCAATTTAGTAACTATAAAGGGAATATGTTTTTGAATCACATATATAAATACTATTTTTAGGTACTTATTGTTGATCCGATTGATAGTAAAGTGCGCCCTTTATTTAAGTTGATCGAATCATTTGTAGTTCATGTTTCGCCTATTCGAGTAGGAGTAGTTTTCAATGTGAACGCTTCCAAATCAGTAACTGGATTGCAGGATGCGGGTGTAGCTATGCTATGTGCATTTAATTATGTTCAACAAAGTAAAGATGCCCTTACAGCTTTTTCGTTTTTAAGGAGTATCATGAAAAGGGCTGATGATAATCAGGTTAGTATTTAATATTTTTTTGTAATTTTAACTTTTAATGTCAATGATAAATGTCTCACAATGTTATACATTGATTATTTCGACAGATAATGTCCTAAAAATTATAAACAATCAAGTCTACTTTTAAATTAAACTGAGAGACAGCAACTGGGACAGTAAAAGCCTGGTCTAGATTTTAACGTGTAAGACAATGATGTAGACACATTAATGACAAATCAAATGTATTAAAAAGAGATAAAAGTTGGGGTGATACATTTCTTCTATGCGGTATTGCCGGATTTTGCATCAAAATTTCAAACTGCACAAGTAGGCGTTTACGAAAAATGTTGCATCTATAGGGTTGGAACTTATTTTTCACAATCAGTTACTCATTTTACTACAGCTGTAATAGATTATACTTAAATTAAATATAGTATTATTTCAGTAGCGATGAAAGTTTTTAAAATGGTTTCTTTTTTATAAGTTATTTATTTAAAATAATATATATAAAAAAAGATAATATACTTATACTGGGCCGACAAGACAAGGTAAGAGAAAAAGTCGAAGTTTATTACCTATCCACACATATCCTTGCCTACACACGTAAAAACCGGCAACACTGTATGCTTTTTTTATTTTGTCTCTCTCTGTCACGTGATCATTTATATTTATCTCTGTCGCATGCATTAAAATACAGACCACGCAGATAAAGTGTCTAGGACCGTATGTTACTGCTTATTATATCTAAGAAGATAGAATTAGTCCTATTAGACAGTTGGTACATTTGATATTTTAACATCAATATCCCTAACCTATTTTAAAATGTACTGTTAAGTTGTCACTAAAGATGGATATAAAGATCGGCGACTGTATTTCTCGCCTGTTGGTATGAAATTAGCGCCGCTTGTAGTTACATTAAAATTTTATTTTTCGCCTTCTTCGTTTTTTATTTCAATTGTAACTGTTTCTGTATACAGGGTGGCGCACCTCATTCGCCTCGGTTTTGATTATATGAAAACGGAAAGATGTAGAAAAATTTCTGCATGGGTATGTGAGAAGAGTATGTGCATACTTTAAAATTATTTTGAATTGCACAGGGTATATCAGAACTAGGATCTACACCAAAGTTATATTTTTTCTTATGGAACACCCGGTATTTTATTTCATATTTGGATCATTGGACACAAAATAAGACATTTATTATAAGGGTTAAATATGTTGACAAGCTTTGGTTTTTGAGATATTTAAAGGTATTTAAATATGCATGCTATAATAAAAAAAATTGTCAACACCTTGTACATTGCTTTTCAGAATTAATTCTTGTGCTGACTTTTAAGCCAGAGAAATGAACTTTACTGATGAATTTCATTGCTTTATTTAATGTATACAGGGGTATCAATCAAGTCTATTTTAAATATTTATTTTACATAAACTAATAATTTACACTTCGTTATTTCAAATACAACACTAAAAAAAAAAACGATGTAGTAGTTCTTTGATTTATTTTAGGATGACTTGTAGATAAATGGAATTTCTATAAAAGAGCCAATTACAGCAAATTCATTTTGTTCACTTCCAACGACAGGTTTCTGTCTAGATTTTTTATAAACCATATTACCATAGGACAAGTAGTTTTTCAAAGGAACGGATATCTTTCAGAATAAGCCAAGAACCTTGAGGTCAAGAAGCAATTTTCCTCACAAAATAAAATCACTAGTAACGTATCCATTCGTTCCACCAGCAGATAAGTACTGTTTTATTTTTCTTCAGAAAATATTGAATACTTACTTATTAAACTATTGTAGGTAAATTTAAGTAAACTGTTATAAATCTGAATAATAATGTCCATAAACTAATGTCGATTTTGAAAATAGTTCCTAACTGTAACTAGAAAATTGCCATAGCGATACCAGCCATCTTGATTGTCATTTTATTGATTAATCGCTTTTTATTCAAAATCTGAACTAGATAGGTATAGGAAACCCTAATACAGTTTAAAAGAGCATTTAATACTGCTTTGATTTATTTAAAAAAATACAGGGTGTTGCATGTGAAATAACGAAGTTATTATGTAAAATAAATCCTTAAAATAGATCAGCAATTTTTGGTACGCCTGTATAAATTTAAGGAAGCAAGTTTATTTCTCTACCTATAAACTCAACACAAGAATTAATTCTGAAAAGTAATGTACAGGGTGTTGATAATCTATTCTATTGTAGCATGCATATTTAAATATCTTAAAAACCAAAAATTTTAAACATATTGAAAATGACTAACCTAACCTAACCCTTATAATAAATATTTTTTGGGCCCCAGAATGCAAAAATGAAATAAAATAGCGGGTATTCCATAATGAAAAATATAACTTTGGTATGGATCTTAGTTCTGAAACACCCTGTATATTTCAATATAATTTTAAATTGTACACATTGCCTCCCCACATATCGTCCCATTGCTACCAAAAGTCACTAACTTACTTTTTATTACTTCCGAGAAAAATGCGTCTAAAGATGAATTGCATTGCATAAAGATGTTATAGTTAGTAACTATTCGGTATTAAAATAAAACATAAATAGCCAGAAATCGTAGTTAATGACTTTTGCAATCGATTCTCCGCTTCAAAACATAGTTAGTGATTGAATTTGGTTGTTCGGAAAAATGTTAGTGACTTTTAGCAGCAATAGGACGAATCCTCATAAAAATTTTTATTTCTACATCTTTCCGTTTTCGTATAATCAACCGAGGCGAATGAGGTGCGCCACCCTGTATATACATACATAACAATTTATTATTTTAACATATAGGTCAATAGGCTTCTTTTATAAGATTTTTTAAATAAAACTTATTATAAAATTATATTATATGTATATTTTTGTATAATTAAAGTAAAATATAAAACAGTACAAAATAAACAGGTGTTGACTTACACTATAGAAAACTACCATTTTTAGTTTACACAACATTTATTTTTCGTAGATAAAAATCTCCGTTGGAATTTGAAAAGTGTATTTTCATACAATAGACTTTTAGTGCTGAGCGATAATAAAAATTAGACTATTATAATGTTTTTGAAACAATATAAAATTTCGAATGAATGCCGTAAATACTAATTATACTTAGGTATTTTAAGATTTACATAATAAATTATTGTTTAGATTAAATTATTTTAGTATACAACGACTGTATAAGTTATTATACAAGGTGTCCCAGAAATAAGTGCAAGTATTTTAACTGGTAGTATATTTCGGCCTGAGAAACACGCCTATGAGGTATTTTTTGCGAAAAAAAAAATTGAAAATTTGGAATTTTTTGAAAAAAATTTTGGAAATTTTTTTAGTTTTAAGTTAATAAACATGATTTCTTGATAATATGGCAATATAGGTAGTAGCTTAAATTTACATGAAAGAAAATAAAAAGTAAAATAACTCGGTTATTTTGGACTTATTTGAAAAACGACAAGGAGAAAAAACGTTTCCTTTGACCAGATTTACAACCCCTTAAAATACTTGCACTTATTTCTGAGACACCCTGTATAATTTTAAATGTTAAGTATATATGAAGGGTCCAGGGAAAAAACATGATAAGCGCTATTTTACTAGTTTTACAGGAGAGCACTGGACGGCTGGTGGTTATCAGATTCTTTCCATGTATTCTATATTATTACTAGACATATATCGTAGGATTTAACAACTTGTTGCCCTGCAGAGTTTATACATTTTGTAGGGACCAGTTCTTCTTCTTTCTCAGCCTGGTTCCATCCAGTGTTGGATATAGGCCTCTTCTAGGTTTTTCCATGCTTCGCGATCTCTAGCCAATCTTATCCATTGTCTTCCTGCCACTGTTCTGACGTATTCGACCCATCTCTCTTTTGGCCATCCCACACTTGTTGTTCCCCTAGGTCTCCATAGAGTCTTGTCACATGTCTGATCCATCGCACTTTAGACTTGCCACTCTTTTAACAACATATATTATTTTTTTTTTATTTTTTAGCGGCTAGTTAGATATTGTAATCGCAAAACATTTTCCGATGCACGTCATCAATCATATCGACATTGACACTAAACTGACTAAATTAAATGTTGGCAAAAATGTTTATATTTGTTGTGTAATTTAAGATACCTAGCAGCTCTTCATTTTACTTTGTGGAGCCAATGGTTGTAACAGATATTTTATTTAGGTTAAAGCTGCAAATATTAGTTTAAACCAAATTTTATTATCGCTATGTTGGTCACATTGCGCCGTGTTCAGCGATGTTGTCCTTTATTATTTGACAATTATTATCCTAGTATAGTATCTTATCTATGATCCTAGTGTCATTCATTATTTTGTATAATATCGTGTTGTTGTTGAATCTTTGTGAGTAATTCTCGTTTTTTGCCGATTTTCATAGTTTCTTTTTTAAAATTGTACTTTCAAGCACAAACAGTTCTTTTAAGAACTAAATTTTCGAGTTTTTGTATTGCATTTCTTGAAATTGTGTTTTGAAAATATGCCGAAGCATTTAAACAGTCGAAGAAAAGGGCTTGTAGCTTCCCTGTTTTTTTTGTTCAAACTATTTTGAACGAGAACGTCACAATAAAAGTCCTTTATTACTCTTGAGTGCAGTCAGAAAAGTAAATTTGATTGATAAGCACATTATATCACTTTCAAAGTTAGTTTAGTTTTTATTAAATTCTGTGATTATTAGTTTGTGCATTAATAGCACCCTCTTACTTGTTATTACCACTTATGGCGTTGTAATATGTACATCAATTACTAAATAACTAATAATAATAGTTAACTAATAGTTTTTGCCAATATGCTATAAAACAAATAAATCAATTAATCCCGAAAATATTATTTATTAGTTATTAAATTAAAAATAAAACGTAAAACTCTTTAAAAAATTATATAATAAATACATATGTTGTTTGTCAATTTTAAATTAAGATTCATCTCATAAATCCATCACAATCTGGCAGCGCTGTCGCTATCGCTTGTCACTCAAAGTTGATCACGTGCATCGGAAATTGTTTTGCGATTACCATATACTATAATATTGTAAAATCCTAAAATTAAGAAATTGACGCTTATCGATTTTTTCCCCTGGAATGTGATTTGATCGTAATTAGTATAATGCAACTTTAATACTAAGAAATCGTTAATACATTAACAACATTGAATGAAATTTGTTTATTGGTTTCTAGTTAGCTATGTAGTTAGACATAACTAATAGACTATTAGTTTTACTTGTAATATTTTGAAACATTTTGAAAATAGTGGAATAAAAATACAAAAGACGATCAGAAAGTTAAGAAAAATTTGTAACTTCGCTTTTTTTAATGAAACACCCTGTATATTTTAAGCTTTTTTGGCATGAACTGTTTTTGAATTTTTTGATTCATTTAATACAAAAACGACCACACAACACAGTGCTTTGGAGCCTTGGAGACAATTGTCACTAAGCATTTTGTGTGGTAGCGGTCGCAGTGATGAAACCAAAGTAATTAAAAAACGATTCACTCAAATAAAGACAAACTAAATATTATGTGTGAAATTGAAAATAAATCTTTCAAAAAAATTAAAATATAGCTTTCTGATCGTCTTTTGTATATTTTTATTGGTTATTTTTACCTGGTGGTTTAAATAAAACCTTACAACTCTTACAAGTTAAAATTTTTATTACTAAATAAGTAAGCCTACAGATATTGCAATAATTATCTCTGAAAACTTATTTAAACTGTATTTAAAAGTATATTATTTTAAATATTTAAGGTAACTGTTGAAGACGTGAAGAAAGAGTTAAGATCGCAATATAGTGAAGATCCAAATGATATTTTAGGTGAAGATTCTGATTATGATTTTGGAAGACAGCTCTCCAAAGATTTTATTGACAGAACTGGCCTTTCTGTATTTCCACAAGCATTGCTCAACGGTATTCCGTTACCATATGATAAGGTAGCGCTAAAAGTATATTATTTTTTGTATACGTTGATGATAATTGGTTAAATTAGTCTAGTCAAATTGTATTTTGGGATAGTTTTGATTTATTTTGTTCTTTATGTGTTTTGGGGCGCTGAATCTGAATCTGGTATTTGCTAACAAAATTTCATAACGGAACATTGAAAAAAATGCAGCAAAAAACGTAAAAAATTTGCAGTTTTTTGCTTATATTGCCAAAAATATATATTTTTTCAGGAATAATACTTCTATATACAAAATAAAAGTAGATGACATTTTGTACAAATGCGGTTCTTTACATTTTTTACCTCAGAAAATCCGATTAGGCTCTAAAGCTGGTTCAAGATTAGCATATTTTGAGATGCAATACAAAAACTCGATAATTTTGTGCTTAAAAGTGCATTTTTTTAAAAAAGACTATGAAAATAGGCAAAAAACGAGAATTAAAAAGATTCAACAACACGATATTTTTTAATAACTGACACTAGGATAATTGTCAAATAATAAACGACGACATTGCTGAACACGGCGCAATGTGACCAACATAGCCATAATAAAATTCGGTTTAAACTTTTGCAGCTATAATCTAGATAAAATATCTGTTACAATCATTTGCTCTATAAAGTAAAATCAAGAGCTGCGCGGTATCTTAAATTATACAACAAATTTAAACATTTTTGCCAAAATTTCATTTAGCAGGTTTATAGACTTTAGTGTCCATGTCGATATGATTGACGATTGATGACGTGCATAGGAAAATGTTTTGAGATTACAATATTTTAACCTGAAAACCTGAAAAAATATATATTTTTTCAGGAATAATACTTCTATATACAAAATAAAAGTAGATGACATTTTGTACAAATGCGGTTCTTTACATTTTTTACCTCAGAAAATCCGATTAGGCTCTAAAGCTGGTTCAAGATTAGCATATTTTGAGCTGTCGCCTCAAAATCATTTTTTTTTTCACTGAAAGACCAGATGTATACAAATTGCATTTGTAAGAAACGTACCGTAGCATCGAACACAGTTTGGAATTCAAAATGGTTAGGACTGAAACAAGACCTTTCCACTCGTACTCATTTGAATTTCTCTTTTGCTCATTATATGTAGTTTGGTTGGACTACTGGCACTTGAAAGAAAACTTTTAGTGAATGTTATCGTACAGTGAAGCAATGTTATGTGTTATATTTATAGAATGAAGATATGTATTTTCTGTACCTTAAATCTAGCGCAGTCTTATTTCTGTTGTAACTTCAGCAATAACGTCTTAATGTGCTTGGGATCTTTAAAAACATTATAATGACGGATTTTAAGTAATTATTATTCTATAAAACTTTAAGAAATTTTAATTTTCCGGTTAAAGATTGCCTATAAAGATTGAACTCTATCATACCCATTTATTGCATGATTAATAATATCAGGACACAATTTTGTTAGCTGCAAGAAAGGACATCTAGACACATCTGTTTGAGACATCTTATCCTTTGTCTGGCTTTAGAAAGAAGACTTTCTTTATATCAGGGCTACATAGCCCAATCAAAATTACCATAAGACGAATATCCTCCTCTTATTTTGAAGTAATTATTTAATGGTGCCAACGTAAGTGCTTTTTGCAATGAGGACATCGGCATCCTTCTCAGCTTGATGTGATTCAATTTTTGGCTTTTAGTAGGATAGTAATTGTATTATTGTAATTATAGTTCTGTTTTCTATCTGTACAGCGTTGTTTATTATTGCAAGAGGTTTTACTTTTTCTTTCAATTAAATTTGGTAATTTAAGTATTCCCACCCATAATGCGCTCTATACTGTTCATACATATCTCTTTTAACAGATGACGATGGATTCTTTCATCTGACTATACCTGTACTTATATTTACGCATAATTTAAATATAAATGTTACTTTTTTATTATCGGAGGTGGTATAATTGTTGAAATAACTATCTATATGACATTCAACTTGAAACTAAAAAAACACATAGTCGACTATAAATACTCGAATAATAAATTAAGAGTTTTGAAGTACAAAAAAGATATTTGCGGAGACAATCAAATAAAGGCTAATTTTAACTAGCTGTTGAGCCTGAACAGTTCTTCACAGAAAAATACTTAAATATTAAATATAGGAAATTTCTGTTCTTAATTTTGAATAGAAATATTATTCACGAAATGTTGATAAGTACTTTTAAAGTTATAAACAAAAGATCGCAAAAAAATACAATTTTTCTACGCTTGCATTTTATTCCATGTCATGAAATTTTGTTAGCAAACCTCAGATTCGAATTCAGCACCCTAAAAAACATAATAAATAGAAGAAATTGGAACTACCCCAAAACTTTTCCGTAAAAGCTTTTTTGAGTCCAATTTGACTGACTATATGGTTTTATTTTTAGGTAAATGTTGACGATTTTGAAGAAGCAGTAATTCAAGAAATAATGCAACACACAGCGTTTGTTCAAAAACAGGTTTACAGAGGAAAAGTTTCAGAGGGTCAAGATATATTTAATTATTTAATGGACCAACCTAATGTAATGCCAAGATTGAACGACAGAGTTCTAAATCGGGAAAGGTCATTTTATTTAGACATGTCTGGGAAATCTATTAGTATCACAAACCTGGAGGTATATTGTTTTTTTTTTCAATTTTTAATTTGGCGATTATGATTTTTATCTACATTTGAAAATTATTTTTGAAGGCTTTGCTGAAATTGAATATCCCAGACATGACTGCAACCGCAGTGGAAAATTTAAGATATTTTACTGTACCTAAGAAAGGAAGGCAATATCATTCCATCTCGTATTGGATTGCAGGCGATTTGGATTGTCCAAGATCAAGACAACTTCTGCTGGAAGCTTTGGAACATCTGGTAATTATTATTTCAGATGTTTTTCTATTTACAGTGTGTCTATTTCGGTTTCCACTATTTTTTGGTATAATTTGTAAAGGTTGATTCATGGTTTTTTTCTTACCTTGTAGTCATTTTTAGGGAAATTTAAATTACACTTTTTTCATACTAAGTTAAAATATTGTAATCTCAAAACATTTTCCTATGCACGTCATCAATCGTCAATCATATCGACATGGACACTAAAGTCTATAAACCTGCTAAATGAAATTTTGGCAAAAATGTTTAAATTTGTTGTATAATTTAAGATACCGCGCAGCTCTTGATTTTACTTTATAGAGCAAATGATTGTAAAAGGCAATTTTGTAATTTGACGCCATATCGGTCGCCAGTCGCCACATGGCATATGTCAAAATGTTTCTTTTTTAATTGAACCGACTGAATTGGTTTTTAATATCTCAATAATAAAGATTAATATATAATAATATGATTATGTTAAGATAATGTTTTTTTAGTGGTTACTGTAGTACTGTATTTAATGATATAGTAGCACAGATTATACAGATTATAAACTTATCGTCAAAAGCATTGTTTTAAGTGGTTCCAATTTTCGGAGTCGCGCACTAGTTAAGTTACTAGCTTGCGCACACAGCACGCCCACTTATGGCCTCTAAAATTGTGCATAGCGCCTGACCGGCCCAGTTATTACGCTGTTTAAACGCGAGTTTATTTTTGCGCACAGGAAATTTTACTCCTTTACTCATCGTCATAAAAAACAAATTTCATACCACGAATTAGGGGCAAGATTTTTATCTGTATACATATAGTATACCTAATCTGTGATAGTGGTGGATCTACATCATTAAATAAAAAAAAACTAAAGAAAGGGTCTGGACATCATGGAAACACTTTCTTTAGTTAGTTTTGTTTGACATTTCATTTGAGGCATTTGAACTTAATTTGAATTTTGACGTTTTTTTGTGCCTTTTGAGTTTATGTTATTTCTTGATTGTTTTACAATTGGTTTTATCTAAAGTGTATAAATGTGGATAGACGTGTCGTAAAGTGAAAATTTTGTGTGTGAATCTTTGAAAGAGACTTCAAAAATAGTTACATTTGTTCCGACCGTTATCTGGAAAAAAACATGGGAATTAATTTAACAACTTACTAAAAAATAATTATATAATATAAATCATACCAAATAAACTTTTAGTCACGTAAATAAGCTTGACCAGCACAGAGTTGCCGACTTTATTTATTTTCTTTTAATCAAAATATTTTAGGAAACAAAAATTAATTAATCATAAATATATAAACAGTTATTATTTACATCAACAAAACTCACCTTCTTAAAAGTAGTCGGGTGACAAAAAGGGCCATTATTACGGGTTTCTCATTCAAAATATTCTAATAAGCTTGCGATGAGTTTTTAGCAATGGCTGTTAAGTTTGGCATCTTGTAAACTTTGCACTACAAGCGGTTCTAAAAAGAACCATTGTCGACTCCAAGGTCTGCTAGTAAAAAATATTAAAGCTTAAAAGTATTATAACACATTTCACTTAAACCGAAAATTTGTAATACAAGTTTTGACACAAAAAGTGTCAAAACGACTCAAAATGTCAGGAAATAAATAAATGTGACAACTTGACATTTTTACAGAGTTACGACCTAAATCGCCAGCGGGAAATTTAAATTCCAGTTAGTCACACTGGGCCGAATATGTCCAGGGTTGGCAACATGAATTTAATAATCGCACCCTTGATGACGTAACTAAAAGTTTATTTGGTATCGAATATACTGTCAGATGAAGTAATCCAATCAACTTTGAAATTCATTTACAGTTACCTAATTATGTTTTATTTCATGTATATTTACATTTTATTTACTACGTGTCAAGTCATTATGAATCAATTGGATATATTAATTCTTATGAACTTTACACTTTACTTAATTGTCATATTAAAGTACCTTCGCGGTCGCACTAATTTTGTTTCTTATTTACAATTTTTATGCATTAAATAAAGATACTTAATATTTCTATTTTAGAAGTTAGAAAGTGACATAAGAGTAAGTTTTCTACCAAACGTCAACGGAAATAAGAACAATTTGTATAATAAACTGGTCTTGGCTTTACTTGAAGTGCTGCCCTCTGATGGAGCTTTAAATACGATGCTCGCGCTTTTGAGAGATCCAGATACTAACGAAAAATTAGAAAAAGGTGACAAGTTGGACATTTCAGTAAGAAACCCATATATTCCATTGAAATGTTTTTTACTGATCTGAACATTATCTTTTTAAGTCTGAAGTTTGGTCCAGAGTCGAAGCGCAGGAACTTAATTTAAAAATGCTCAGAGTCTACAGTCAAAAAGTACTGAATCTTAAAGCATCTGAACGTGCCATTGTTGCTAATGGAAGGGTACTTGGTCCATTAAACGAAGATGAATTGTTTACAGGGGATGATTTTTCCTTATTGGAAAGATTTACCGGTGCTTCATATTTAGATAAGATAAATGCCGCTATTGCGGCTACAGATGACGACGAAGATTATGGTAAGTAGCAGATGTTATAGGTTTCTTATCAACACACACACACACACACATTTTGTACGGTTATGGGACGATTTCAGAACTTCAGCTGATAATACAATTTGTTGTACAAAAACCGATGGCGGAAATCTACATCAAGTTGAAACGCTTCTCTGGTCGTTTTTTGTATGCTATTTATGTTGTACCGGGATGGTATAATCATTTAAAATAACTAATTTCAGTAATAATACTGTTTAGTTAGCGGATAATTGCACAAAAATTTACTTAATTTGTGAGACAAAAATAAATTATTTTTATCTTTCATTATCTCTTACATGGTTTCTCTCTCGGTTTCTAGTTGACAATTATTGTTGCGTTGTAAATCAGTCATATTCTAACTTTATATAAGCAAATTTAGCGAACTATCTGAACTATACTTACCTTACTAGTTACCTACACAAACCTAACCTAACCAAATTAAATTTTTATTTATTACTCGGAGACTTTGAATAAAAAGATTAAGGAAGGAGCGTAATGCTATCCATGTATTCATGCATGGTGGGCTAAAAAAGGACTCTAGGGTGGGGATCCTTGACAGTTCTGTTTGACGATTAATTTGACACATTTGAATTTGATTTGAAATTTTGTGGATTTGTCAGTCTTTACCCATAGTCTTTACGGAGCTCATTTTATGTTATTTATTATTTATTCTACCACTGATAGTTGTATAAAGGTAGTAAATCTAGATGGAAATTGTGGCAGAACTTAAATTAACAGTGACACTATTGCGATTTGTCGAAAAAGACTCTAAAATAGTAGGTTATGTAGCGTGCGGTAGATCTCGGTCAAAAATCGAGTGAAATAATGGAACAGCTTTTCGCTATTAAGTGACTATATACTATCCATACGTGTAGTAAACCGATTATTCTCTATTAATATGATTTTTAAATAAATCTGTACACTGATAGTATATAATTTTAATGTTTTTCTTAACATCTATCATAATTTTTTTTAAATAAATAATCATATTACTTACATTAGGAGCTTTGAAAAGTTTTGGGTTACTTTTCTTTCTTCGCTTTTTTTTCATTGAAATATCCACTTCTATAGCCAGATACCGAGGTATTTCTACTGTATAGTTTTTTTTTCACTATGCTCATTGTTATACTGCTAAAAATTCAACAAATTAACTATAATTTTAGCAAAAACTAAGTTAAACCGTATAATAACAATGAAAATATAGTATCCCTATCGATCGCAGTGCCTCTACTGTCAAACCGAGGAACCTGCTTAAAAGTGGGGACAGAAATTTCAAATATGCCCATACCTCCTTTTTTAAGCCCTCCATAGTTGTATGATATGTGACACCCGGACTACAAAAATGTGCTAATAAAAAATAAAGTTTTTTTTTTACCTTTTGTCTGTTATTATTGCATTTTTCTTCGTCATCTAATAATATTGCAAGGAGCAGTGCCTCTTCTTTTAATAATCGATCCATTGAGACACTTTTTTACGCACTAATCACACCGCGATTCAAAATAAAATATCGCCTGTATATTATGTTCACTTCCTTCTCGATCGCGTATATGTGTTCTCCGCTTTACACGTTTTGAATAAAATTAGAACAACACTGATAAACCGGAATTTAAGTCGGCCATTTTTGGTCCCCATCGCGCTCGATCTAAGTTTTTTGATATGCTTCTTCCTTAATCTTTTTATTCAAATATATGTTTATGTTGTAGTAATAATAATACTAATTTTCCTTTTGCAGCAATTACTAGCAATACCATTTTAAAAATCGAACCGCTACTGGTTTCGAAGTCGTCAAGTAAATCACGTTTTGATGTTTCGTACAGTTCAGATGAACATTCAGTTCTAAAAATTCCCGCCCAACATCCGGATAGGGTAGCCTTCGATTTAGTTGCTGTGGTTGATCCAGTGTCGAGAGGAGCGCAAAAATTAGGGCCTATTTTACAAGTATTAAGTGAGGTACTGAATTGTAACATAAAGGTCTTTTTGAATTGTGTGGAGAAAAACAGTGACATGCCTGTGAAAAGGTAAATATATTTTTATAATTACTTTATGGCGCCCGAGTTGGCTTGGAAATGAAGTTCGCTGTCATTTTATTTGTAAAATTATATGGCGAATGACATCGTTCGACCATTTCCAAGCTAACTTGACGACTTTTTTTCGATCGTCCTGTGTTTATATTAAATATAAAGCTAATTAAATTAACTATAATAATAATAGTCGATTATTATTGCATATATTAATATAACAGTAATATACCGGGTGCGTCCCAAAAGTGGCTCACCCCTATTTTTTCAGTTAAAAAAACGAGATTTGGTATGTTAGTATATGACATAAATTATGATTAATTGACGTATTCAATTGCTTTCGGTCTCTTCCTGCCGTTCTCGCCTGCGGCTCGTGTCATAAACTTCATCCGCGTGAATAACAGCCACCATTATATGCTCATTGAATAATAAATCGTCCCATTGCTGCCAAAAGTCACTAACTTACTTTTTATTACTTCCGAGAAAAATGCGTCTAAAGATGAATTGCATTGCATAAAGATGTTATAGTTAGTAACTATTCGGTATTAAAATAAAACATAAATAGCCAGAAATCGTAGTTAATGACTTGCAATCGATTCTCCGATTCAAAACATAGTTAGTGATTGAATTTGGTTGTTCGGAAAAATGTTAGTGACTTTTGGCAGCAATAGGACGAAATATACTAGTATACAATATTAAATGCAAATTTAATTTTGATTATTTCAGCTGGAGGGCTGTCTATGCGGTATGGCGCCGCATAGACAGTAATGTATAATATGTAATTTTCCATGATGCTTCACTACTTAACAGCCCTTGCATCATATTTTTGTCCCATTAGAATGACTCTCTAAACTGCTTCCATTCATTGCAGAGGAACAGTGTGTTTTCGACACTATCAACTTCCTTGCAATACATGCACAAGTTTGAGGTAGCAAAAAACTCTCCCTTTTATATAAATAGCTGTTAAGGCATTCGTACCCTGTCAATGACTGAGTTAGAAAATAGTCGGTCTCTCCAAAACTTCTGTCTATACAGGTATTAATGTCTGGTATGAGATCGTGTGTCTCTATCATATCTATCTAGATCCCACTCCTTTTGCCATTCATTCATCAGTATGCTTCTTGCCTCCAGTTTTGATATCCCTCCAGTTTTGATATCCCTCCAGTTTTGGTGTCCCTCTCTTCTCTCCTCTACAAGTAGGTGAATAGAAGGCACCCCGGATATGAAGTTTAATGCTTCAGCGGAGACGGTTCTATATGCATTGCAGATCTTGAGGTGCAATTTACGGTGCATAGCTTTAAGTTTTTGCCTTAATGATATTGCGAAGTGCCACACTGGTGCGGCATATAACAGTTGAGAGAGTGCTACACAGGCTAGGATTCTATATTTAGAAGCAATTGACCCTCCTATATTAGACATCAACCTACCCAGTGCGGTCAAAGTTTTTTCCACCTTTCGTATGACTTGATTTATATGATTTTAATTTTGATTACCATTAAATGGTAACAAGTAATATTAATCAATGTTTTTTTATTGTCAAATATGATTATTTTATATATTTTTTTTTTATTAGTTTCTATCGGTTTGTCGTGGAGCCAGAGATACAGTTCTCGGAAGATGGTAAACAATTACCGGGACCAATGGCCAGGTTTAATAATATGCCGTTGTCTCCATTATTGACACAAAATTATCATGTCCCAGAAAACTGGTTGGTTGAAGTAGTTCGATCCGTTTATGATTTGGACAATATTCGTCTGGAGAATGTTGAAAGTAATGTACATAGGTAAGTACTTTTATAAATGCATTTGTTCCTCAATTTTATGTTTGTCTTCGAGATGTTTTAGGAAGCTTCAGCGAGCGCGGCTCCAATATTGTTCTTATGCTATGTTGGCTGCCATGTTCGCATTTAGGTTTACAGGGAAGATCAATAAGTAATAATAACAGCTTTTAACTTCTAATTTGTATTTTCTGTTTTTCACCTTGATAAAAAGAACATTATTCATTTGTAATATGTACTATGCTATGCCGGGTCCATATCAAGACGACAAAAAGTAAACACGATTTTGAAACAAAAACAAGACAAACTTGTCACAAAAAATAGAGACTTCTGACAAGACAAACTTGAGACAAATTGTCCACACCGCAATGACAAAAGTACAACAATGTCAAAAGTTTAGTTGTTGGTTGCAAATGAGTTTTATTAACCATGTGTGATTTCACTGGTCTTCTACTGTTGGCAGCACACGCCATCCACACTGCGCCGACAACTTGTCGCAAAACATAGACACTTTGATCTTTACTGACTCGAGACGGGACATTGAAAAGTCTCCGAATTTTGAAACAAAACAAAAATGAGATTGAAATGTCACAGAAATGTATTGGATTTGTCACAACTTTGTCGTAAAACATGAATGTTTCTGTTTTGTCACTGTTTTGTCTGCTTGGTCTGGACCCGGCATTATATTCTATAATAAACTAATTAATATTACGCCATATTTTTAAGATTAACTAAAGTTGATATCAAGAAACTTATAATCACTATTACTTTCTGACCTCCCCCTATAGATATAAGATAACATGGCGACTACTTTGATTATAATTATTTCTGCGCACGTTCATACTCATTCTACCTTGCCTCTGTTATATCTAGTTTGTCTCCTCAATAATTATTTTTTTTTGGTTCTGTGTAGCGAATATGAGTTGGAGTATCTTCTTCTGGAAGGTCATTGTTTCGAACAAACAGCCGGTAGTCCTCCGAGAGGGCTTCAAATCACTTTAGGGACTGAAAGTAACCCTGTCATTGTCGATACGATTGTGATGGCCAATTTGGGATATTTCCAATTGAAAGCTAATCCTGGAGCTTGGCTTCTTAGGTTAAGGCAAGGAAGAAGTGCCGATATTTATGACATTGTCAGGTAAACAAGCGATATTTTTTGAGCCAGAGATAAAGAAAAACATTTAATATCTATTTCTAGCCATGATAATACCGATAGTCCACCAAACTCGACTGATATCAAAGTACTTATTAGTTCATTAAGGTCTCATATAGTTAAGTTAAGGGTACAAAAGAAGCCAGATAAATATAACTTGGATTTGCTTTCTGATGATGAGGAGAATACTGGATTATGGAATTCTATTACTAGGTAGATAATCACGCGGGAATCTTTTAAAACATCTAAGTGACAATTATTCTTTAGTTCTTTTAGCGGAAAAGAAGATGAAAAGGAAGAAAAACTAAATATATTTTCAGTCGCGTCTGGTCATCTGTACGAACGATTTTTAAGAATCATGATGTTGTCAGTATTGAAACATACTAAAACACCCGTGAAATTTTGGTTTTTGAAAAATTATCTATCGCCACAAATAAAGGTAAATTGTAAAATATAAAAATAATATTCTTACTACAGGGTGTGCCAAAGAGTTTTTTTTTTGTTTTTTATTATTGAGTTATATCTTCAGCATATCCTTTAACAAAAATCAATCATATTGTCATATCTCAGCTTTCATGGCCGGCAAATTACAAAAATCCTCTATACATATGCAATAAGTGTGGTTAGATTAAAATATTTGAAAATTATCAAAGGATTGATAGTTTTTATACTCCCTGTATACAGGTAGATATAAATTGGTGTATATAAATTTATGAAATGACACGTTGACGTCGAATTAAATTCTGAACAACTTTTTTATTGACTTTTTTGTGATTTTGTTACCTAACCCCACTTTTTGCGTATTGAAAGCATATTGAAAGATGATCTTTTGTAATTTGTCGCATTGACATTATGGAATGACATTTGTCAAAAAGTAATTAGGAGCAATTTAAAATAAATGTTCATTTTTTTTTTCATTATACACACAATATAAAATGCTAATGTTTATCTGTGTCGTCTCTACTGAAGTAACGACTTGCTCTAGAAAGTTGCTTTTTTTACTAAAAGATAGCTAATTGGCTCTTCTAAAAACTGTCGTCGCCGGATTTTTTGTTTTTCATTTAATTAAACAAAAAATAAAAAGTATTTTTTTTCTTGATGTCGTGGCGGATGCGCCAGGCTTCAACTAGTACTACTATATTTTGTTTAAACGTTTCGTACACGATGTGAAGATCTACTAAGGACTGGCAAAGGTTAGTCTTGGGTCGAGATTTCCGTATGTAAGAAGAGTACAATGCGTTTAATGTACTGAACAAAGAGAACAGTAAAAACGTTGCCAAACGTATAAAATAAACCGAGAATCTGTGCACACTACCAAGAGATGTGGAAGGGGATACGGGGATAACAGATCCGTCGCGGTCGACTGGTCGACCCAATCAGTATCATATCAGTACATAAAATTCTAGGGAAGAGTGTACATACAGCGTGCGGTCAGCTTTACGATTTAATTACGTCTCGTGATACTTTATTTGTTTACTTATCAACGAGTCGTTGTAATTTTCTATATAGCTTGTAAGTTTTTAAATGCAAGTTAGACACACTTGCACTTTTGGTAGAAATAAGTGGAATTTAGTTGTTGTTCGACAGTGGTCGCGCTATTAGAACTCTGAATTCAATAATCGATATCTCGAAATCGATTAGAAATGATTGTAGTTTTTTTCAAAAACATTCTTAATATTTCTGCTATATTGTCTTCGCAGACAGTATGTGAAAATCTTTGTAAATAGAAAAGTTACACAATTGCTGAAAATTGCAATGCAATAAAAAACAAACCTATCGATTTTTTTTATTTAAACATCTTGTAAAAAAGAACTTCAAAATAAAATGAAAAACTTTCAATATCTACAGTAGTTCATGGGTTATCGCGTGTTATGTGTTAAAAAGTTCAGTTTTTAAATTGTCGCGATTACTGACGTTTTTTCGTTATAAAAAAATGGACACCCTAACAGTATCCTTATAATTCCATTTCAGATACTCAGAAACATATCTATTGATTTTATCTAGTTATCTTTTCGAAAATAAAAGTCTTTTAAAAACAAGCGGTTTGCGATCGTGATTTTACTTTACTTTTAAGATCCCTATGCTTACTTCCCCATATGTGAATGCCGACCCAAAAGTAAGAGTTGCCAGCTCTGTATAATAGGCATTACTTAATAATATGGGAAGAGAGTATATAAAAAGTAATAATTATTTTAGGACTTTTTGCCTTATATGGCTAAACAGTATGGGTTCGAATATGAATTAGTCCAGTACAAGTGGCCCAGGTGGTTGATTCAGCAAACCGAAAAGCAAAGAATAATTTGGGGATACAAGATTTTGTTCCTGGACGTCTTGTTTCCTCTTGATGTTAAAAAAATCATTTTTGTTGATGCTGACCAGGTTAAGTTATATTATATATTTTTTGTTTTGTATTAAATACTTTTTTGATATACAGGTAGTTAGAACAGACTTGAAAGAGCTACGAGATTTAGATTTAGGTGGAGCACCTTACGGATATACGCCGTTTTGCGATTCACGCACGGAAATGGATGGTTTCAGGTTTTGGAAACAAGGGTATTGGCGAAATCATTTGCAAGGTGAGCTATATTTATGCACAGATTGTTAACTAGTATATTATATACCATTACACAACAAAAAACATCTTTTAATTTTCGTATTTAGTTTATAGTTCATTAACAAAAGATTCATCTGTCTTAAAAATTAAAATGTTTTGAATGTGGAACGAATTACACACTTTTTATGCACATAATTTTGGTGTCTTTTCAAAATTATATTTGGGGGAGGATGGATTCCAAAATTCAAACACAGATTTATCACTAAGACGGAGAAACTAAATAAAACAAGGATACATTCGGTCTCTTTAAATATTCTATTTAAAGAGACCCGAATACAAAACGTATGGGTATGATGAATCGCTACCACAAAAAAACTGTGCCACAGATTAGATGTTTCAATTGGGAATACATTTTTTACAAAAGGCAACAATGCATTAAAAGTTATATTAGTAAAATATTTTACAGTTCTAGTTGGATTAATTTTTGAGTTACTTTGTCTCCACAGATAACATATTTTAGTCTCTATGATGCTACAGCTCTACTTAACCGACGCATGTGCGAAAATACCCATTTCTATACTTTGGCGCTCAAATTTTTCGCTCTTGGTGCACTCCTGGAAAGTAAATGTTTTTTTGGTTTATATTTTGTTAATTCCGGCGCTATTATTTGCGTCCTATAAAAGTTCATAAATAAATTTATAGTTTCTTTTTTGCGACGTTCGGATTTTAGAGTTCATATGATGTCCGGATTTTGTCCGGATTTTTGAATTCATTTGTCCGGAATTTCCAAAAGCGTTTATGGAAACCCTATATAATAGGGAAGTGATATAAAATAGTATGGCCTTTGGCGTTGGACTGCAAAATAAATTATTTCCACGCTGTACACCGAAACACTATATTTTTAACAATATTTGGGCGTTTTGCTAACCATGTTAGTATAATCAGCTGATGATTAATACTAAGTTTAATTTATACTAAGTTTACTAATTTAGTTAATAAAACAGTTTTAATCATCTGCTAATGGTTGAATACCCTGAAGACCCAGCCTTTTAACATAGGCCGTTATGTCCGAGGGTAATATGTCTGCTAGGTCTGATAGGTCTAGCATGGGTTTGCCAAACACCTCAAACCATCTTCTGTAGGTGTGATCTCAGCCGGTAGTGGCGTGTATACGGCAGTGAGCGTACGAGCTCCATTCTTACCAGCCTTTAGGAGTTCTCCTGTTCTACGTTTGGATGGCCCTGCTAGGATTTTGACATGTTCCATTCCGGGACTGTCATTCCAATCCCGAAACATCGCACCCCTAACTCACCCATAGAGCCTGTCTCTTGCGAGATTTTTTGGAACGCTAAGTGTCGGTTCTGGGCCCACGAATGGCGAACCTGCACCAATTTTCAGCAGTGAAACAGCACGTTTACTTCCCGGTATCCATATTAACGACACTTGTTCCTATCTCCTAATATATTGAGTAGTTTCTTACAATGAAGAATCGTCATAGACGTGCTTTTCGTTGCCTCAAGTGTTTCCAATGCGGCTTGACTATTCGAAAATATGCTTATTGTTTTCCCGGTGTATTGCTGTTCTACCAGCAGTTGCACACAGGTTTCAATAGCATATAGCTTAGCTTGGAAAATTGTGGTGTGTTTTCCACGACTGTGGTAGATCTCAGTTTTTGGACTGCTGCAGTAAATTCCTGCACCAGATCTTTTTTTCTCTGCTAATGGTGCTAACATGATCAAAGAAACGTGCGTCCTATGTCAATATAGAGAATGGGGGGCGATGAACTAGTATTTTATTTTGAGATCACCCGCTAATGTCCCAGTCGTCTCGATCTTTTTGGTAGTCACTGTATAAAATTTAAGACATTTTTTTCTAGGTCGAAGGTACCATATTTCCGCATTGTATGTTGTCGATCTGAAAAGATTCCGACGCATAGCGGCTGGTGATCGATTGCGTGGTCAGTACCAAGCCTTAAGTCAAGACCCCAACAGTCTTTCAAATTTGGATCAGGACTTGCCAAACAATATGATCCATCAGGTGGCGATTAAATCTCTGCCTCAAGAGTGGTTGTGGTGTGAGACGTGGTGTGACGACGCGTCTAAAGGGAAAGCCAAGACCATCGATTTGGTAAGATAAAACTTTTTTAGATATTATTAGTGTTGTAAAATGCTCAATAATTTGTTTTGAAGAACGTTTCCCGAGAATAAACGAGCAAATTTATAATTAGCGCAAAGGAAATGATCAGATTTTTTTAAAATTTTATTCTGAATTTTCTCGTTTTTTCTTAATATTTTTGAGAAAAAATTGAGTTTAAGAATATTTAGAACAAAAAGTTTTTCTCCAAACATGATTTTGGAGAAGAAATAAGGATTCGCATCCCGTAAAGTGAAGAATAGGTATAGGCATCTTCTCAGAGGTCCGACGATCTTTAAGACTATCGGATGGCTGTAATGTTCTACAAGCAAAGGTATACGCTATAAAGGAAGCCGCCAGTTTTATACGAGGTAAAATCGCTGATAAAATAAAAATAAAATTCTTTATTATCCAAATTGACACAAAGTGTATGGAGTTCGTCATTATTACAACCGTTTTTTAACAACCATTATGAAATATTACAAAATATTATAAATCAACATTATAACCAGAAAAAAGACGTACCATATTTAAGAAAAAAAAAACAAAAAAAGAGAATATGGAACAGAGCAAGGTAAGTCTCAACATCGTAGTAGCATTTACTGACTAGAAATGTCTTTAATTTTTTTTTAAATATTGGAATTGGCAATTTATTATATATTTTTGGACCTATCCTTAAAACAAAATTTTTGGAAATAACTAGCCGACTATGAGGAATAGACAAATCATTCCTAAATCTAGTCGGATAATTATGAAAAAAGCCATTTGTCACAAACAAGTCATACTTCCTAAAGACAGGCAAACAAACTTCAAATATAAATATACAGGGTACAGTAAAAGTTTTATACTGGCTGAAAAGAGGCCTACAGTGGGTTTTGGATGGATAGACCAATAGGAGATATCTTGATATACTCTGACAGTTTGGGCGCTTTAAGAAACATCACCATGCAATAAGTAAGATCGAAAACTGTGATGGACTGCCGAGAAGCACTGTCCTGGCTGCGTCAAGGCGGAGCCACTCTGTGCTGGGTGCCAGGCGACAGAAATATAGTGGGTAACAAAGAAACGGACAGACTCGCCAAAGATGGGAGGCCAGGGGAGAGGCTGTCATTAATAGATGACCGACCGCTTGTGACGATCAACACACTGAAGGAAGCTATATAACTGCCATCAAAGCCAAGCAGCAAGAGGCGTGATGGCGACACCGTGAGGATTGCGCTACAGCTCGAAGACTATGGCCAGTGGTAGCTAGCAAAAAGACAAAACAACTACTAAAGCACAAAAAGAACCTAGTATGCATTATTGTAGGTGTCGTCACTGGAAACTGTCCCACGGGGGTAAACCTCATGAGATGGAAGATTTCCAACGATGACTACTGCAGAGAATGTGGAGAGGAAGGGGAAACCATAGAGCACCTGCTCTACCACTGTCCTGCAATGGAATACCGATGCCATAAACCTTAAGGGCAATTTTTGGAGGGTCTAGAGGAAGCAGCAGAAGCTAACATTAGCAACATCGGGAGCTTTGTAAAGAGCTGGAAGTGCTTTAACGCAAAGGAAGAATGAGAGGCATATTTGATACAATAATGCAGGGGTATCACAATGGGCATAAGGCTTCCCAATGAGGAATCAAACAGGATCCCAAGCCAATCCCCCAGCAACCTAACCTAAACCTAGAACAAAAAGGAGAAGAAAATTGAGAAAAGATCCTGTGGTTCTCAAAATTTAAGCAAAAAAATTTTTTTTTGTAAATTTTCAAAGTAAAATAACTCGGTTATTTCGGATTTATTTGACAAACGGTAAAGAGAAAATATGTTTCTCCTATCGAGGTCTACCGGCCCTGGAAATATATGCACTTTTTGACGACAAAGGGCGGGGTCGCAATTTTCCCGGTATTATCACGTTGTCGACTGCTAATTGTCTCTAGAGAAAATACTACATATTTTGTCAAAAAGCTTTCGCTATTTGCTAATATTATGATTTCAAAAATACACTCTTTCCTTAGTGTTTTTGTTCAGAGATGTAATTTAATATTATTAATGTATATTTTCCTGTAATATATACCGTATGATCGAAAAAAAAATGGCGTCAGCGATGGCTATGAAATAAAGATCGCTGTCATTTTATATGTAAAATTCTATGGGGAACGTCATCGATGTTCATTTCCAAGCCAACTGGATGCCGTTTTTTTTTCGATCATACGGTATAATTTTGTCTGAATTTTTAGTGCAATAATCCTTTAACAAAAGAGGCGAAACTGTCAGCAGCTATAAGAATTCTACCCGAATGGAAAGGTTACGACGAAGAAATAAGAGAATTACAAAAGAAAATAGACTCTGGTCTATTTGATGATGACTCTGCTACCGAAGATAAACAGAGCGACAGCCATAAAGGTAAGTGTTGCTTTGCCAATTAAAAAAAAGTATTTCTTAATGTGATATGATATGCGAGTCATTTTTTCCGATAATTTTGTAATATTTCATTTTTAATATCTAAATCATAAAAACTATAAATGAAATGAGCCCCTTAAAAAGTTTCATAGACTTTTTTCTCTAGAACGAAATGGAACTATAACTTTTACTCATCATATCTAATATTTACATGGCATTCCCTATGTTCTGTTTGGCGATAAAAAATACGGTGTACAGGGTGTCCCATTTTGGTAGATATCATACGGTATCTCCGTTATTAGTGAAGATAGGAGAATGCGGTTTGCACAAACCCTTCGTACTTTATTGTTTATATTATGAATAGAACGGCGTAGGGTGTTTTTATATGGAAAAAATATTTTCGGAGATCTGGATTAAACTTTTTATGATTTTTCAATTAGAACACCCTGTATATTTATTTATATACTAAACTTCTCAAAACAATTATCGCATCTTTTCTAAACAAAATTATTAATTTGAAATACAAAACACTTTCAATTCTTTGACTTAACGTTTCTAAATAGGTTGGATATTGTAAAGTGAAATATTCCAACCAATAAGCCTTCACTCTGACATGCAATTTTTAATCCACCGACTATTTGGTTCAAAAAATATATTGGTTATAAAGCCGGAGTCTCATGCATCCGAAATCCGATGACACGACGATCCGACGGTGCTCCTATTGGTCGAAATATTTTGACAACAATTTTTATCCGATAATTTTAACTAATCATCCGACGTCGTATAAAGTTAAATTTTGTTTAACTTTTGTACGATATCGTGTGTTTTTTAACCTCACTTTTTTTTAAAACATTTGTTTTTATTAAAAACAAGTTTAGTGGGAAGTGGGCAATTTCGGGATATTTGGCGAGGAAGTTATTTTTATAAGTGTTTCTCCAATAAAACATGACATTAATCTCTATTCAGCGCAGCAGAAAAATGTTAAAACTGTCAAATTTCGGAACGAACTTTCGGATGTATGTGACAGGCTTTTTTTATTTCACACGATAACTTTTTTTAACAAATTTCGGATGTCGTACCATCGGATTTCGGATGCATGAGACTCCGGCTTAAATCTGTAACTTAATAGCCGGACGACCAAAAATTACCTGTCAGGGCATAGCCTAACGCTACGCAATGCAATCAAATATTCAGCTGATCGGCTCCGTAAGAATGTATTGTTTTCACTTTTGCAACCAAATAGTCGGTGGACCAAAAATTGCATATCAACGCGTAGCCTAATTATCCCAAAATACTCGCAAGAGGAAGGCAGAAATATGCTTGCTTCATTTAGAAATACGTAATAATTACTTTTTTTCAAGTATGCGATAATTGTCTTGAGAAGTGTTATGATCCAGCCTACTATGAGCTTCTCTAAAATACAGGGTGGTCCGAACTGTATTCCGGAAATTTCGGCTGCATATTCTGCAGATACAAATAAGTACAAAAGTTAGTATAAATGTATGTCTAAAAATGCTGGGGTGTAGAAATTTCATTTTAATTTCGATTTTTTCCAAACAATTTCTTTAGTAACGTCAATATTTGAATGAAAATTGATGTCTGGGAGTTTTTTGATATGAGAAATTTTATTTTGATGTCAATATGATTCCTACCTGTAGAGGGCGCCACCTACATATTTTTAACTGGTTTGAGGAGTAATAACTTTTTGGCCGTACCTGTATAAAACTACTGAGTAGAAAAATATACATTTACCACGTAACGTAAAAAAGGTTTCTTGATAAAATCGCACAAAAAAATGTAGCTCAGAAACAAAGAGGGCTATGAAAATTTTGTTACCAATATCTTCCGTTTGACAAAACAGGAGGACACGTAAACCACATCATCCTATCTTCACTAATAATGGAGATATCTTGTACAACTATTCAACTTACAGCGTACAGAACATATGTATTTTTCTTTTTAACATGTCACACCATAATAAAAACATTGCTAGAAAAGTTGATTAGGTTATATTAAATAATATTTTTGCCTTACTAATTATTGCTACTTTATTACAGATACGACTGATATACATTCAGAACTATAGGGTAATAACAAAAATAAATTAATGTAAATTTAACTATGTACAGTAATAGGATTGCATTATAGGTTATTTAATTGTCATAAACTGTCGATAAGTTAGTACTATTTACATTCTTTTCCATTCTGTGAAAGTATTTTTTAAAAATAAAACGTTTTGAAACTATATTTTTGTATATTTTATTCTTAATCATTGAATAATTCGAAAATATTTATTATTTGATAAATAGGCATGCACTAAATGTTTACATAGTCTGTCAAACGAGAGAATATGTGATATTGACAGTTATTGGCTTGGATTCTGTCAATTTTTCTGTTTTGTTTCAAAATCGTTCCTTCTCTCAGTGAACAGACTTTATGACAATGTAAACAAGTAGCCATAATTTTTATCTTATGTACTGTTTGTATTTTAAATATTTAAAGCAACTACTGAATGCCATTCCTAATATTTTCCTTTTTCCATCATTTTAAATGTGTTATTTCTAAATAAATACACGCACGCCACTTTTGAAAAGTAGTAGGTATGCTTATTATAATAAAGTCGTACGAAATTTAATTTCAATAACATGGCTAAAATAATATTTAAAAATATCTTTTTTATAATTAGAGGGGTCACTTGGAAAAAGTGTTGGAAAGCTAATTATTGTTTTGATTGGTTCATTTGATGTGAAAGAGAAGTTTCCTAGATTTTTTTTAAAAATCAAGTAAGTACAGATCAGGCAATGCTTCTGGCAATATTATAATTATTTTAACTAATATACAGTTTTTAGATTTGTTAAAAATGTAGTTTTGATACATATAATATTACTTTGGATCATGGCTGCACTAATATGCGATTTTATTTATTTTTTGAAATGTAATTTTATTTCCTTAATATTACATATTCGTTGTGTTTCTGTATTTTTTAATTATTTTTTAAAAATGTCTATTTTTTACAAATCACTAACGACTAAGTAGCTTCATAAGAGTCACATAACATCTTTAGTATATTTTTATAAAACTTAAAAATGGCAAACTAGGTCTAGACGAGTATGCATGACGGTTTAAATGATCTAAATTCTTTCCAACGAGAGGATATGTGACAGTGACAGTTGTCTGTCAATTTAAATCACAGGTACTTTGTAATTTCTGTCATTTTTTTTTCTGTCAATATATTTCCTGGTTGGTTGAGCTGTCTTTAGAGTGATCCAACGTTTAGGATAAGTTCTATCTCAGGTTTATAGTTTGAATTGCCATAAACTAGAATCTTGCCAAAAAATATTATATTGGTTAAAATAGTTCTGTACCGAGTGATTCTTGTTAGACTATTTTAAACCAAATTTAGTTATTATAAAAGTTCTGCATTTGCAAAATTCTAAAATCGATAATTTTAAGTACCGTGGAATAATGTCTTCTACAAATCTCAGCCTACTAAAATTTCAATGTTGTTTGATACAGGGCGAGTCAGAATTAATGTTATATTTTTAGGTTTGGTTAGGTTAGGTTAGGTTAGGTCAGGTTAGTTAGGTAACAATTTAAGACATGAGTTGATAAAGGTGTCATATCGCATTTTTTTTTAAAAATCAGTTTTATCCTTAAAAAGCAGATCTATCCTCCAATAGACTCCATAGATAAATGAAACAAATTTAGATTTGAAAGTGCCCATAAGGACAATGTAAACACTATTTGGCGCTATTCTTGCAACGGTCGCGACCCAAAACTTTTGAAAATTTCGGAGCGGTTTGGCTTTTTCCGGAATTATATCGCCAAATATTGTTTAATCAAATTTATTATTGTTTTCTTTTAATTTTATAAATAAAATACAGAGTGTTGCATACAAGGAACTTTATTTTATATAAGGACATGTATGAAATACCTCCCAAGTAGCATTTTCACGACTTGCGACCAAATGTTTACTAAACACAACGTTGGATTAGTTACAAAAAATAGTTAGCTCCGTACCTTGGGTATTAAAATAAATGTAAACGTTGTTGTAACGTTGTGCCGACGTTGAACTAGTACTACAACAAAGTAAAAGCTTCTGCGACGTCGAATAAACGTTGTCTTGTAACCTTTTTTGCTTAAGTGATCTTTAGGTGATTCGGACAACGTAGTTACAATGTTGGGCAATAAAGAGTTTTCCGACGTCACTTTCAGGACCTATTCCAACGTTATGCAAACGTCGTCTGTTTTACTAATTCCAACGTTGTTTAGATTTCCTTATTCTTACGTTGGTAGGACGTCGAGCCACTACCTTTTTGCAACTGTATTGAACCATAACCTTTAAATCTTAAATCACTTTCACTTCATTGTTCAGTCAGACAGTTCAGTGCTGTTTTTGTTTTTATAAAAAAAACTTAATTAAAATGGGACATAAGAAAGGTACATATAAAACTAAATTTAAATATACATCGACATATTACCGATACTTTATCCACTCCCTCGTTTATTTAGAATATAGAGGGCGGCACAAGCTGGACTCTAGGATGACTAAATTAGGCAATCTTGCGACTAGTATACTACCTGTTAAAGCGGAACTGCGACTTTATTAGTCCAGTATGCGACTACTCGAACTACTCCATCTTAATCCCCAAAACAACAAAGTGAAAGCCGCCATCTTGTTGAATAAGAAAATGTTTCGTTCCTAAAATACCAATTCCTGCTTTTTGAATACATTAACTTGAAATATTTGACACTAAACAACACGCGGAAACAATTTTTTCGACTGCAAATAAATTATTCTCATTTTACTAAAAAAAAATTCAAGAAATTTTTTAAAACTTCTTTAATTTTAAGGCCCATTAGTATTTTTCAAAGTAGAAACAATACATTTATAATTACAATAAAGTTGTTTGCGTTTAACTTTTTTGCCTTGGGTAACGAGTTACAGAGTCGGTTAAAGTGTTTCAATAATTATCATCTTCAAACATCCTCCATACTTAAATACTTTTTTGTTTTCCTTTACTGCCATCTGGCATATGTCTCTAACTAAATCATAAAAATAATATTTTTACTATAATATATCCCAATTTAGGATAAAACGCGACTTGGCGCCATATTATTATTGTTTTGTATTTCTGTGAATTGGGATTTTAAACAACGTTGCAGTTTGTACTAAATTAGGCTGCTAGCCAACGTAGGTATCCAACGTCGTTTCGACCCAAAAATTATTCTCCAAACTAGAGCAGACTAGGGTTGGCACGAGGTTGTGCCGACGTTGCGCTCCGACGTTTGGTCGCGTGACACAACGTTGTCCCGACGTCCGAATGCTGCTTGGGCTATGAAACATTGGAAACCGACGTTATGCCACGATCCACGATGGTTTGTGCAGTTCATAGTTCACAACACAGTTTTTTAAGTTTGTAATGCCACGTTTTCACAATTATCACGGGTTTGAGTAAATAAAACTTAAACTCACAAGAAAGCAATAATTACTCTGAAAATGGACGCTTTAAATACTTTTCGGTATTTTTTCAATGAGGGCGGTTTAAATTTTGAAAGATTTTATAATTTTTGAAGATTCTGACTTTGACAAGAGAAAATTATTTCTGTTTTTGTTTGCGGTTGTTCTTAAAAACCGCCTTAGTAGCGCCAGATCGCGTACAACAGTCGCGACCCAAAACAATTTCGCGATCTAAAATCTTGACGGGCTTTCCAATCTAAATTTATTTCCTTTATCTATGATAGACTCTAAATATCAAATATATATATACCATAAAGAATATCCTAAGTGATAAAAGTGTCATGTCACATACACCTTCAATAATTTTTAGACGTGTTTTGTCGATTTACTCGAAACTCTCAAAAAGCGACATGACATCTTTATCTACTCATGTCTTCAATTGGTTCATTCCACCTCCTTTGATGTAATGTGAGAACACGTCTAGAGGTTGGGTTATAAAAAAAATTGTTGTTTCGCAAAAAAGATGTTGAAAATCGTGTATTTTCTTTTAAATTTTCCTGTATACATTTTAAAACTGTTTAGAACTGCCTGTTTACCCCAAATTTTCATCTGCATCTTTTTTTAATTTTTAAACTTGAATATATCGGTTATTTTGGAGTTATTTGTAAAGAGAATATGTTTCTTTCTTCATTCCATTTAAACATATACAATTTTAGTTTGAAAATGTTAAATCACCCTGCCTGTTGACCAAAATATGGGCTGCATATAGTATAAAAACCATCGGAGTGAAAATTCAAACAAAGAACCCTGATTCAGAGCTTTTTAGGAACGCTAGATCACCCTGTATGTACAATAATATTTGAATATATAATCTTTTTGTTAAAGTGACAAGCACGTAAGTTATATTTAACTTTTTTAGTTGTATGTATTTAATATAATTTAATTTAAATAAATAAATAACTTTAAAACAGTAACTTAAGATATGTCCATTTCACTGGATGCCGCGCTTTTTATAAGCACTCATGAACTTGCGTCATAGTTCGACATACTTTGCACTTAACGTAACAACAATTGTAAATCTTGCACTGGCATCTCTCGATTTTTTCTTCGACTACCGTTTTGTAGCCGCGGCCGCAACATAGTTGTCTGCAACTATCTAGGCTATTGGAGGACACGTTGCACAATCTAAAAAGAAAAACATGATTTATTACTCTTTCATTAAATTAAAAGTTAATTTAAAGTTTTTTAAAAACTTTTGATGATTATTGAAACAATGTGTAGCTAAATTATTTGATTTCTATTAATTGGTATTATTCCTAAATTATTTGTTTTACTATTTGAAATCTTCATCTGCAAGTTATATGTGGAACAATAAAATGTTCCTTGGACCCTATTTAAAAACTACTTTCTACTTTTTCATTTCAGTACTGGAGAGTATTGGAATAAAGAGGAAGTTGTAACTGCTGCTGAGTTGTACGAGTATTTACTGTTTTTTAAGTTTTCTTTCTCGGAACCGTAACCTTATTCGAAATTATTTTGTATTATTTCAAATTTGTGTCTAGTATTTTTATTTTGAAACTAAATTAATGTACAACGAACTAAAAGACATTCTAATAAATATCACAACACTGGAAATAGCAGAAGAATCTATATATCTGGGGTAACTAATACACAGCTCGGGATTTCTACTACCAGAAATCAACAGAAGAATTAAGTTAGCATGGAGTACTTATGGAAGAAACTCAAATCTAGAATGGCACATTATCTAAAGAAGAAAACATTCGACCAATGTCAAACCAAAAAAGACCGTAAAAGAATAGAGTGGATGTCTACTATCTTGGTGGTACTTTGGTAATTTCTGAGATTATTGTTTTGCCTGTCATTGCAATATGGGAAACCACTAGTTACAAAATCAGTAATTGAACAAAAGTTTCGTATTGAAAGATCCGGTATTTTAAAATACCCAGATAATAGATGTCATCCACAGAAACAAATCCCTCAAGTGGTAATGGGCAGGACACCTGGCAAGAAAGATAAAGGACGGATAACAAATGGACCACAAAAATTAGAGCATGGTACCCACGAGGAATTAAGAAGAAGACTAGAAGAAGACTAAACCTGAGATGGGACCATGATATTAGGAAATTCCTCCTCCTCCTAGGTGCCGTCTCCGTTGAGGTTGGCGACCACTATGGCAAAATCTTCCCTATGTATTAAAGTATTCCCGTTTGAAATATTTGTCCAATCTCGTATATTTCGAAGCCACTATTTCTTCTTCCTTCCTATGCCGCGCTTTCCCTCGATTTTACCTTGAAGTATTAGCTGAAGCTGTTCGTATTCTTCGTGTCTCATTATATGCCCGAGTTAAGCGGTTTTCCTTATTTTTGTTGTGTTGACTAAGTGGGCACGGGTGTTCATTCTGGTCAGTACTTCCACATTTGTTGTTCTAGTGGTCCAGCTTATACGTAGCATTCGCCTATAAAGCCACATTTCGAATGCCTCTACCTTCCTGAGGTCCTCCTGTTTTAGATTCCAAGTTTCGCACCCGTATAGCAACAAAGGCCAAACGTAGCACTTGAGTGTTCTCAACCTTACCCCTATGGACAAACGCGGGTTGCGGAGTACGCTTCGCATCTTAACGAATCCTGCACGAGCGATTTCTATTCTCCTTTTAATCTCTATAGAGTGGTCGAGCTGACTGTTTATTTCCCTGTCCAGGTAACAGTATTTTTGTACATAATGTAAAGTGGTGTTATTAACAACAATGTTCAATTGAGGGTGATCTTGAGAGGTCCGAGAAAACACCATAGTTTTGGTCTTAGATACGTTTACCTCCAAACCCATTCTGGTACTATGCTCTGTTAGGATGTTCATCAGAGTCTGTAGCTGTTCTTTGACTGTCCGATCACTACGGTGTCATCTGCGTAACGGAGGTTGTTAACTATTCCATTTAGTTAAGCTCCTTCAGCTCGATCTTCCAACGATTGTTCGATTATGTACTCGGAGTACACATTAAATAACAATGGGGAGAGGAGGCAGCCTTGACGTACCCCTCTTTTGATATCTACGTAAGAGGTGTTTCCAGTTGAGGGTTGGAACCTTTTGTGTTACACAGCAAAATAAAAACACTAAATCACCAAAACACTTTTACTTTTATACTGGACGCGTGTTTCGCTATCCATGTAGCATCTTCAGCAGATGATTATAAACTCAAAGCCACCACACAACCAGTTTATAATCATCTGCGGATGATGTTAACATGGTTAGCGAAACGCGCGTCCAGTGTAAAAGTAAAAGTGTTTTGGTGTATTGTGGTGATTTAGTGTTTTTATTTTGAGGTGTTTCCAGTTGATGTTCGGACGCATCCCTTATGGTTCCAGTATATATTACGAATTACAATGATGTCATCGTTATCCTGGAGGATGTCTATTAGTTTTTCATGTTGTGTGCGGTCGAAAGCCTTCTTGTAGTCTACGAAGCAGACATAAAGATCCTTCTTTACCTCCAAGTATCTTTCAGATATTAAGGTTAGGCCCAGGATGGCCTCTCTTGTTCCTGTTCCTCTTCTGAAGCCATACTGCGATCGACTTGGTAGTTGTCGCGTATGGATCGTATCCGTATTAGGAAATTAGCAGGGATAATTTGGGCCCACATAGCCAACAATAGACAACAATGGGCCCAACTACAAAACGCGGATTGCTTAATACAAAACAAAATTTACTTAAATTAAAATTAAAGGTTAGATCGATATAAATCTTGCAAAACTGGAACCTGGATGTAGATCCATGAAGCGATGTAACTCCGGACCCGACACTTTTAAAATACCGGATCTTTCAAAACGAAACTTTCGTTCAATTACGGATTTATTTATTTATACTCCCTACAAACACAATATTAATAATTGTAATTACATACAGAGAGTTGAACACATTTAAATTTAAAATTTACAAGGGAAAGAAAATAAACAGACATAAACAGATTTAAAATTCAACTAATTAATAAACAAAAAATATAACATAAAGAGGAGATAGGAACGTTAATAAAAATTAAAATGCCCCCTCAAATAGGGTGGTTACTCGGTTTTTTTTTCTCAGGTAAGATTTCGACAAACGATGACAGAAAAAATGCAGATGACTTCCATACCAATCCATTTATTTCACTAAAAAAAGTTTTTGAGAATTGTCAAACTCTTGCCCAATTATAGGTTATAATTTTGTGTCGAATTATGTCAAATAGAAATGATAAATATTTTGCATTTTGGACTGTGTTGTTACTTGTGTTTCGTGTTTTTTAAAATTAAGTGAAGGAAAACTTGAGGGAAAATTAAGTGTTGACCCAGACCATAGTTTACAGTTAATATTCGGTGCACAGAGACCGCCAGAGACACAGTTTGCCAGAGACTATGGCCAGAGAGTTGTATTAGCTACAAATAAAGTTGTATACCATCTCGTATATGGTACCAAAAACTAGAATATCTGTAAAATAATATCACACGATAGGTAAATAATACATTTTAGTACTGCAGAAAAAAATTAAAATTAAAGTTAATTAACCAAGATTTTTTTTCAGTTTTATACAGGTTTTTGTTCACCATATTTTGAAGTAATCACTTGTCACTCAAAATTTAAATATATCTTTGAATAAGAAGACTAAGGAAGGAGCATAATGCTATCCATGTATTCATGCATGGTGGGCGGAAAAAGCACTCTAGGGTGGGGATCCTTGACAGTTCTGTTTGACGATTCATTTGACACATTTGAATTTGATTTGAAATTTTGTGGATTTGTCAGTCTTTACGGAGCTTATTTTATGTTATTTATTCTACTACTGATAGTTGTATAAATGTAGTAAATCTAGATAGAAATTGTGGTAGAACTTAAATTAACAGTGACACTATCGCGATTTATCGAAAAAGACTCTAAAATAGTTGGTTGTGTAGCGTGCGGTAGATCTCGGCAAAAATCGAGTGAAATAATGGAACAACTTTTCGCTAGTAAGTGACTATATAATATACATATGTACGTGTAGTAAACCGATCATTTATGAAATTCACTTAAATTAACTAAATTATATATTTTCTTGCATTTTAGCTTTTATTTATTACTTGTCAAAGATTAGATGTCAAAGATACGTTAATTTGACTTATAAAATAATTTTGACTTACCTGCTTCAGTAGCGTATCGGATGTTTGTGTTAATAAATACTTATTATAACTTATCTATTTTTATTAGAATTATATATTTTTATAACAATTTTAATAACTACCAACATTTATTCACAACGTAAAATAAAACAACAAATTATTGAGTCTACCCCACGTCTACCCTACATCATAGTTTTACATTTTTTAAATAAAATTAGAACGACACTGATAAACCGGAATTTAAGTCGGCCATATTTGAGGCCCATCGCGGTGTACCTAAGATTTTTGATATGCTCCTTCCTTAGTCTTCTTATTCAAAGAAATATATTAATTATGCATTCTAATTGTACCAACTTATTTCTTTGTAAAATAAAATAAACTACTTTAAAATTAAAATGACAGACACATATATCACTGTCAAGGATTTTGTCGTTGGACAGACTATACCTAGATGTCTACAATCAAAGGGATCCACTAGATTATCACATTTACCTAAAAAACTATTGCACTGGTCCAACATAATTCTAAATGGTGAACAATCTCCACACTCAGTAAAAAAGGGTTTAACATTATTCCCTCTAAGTCTCACCTTAGGAACACAATATGCTTATATAATTAATTAAGAATAAATCTTTATATTTAAGGTTGTTAGTTATACACAAAATAAATAAGATTGCCGGTCTTATTCTTCTACTTTTTAGTGACACAAAACCAAAAGTATCGAGCATGCTTCTGTAGATAGGAGATCATATATGGATATCGAAGGTTTTTCCTGACATAGAGATATCTTAGAAATCTCTTTTGCACTTTTTCTATTTGGTTATTATTTACATAAGCTTCCGGAAACCACACTACAGAAGCATACTCGAGATGTCTCACTAACGCATTATACAACTTTACTATGCTCGATATATTGACAAAATTCTTTGAATTTCTTATTACAAATCCTAGTACCCTATACGCTTTACTTATCATGTGATTGTAATGGGCATTAAACTTTAGATTTGACTGCATGACGACTCCAAGATCCCTGAACTCATCCTTTCTACATAAAATGGTGTCATCTACACGATAGTTGAAATTTATCGGTATGTCTTCGCGTGAGAGTGGTGTAGAAGCATTTATCTTTATTTAGTGACATTCTATTAGTTATAAACCAAGCATTTACTGCATTTATATCTTCAAGCAGAAGAAGGCAATCCTCCTTTCCATGGACCGTCCTAAACATCTTAAAGACGTCAGCAAAAATTAAACATGATGAGTGTTTAAGGCAACTTGGTAAATCGTTGATAAATATTGCGAACAGTAAGGGGCCCAAAGTAAGTAAGTAAAGTAAGCAAGTTAGTAACTCGTGGTTTCCAATATTGCAACGACAGGCAAAAAAATAAGTTCAGAAATTACCAAAGCACCATCAAAATAGATTTAGTAGACATTTTGCTAGACTTTTATCCGAATCCACCCTGTAAAGGTTAACCGAATGAGAAAGAAATGGGACAAAGCAATTCGACGGTTACCAAATTTGTGATATTACACTTTTGAAGGTATACTGTTGAACGGCAAGTAAAAAGTGGTTGGTTTTTCTAAGATTTATTGCCACTAATTATAGATAATAACCGTCTGTGTCGGTCGAGAGGAAAAAACTAGACCGCTTTTACGGTGGTATTTATTTGTGTGGAAGTAGCCGAATTAAAATTCTTCGTCTGCGATTTGTTCTGTCCCTGGGAAATTATCCTCCGGTGTGAGAGAAAGAGAGAGGTAAATTAATTTTACGAAACACATTATAAAGGCATTATAATGGGTATAATTTGGTAAATTATATATATCGTCGCCGTCGTCGGTAGAAAGGCACCTGGTGAAAATTGACTTTTTTATTGAAGACGGAAAACACCGGTTTAAGAATGATATTTGTTTCGGCAGATAAAAAATTCTGTATATTGTGATTTAAAAACATTTACCTGCTAAAAATAAATTTTATAATTTTTCTCTGAACGGAAATTATAAATAAGGATATCAACCTCTGACAAATGATACAAATAGACACACCTTCCTGTACAAAACAAAGGTACCCAAGATATACAAACAAAAAAGTCTATTGACGAAGATCGTATATAATTATATGTATAGGGTGTTAAAAACGCACTGTCAAATTTCTGGGGATAATTTCGAAATATCCGAAATACGTAGCTTTAAAGATACAGAATGTTAGACATTTAAAAAAACAGTTTTTTTGTAATGAGTACAAAAATATAGTATATTGTTTTATTAGGATAAAAATTACACTTTTTGTGGCGAGGCTGTACGTTTGGCGAGTCGAGCGTTAGCGAGTCCGACATACAGGAGAGGCACAAAAAGTAATTTTTACTCCGAATAGAACATGCTATTTTTTTCAAACGTGCCACAAATAATTTTTTAAACAATTTCAAGCGTTCCAACTAATATAAAAAGATAAAAATACCTTGCATGTAATTATATATCGAGAAACTATGCGGTTAACGCTCGTTGAATTTGACACTTTATGTTTAAGGATAATATATTTTCGTACTTTTGTACTTAGGCTTTTATGCTTAGACTTTTTTTGTGCTAAGTGCTTTACTTTTCTGCCTAGGCGTTTAAATGACTTTTTTATATTGTCAATCACATCGCAAAAAATAATACTTTTGCGACGTTTGACGTTTCTTTGTGACGTGTCGTAGGTATAAAAGTAAAGCACTTTTACACCTAAGCACAACAGTATGAGCATAGTGTCAAATATTACGAGTATACCGGGTGCGTCTCAAAAGTGGCTCACCCCTATTACTTTTTTATCTTTTGAGATAAAAAAACGAGATTTGGTATGTTAGTATATGACATAAATTAGGATTGATTGTCGTATTCAATTCTTTTCGGTCGCTTCCTGTTTCGCCGGAAATAACTATAACTTTTGATTTTTAAATGGCACTCTCGGTATTTTTTTTACTTTATTCGATAGAAAATAACACTCCGAATAGAATGACATATCATATGTCAACTTTTGACATTTTCGATTAAAATAAAATTGTATTTTAAATTTCAATCTAGAGTGCCATGGTTGTGTTAAAAACACTAATTTTTAATCAAGGAGGATAATTTGGAACAATAGATTTGATCGTCTAATATTTTTAGTGTCTTGTCCTGGCCGGTTAAGAGATGCCCATATCGTATTTTTAGTCATATCTCAATTTTTTCAAATGGAACGAGTGTGTCTCATTAGCATATTTGGAAAAGAATTTTTTACGAATGATTTGGTACCACCGAGGGTACCACACATTTGATATCTCCAAAAACACTAATATTTAATCAAGAAATCTTGGAAAAATAGATTTGATCGTCTAATGTTTCTAGTGTCTTGTTCTTGTCAGTGAAAAGATGTCCAAAGCGTATTTTTAATCATATCTCAATTTTTTCAAATGGAACGAGTGTGGCTCATAAGCATATTTGGAAAAAGCATTTTTTACGAATAATTTGGTACCACACACTTGATATTTGAGTCAATTTTCGTTATGAATCGCATGTTGGCAATTTCAAATAAGCAATATTCGAAAATGTCCAAAGTTGACTTATGATATGTCATTCTATTCAAAACGTCTTTTTCTATCGAATAACATAACAAAATACCAAGGGTGCCATTTAAAAATCACAAGTTGTAGTAATTTCCGATGAAACAGGAAGTGACCAAAAACAATTGAATACGTCAATCAATTCTAATTTATGTCATAATATACTAACATACCAAATCTCGATTTTTTATCTGACAAATAAAAGAAGTTATAGGGGTGAGCCACTTTTGAGATGCACCCGGTAGTCCATTTTATCTCATAACTTAATTCAAAAATTAGTTTTAGTTTTATTTTTTTACAAATTGCTTATCAAGTTGTGAAAATGAGTTACATTTTTCATATGGGGGTCCGTTTACCTCCGGCATACTTTCTACTTTGATAACTAACCTTCCCATTGTCCCAAAGCTTCCCAACTTTTCATCCTTGGTACAATAATCTGGAGATTTCGAAATATACACCAGCTCATCGGAGAGTACGGCCTTCTTTTTCGTTTTTTGTTCGAGACGTTCTACAGTTTTTTGCGACACCACTTTTGCAGTGGTAAATTTTTGTAACAATTCCTTTCCTATCTTGATCATCGGTGGTAAAGCTTTCCAACAAGTCTTAATATTACAGGAACCCGATACACCATGACACTTGCATTCGTTATGAACACTGGCTGTAATTAACTTAAAAATATTTGAATTAATAATGAATTCATTTTTATGGATGTATCGTTACCGAAAAGAAATAAAAATATCTGATTTATGTAAAAAACTATAGGGTTTAGAATTCACGGAAATAAATTAGTGAGGATCCTTTTATAACATATATTTTTCTTACCAGTAGAACATTGTATACTTAATAGAATAAATGATGCAAACTTTGAATATCTCTCCCATTTATCGAAATGACGTCATTATTTTTATTAAAGTAGGTATTTAAAGTTGTTATAAATTTTCTCTACGTAAACAAAAAGAAATGATCTAATTTCTTGTGAAAAAAATATTCTAATTTTATACAGGGTGTCCCATTATTCCGTGGGCATAGAACTACGTATTTTTGGACTCGAAATAAGTTCATTGGACACAATTTACTTTTATACAAAAATGCTTAGTTTGTCCGCTAGAGGGATCATCAAACTTTAAAAAGATAAACATATTTTTTCAGATATTTTAAGAACAGTTATTCCGACTTAAATGAGATTTTTGGTGTATATATTTTGCTAAGTGCTTTAACATTTGACTTCAAGAAGACATTTGACTTTGAGAACAAGGACCATTCTACGAAAAAAAAAATGAATAAAAGAAAGAAAAGAAGAAGTCATCATCTTAGACGGGTTGATTAGGTAAAAAAACCAAGTTAGAGGAAGTGCGTGGATTTGCAAAAGGTGTTGTGAGAGGTCGGAAACTTTTACAGGGTGAGTCTTAAATAAGTACAAATATTTTAGGGGTAGTGTAGTTCGACCACAGAAACACATTTAAGAATTTTTTATCGCGAAAATATATTTCTTTAATTTTGGAATTTTTTGAAAAAAATTTGGGATTTTTTTTTTAATTTTAATTAAAAACAAAATATTTTCATAATATGACAACATATGTAGTAGATTAAAAAAATTACAAGAAAGCAAATCCAGATGAGATCCAGCGGTTCTCAAAATGTAAGCGAAAAATCATTTTTTTTAAATTTTCAAAGTAAAATATCTTGGTTATTTTGGACTTATTTATAAAACGGTAAAGAGAAAATATATTTTTTATCGAGATCTACTAGTCCTGAAAATATTTGCACTTATTTAAGACTCCCTGTATATATTTATCACATATTTACCTTCCTTCCCATTTTAATGTTATGAAGATTAACGATGGCTACTTCATTTTTAAATACATCGTTTTCCTCATTTAAATCTTTGGCTCTTTTAGTTTTTTCGATTTTTAGCAGATTGTGTTTTTCCACGTTATCTATAAATCTCTTCGAAAATTGTGATGCCCATCTAAAACAAAGAAAAATCTGTAAAAATAATACTAAAATATTTTTATCTTTATACCACATTATAAAAAAGATCCGACAAGCACACTGAGCTAATTTTTTATAATGATTTCTGAAATTAACTTTGATGACTTCGAGGAAGACATTTTTTAATAAATGTAAAATTTTTAAGGAAATATTTGCCATTTTTGTAATACATGGAAGCCATTATCATGAGAGCGAAGATTATGAGTCACTGATTAATCCTAAATACTCGTATATACATATTTAAATCCAGATAGATAAAAATCCAGATATTTCTAAAATCATATTACCTGACATTATCTCCACATCCTCCCCATTGAAAACTATCTGTAGGCGAGTTGATTGGTTTGCTCGCGCATGTGCATTGATGTAAATTGCCACTTGAACATGCACGTGCCAGCGTGTACACCAAGGCCGCCGAGCTAATGGCGTACACATATGCTTGCTCCCTAGTTGCTAAAAGAATCATGATTTGTATCAAAGACCACTAGTATAAACAAAAATCATTATTATCTATTTTACAGATTATTACCTTTACAATAACAAAATGAAACACTAATTCTAAACAATACTCCAACACACTTTTACTGTTTAAATAAACTGCAGATGTTGCTAACATGGTTAGCGAAACGCGCGTCCAGCGTTTAAAGCAAATTGTTTTGGTGTATTGTGGTAAATTAGTGTTACAAACTATCTTACAAAACAAATAAATTTTTGACAATTAAGTAAATTTGATCGACGACGTATAAGTAAGACTGTCAACAAAGTTTTGTTTTCTACTGCAAATGATAAATTTATGCGTATTGAAACATCGCTAAAAATTTGAAAGAAAATAACAAGATCGTTAATGGCGGCGTTTGGTAGGTATTGGTTTGTTTAGCGTGTTTAACGATTTTTAGATTAGATGTGTGTCCGTAGGTACAGTATAGGCTTAAACACTTAAGATGGTGGCTAGGAAATGGTATTTTATGCCTGGATGCGGTACAATGACATAAATTAGGATTGATTGGCGTATTCAGTTCTTTTCGGTCACTTCTTGTTTCACCGGAAATGACTACAACTTTTGATTTTTAAACGGCACCCTCGGTCAGAGTCTCGGTATTTTTTTTACTTTATTCCAGGGTTGGCATGATTTAAATCAAATGATTTAAATCGTGATTTAAATCAAGTGATTTTTTAAATTTTAATCATGTGATTTAAATCAAAAAATTAATTTTATTGAAATTTGTTTTATAAATCAAAAAATAACTGTAAAAGTTATAAAAATCTATCCTAGAAAACTATCAAAAATATTTCTATAACAGATAATAAATCGAAAAATAATTGTAAATTTTATAAAACTATATACAAATCTCTATTCATCAATTTAAATGTTGAACCGATTTTTGAAGTAATTTCGTGTGAATCCATAAGACCGTTAAACGCAGGAATTTATTTTAAAATTTATTTATAAGTGACAAAAATTCGCTTTTCGAATACATATCATTCGCCGACTAGTGCAGAACTAGGTTCTTCTGATATAGAGACTATATCTTCATTCCCGAAAATCTATAATCATTGTCAGAAAATATGTTGTTTTATTTTTTTTGAAACGTTGATATGTTTCCAAATTCTTACCGACCGACATTTTGATTTGCAGTAAGTACTTTACACTTTGACATTAGATAATACTATTTTCATTCTCGACTTAAGACGATTTCCGAACAATAGTGTATAGTTTTATTAATAGTAGAAATTATTAGTAGTGGGAACTATCGAATGAATACTATCGAAACATTCGATAGTTGCAATTCATTCGAATAATTCGATAGTAAGAAAACATTCGTTGAAAACTATTCGAATAAAAATTATCGAATAGATCCGTCATCTGCCTTGAAACATTGTATTCTAGTAATTTGGCAGCAAAAACCATTCATTTATAAAATTCATTCATTTATAAAATTCATTCATTTATCAAATTCATTTATTCGTTAGGATCGATTATAATAAAATATTAACTGAATTTTAGTTGTCGCCCGGCGACGTAGGTTTCTTTCCGAGAAACCCGACAGCGGTCGGTGGCAAAGAAGCCGGCATCTTTGATTTTTTGCGGAGTCGGATAAAAATAAGGACACATTATTTTTTTTATTGAGGTGCTAGTATTTACACAGAAAATACATAATGAAGGGCGCTGTTGCCATATTTTGGTATTAGTTGATATTAGCAAAGAATATTATTGTTTGGCTTTAGTTATAATAGTTAGGGATAGTATGTCTATATATTCTGCATTTTTTTTATTAATATTCTGTTGTTACACTGCAATAATACTTGTTATTTTGGATGTAGGAAAATGATTTTTAATGTTTTTAAGCAAAGACTGGTTTAATAAATAATAATAACAGTAATAATTTGTTATACCTATTAACAACAAAATTTGAAATCATTTAATATAATAAACATTTTTTTTAAGTAGTAGCAAAATATAAACAACAAATTTGATGTCAAAATTATTTATATTAGATCCTATTTAAAAATAATATAGTCTCTCAATTTTTTGTGGCAACGTTGGTTTATTAAATAATAATAATTACAAAACTAATTTGTTATATTAACAACAAATTTTAAAATCATGAAATATAAACATTTATTAATTTTCTAAGCGTGCAGTGTAATGCAAGGAAAATATAAATAAAAATTAGAAATCAAAATTATTTATATTCGGTACTTTATATTACTATTTAATAATAATAATATTTACTTTTACTGGTATTTACTTACTAAAAAATAAATGAAATATTTCTTCGCAAAAAACTACATGTAAGAGAATTAGCATAAACAAAATACAAACATCGTTAACTTTTTTTTAAATTGGCACGTGTAAAACTTTTAATTTAATTTTCTCACCCCATAGTCTGAGTTCGATAACCATTTACTTAACCACATTAATTAATATAATTATTAAGTTCAACTAATTCATATTATTAAAACATCTAAAATACAAATATGTATTTTTAAAATTAATTGTAAGTTCATCTCATCTCTCTTAAAAATTGCTACTTCTCAAAATTTCCCATTAAAAAATAGACCATATACCATATAAAATTAAATAATTGAAAGATCGGGCTACGGAAAATCACACAAACTTTCGGAAAAATTTTGACCACCTGCACACGCACACAATCGTCAATTAAAAAAACTACTATTTTAGTATTTTAAATATTTTAATAAACGCAAAAATAGCACAGTATTTATAAGGCGAAGTTATAAAAATTTGGAAGAACTAATAATGCACTGACGCACACAAAAATCAAACGAATACTAAATTTCATTTATCAAAAACATTCGATAGTCGTGGCTCAACGATAACCATTTAGTCGCACGGCGAGGTTGTCACATATGCTTTAGTATACAAATGAATGAATGATTTTATTCGAATAAAACCATTCGATAGTTGAAATCATTCATTCAGAAACCATTCGATAGTCTAATTCATTCGATAGTTCCCATCGCTAGAAATTATACTTTTTTTGGCGATGCTGTACATTTGAAGGACCATCGTAAAGCTATACCATCTAAGCTTTTCCAACGTTACAAGGAGGCACAAAAAGTACATTTTTACTCCGAATAAAACACTATTTTTTTAAAACATTACAAATAATTTTTTAATCAATTTCCAACATTGCAAATAATACAAACAGTAATCGAGAAACGATTTGTACACTCGTTGAATTTGACACCTAATATCAGTTTAATAATATATTTATGTACTTTTGTGCTTAGGCGTAACAGTGCTTTACTTTTATGCCTATAGCCGTTAAAATGACAAAAATTAATACTTTTGAGACGTTTGAAAAAAAATTGGCGCCGGGAGGCACGTATAGCCGCCCATACTAAAATATGTTAATATCTCGAAAACTGCGACTTTGACTGATTTTGATGTTATTACAAATTTTGTTGCAAATATTATTCCTAATCTTAATTTGAAAACCGCGTTTCGCTAGCTACTGTAATTTTGGAGTTACGATTTTTTTAAATTTTTAACCACCTCCTATACCCCCTTACCAACCCCCACCCCCACCAAAAACTAATGGCCAGATTCTCGGGTGCCACAGTATTTTTGTGCCAAATTTGGTTAAAATCGGTTCAGCGGTTTTTGAGTTATCGTGTTACAGACGGCAGACAGACAGACAGACAGACACCACGAAAATATTTTGTATTTAGGTCATTTATGACCCAAATAACTCATTTTGAGTGAAATTAAAAAACCTTTTTTTTTGCCGATCCTAATAGCCTACCATACCTACTGGTATGGTCGGCTAAAAATACTTTTGATCTGAAACGAGCGACTTTTTTGAGGAATATATTGGTGACCGATGTGGAAAAATGACACGCCCCGTAGAATTGTTAATGTTATCGGTATCGCTCAGCGTTATTAAGATTTAGCCATTTAGGATAGGGCTTTAATTGGAAATAAGTCCTAGTCATTTGGAAATCCGATTTAAATATTGTTTTGAATTAAAATCAAAAAAATCTAATTTAAATAAAAAAAATCCGATTTAAATAAAAAAAATCTGATTTTTTTGATTTTTTTAAAAAAATCATGATTTTTTCCAACCCTGCTTTATTCGATAGAAAATGACACTCTGAATATAATGACATATCATATGTCAAGTTTTGACAATTTCGCTTAAAACAAAATTGTGTTTTAAATTTCAATCTAGAGTGCCATGGCTGGGTTAAATACACTAATTTTCTCATATACAGTACGTCTGCTGTATATCTGTGTCTATGAAAGGAATGCGGACAAAAACAATTAAATAAACAACAATATATTTGATACGTCAACTTGACGAGTACGTCACCGCAAATCGCTCCGCCCACTCATTTTATTAGCTACTTGCAAATTTGTCGAATTTTTATTGATGGGACGCGTCGTCTAACTTTTTACGAAAAACATCGAGAGTATATCGTTTCAATTTTTGTTTTCACAAAAATGTCAATTTTTTCAAACAGAACGAGGGTGGCTCATTAACATATTCGCAAAAAATATTTTTTACTAATAATTTGGTACCACACACTTGATATTTCGAATCAAATTGTCGCTATGAATCGCATATTGCAACTTCAAATATACCTACACTCATGGACAAAATTATCGAATATTTTTTGTTACCTACCACTATTACTCGAACAACATTCTATATTATTGTTGTAAATTTATAAATTTGCTAATGTTATTCGTCTAGTAGGCAATTATATTCATTTGTTTTAAAATATTTTGACATTTAATTAATTTTAATAGCGTATATTTTCTACAGCCCTCTTTGAGATTTAAAAATTCCTTACACATAAATCAAGAATTATATTGAATTAAGTTATTTGTAGTGAATTTAAGTAATTTGTTAGTGATCTTTATTTGTTGTTTTCTCTATTTAAAAGAAATATGCCACCAATGAGGTATTGCAGTGAGGCTGAAGCGGCACATATTGTAACTTTGTATGAGGAAGGATATAGACAAACAGAAATCGCTCGGCGTCTTAGAAGAGGTCAGTCTACAGTGTCAAATGTTTTAAGAAGATATCAAGAGACTGGATATTTTGTACGAAGACGCGGCCAAGGACGCAAAAGGTGTACATCGGCAATAGATAACCGTTTTGTTTTGTACTTAATTCTACTCGAAATCGCACATTGACATCCACATACCTCAAAAATGAGTCACTAAATGTAACACAAGTTAATGTTAGTTCGAGAACGGTTAGAAGAAGATTAAAGGAAGTGGGTTTAAAGCCAAGACGACCTGCCAAAGTTCCACGTCTTCTCCAAAATCACAAAACTCGTCGATTGCAGTTTGCCAGAACACATATTCAGTTGAATATCGAGGACTGGAAAAAAGTTCTATTCACTGATGCGAGTAGAATACAATTATGGAAGCCAGATGGACGAAATCATGTTTAGAGAAGAGTCGGGGAACGATACAGAAGCTGCAACCTCATAGAAATTATTGGACGAATGAAGATCATGTTTTGCCATATGTAGGCCTCATTGGATACGACATATTCCTATTTATGCACGATAATGCTTGACCACATGCAGCTGGCATAATGACTAGTTATCCTGATCTAGTCCAGATTCAAATATTAGATTGGCCACCATATAGACCAGACTTAAATCCCATTGAGCATTTGTGGGATGAGCTAAAACGTCGCATACGATGAAGAAATCCTGTTCCAAATACACTAGAACAGCTTCGATATGCGATACACGAGTGGAATGCAATTCCTCAAGAATAATATATTCAAACTTTAATTAGTAGCATCTGTGGTAGCATGCTGTGAAGGATGCAAGCAGTAATTAGAGCTCGAGGTGGGAATACTCGTTATTAACTATTCCCTATTTTTTCATTCAAAAGGTTTTACTTACTTACTTCTGAAGCATTTAAGTTGAAACTAAGTATCCTTCATTTTCATAAATTTAACATTAATTTTTTTAGGATTTACTGTCAATAATAATTTAATCTCGAATTTAATATTCCTTATTTAAAATGTGTAAAATATATTGTGCTTTCTTGTTTGTTGCATATTATTAATTAAAATTCATATACCTACATGAAAAATTTTTTGAAAATTTAAAATATTCGATAATTTTGTCCATGAGTGTACCATATTCGAAAATGCCAAAAGTTGACATATGATATGTCATTCTATCCAGAGTGTCATTTTTTATCAAATAAAGTAACAATATATCGAGGGTGCATTTGAAAATTTAAAGTTGTAGTCATTTGCTAAATTTAATCCAAATTTATGTCATATACTAACATAACAAATCTCGATTTTTTATGTGAAAAAATAAAAAGTTATAGGCGTGAGCCAGTTTTGAGACGCATCCGGTATACTAGAAATTATTAAAATAAATTGAATATTACAGTAATATTTTGTTTAATTTTTTATGTGAATTAATGACAAAAGTCACAGGTTACAGAACACAAAACCAAAAAGAAGGAAATAAAAGCATAAAATAAAACTTTTATTTTTTTTAACCTTAATAAAGAAACTTTTATTTATAACTGAGTAATAAGAAAAAGATATATCATTCATCCAGAACTTTTTGGCACACGATTTATTTAGCTCTAACACAAAAAAATCCAAATTTTTCTTTAATGTTGCGGTAAACGTCCGAACCACCGGGACAAGAAAAAAACCTGCGATATTATTACTGTTTCGTCTCACGTTTCGACGTCAACTCGTCTCAAAAGCCAGCACATCGCAAAAGTCCTCCTTTATCATAGGAAAAGTAAGAGAATGCAGTGAGTCGGTGGGTGGGTTTCATTAGGCGCGCAAAATGGGGTGGAAAATGGTGAAAAGGGCCTCGCGCCAGACGAGATCCCTTTTATTTACTTCGGTTACCTCCATTCAGTGCTCGCGTGCCCGGAATTCGAGATGACTGATGAAACGAACGAACGATGGACTGGGGAACGCGAAATAAAGATGATGAGAAAGATTCGGGATAATGCGGCAGAGTTATTTTTACAGATGGACGAAAAAATGGGCCTTTTAAGATGGAAAAGCAATTATATCGATGTAGGAATGACTATTGTTAAGAACCTTGACTTTTTATCGGAAAACGTGCATTTTTTACTTATTCTAGAATGATTTCTAGAAGAATGCTAGTTACAAATTATATAACTGGCATTTAAGCCTCAAATTATTAAACAGAGTTAGTTTTTTTAGATGATCTTTGTCTTCTATAATTCGTGTATTTAAATCTTTAAAATAGCCTCTACACTAGTAGCGAAGGAAGCCAAAGTTTGAGACGCACTCGGTATACTAGAAATTATTAAAATAAAATGAATATTACAGTGTATATATTTTGATTAATTTTTTATGTGAATTAATGACGAAAGTGGTCACAAAACTAAAAAGAAGAAAATGAAAGCATAAAATAAAACTTTTATTTTTTTTTAAACTTAATAAAGAAACTTTTTTCGATAACTCAGTAATAGGAAAAAAAAGCATTCATCCAGAACTTTTTGGCACAGGCTTTGTTTAGTTTTAACACAAAAAATTCCAAATTTTTCTTTGCTTCGTTTTTCTTTAATGTTGCGGTAAACGGCCGAACCACCGGGACAAGAAAAAAACTGCGATATTATTACTGTTTCGTCTCACGTTTCGACGTCAACTCGTCTCAAAAGTCAGCACATCGCAAAAAGTCCTCCTTTATCATAGGAAAAGTAAGAGAATGCAGTGAGTCGGTGGGTGGGTTTCATTAGGCGCGCAAAATGGGGTGGAAAATGGTGAAAAGGGCCTCGCGTCAGACGAGATCCTTTTTATTTACTTCGGTTACCTCCATTCAGTGCTCGCGTGTCCGGAATTCGAGATGACTGATGAAACGAGCGAACGATGGACTGGGGAACGCGAAATAAAGATGATGAGAAGGATTCGGGATAACGTGGCAGAGTTATTTTAACTGATGAACGAAAAAATGGGCCTTTTAAGATGGAAAAGCAATTATATCGATGTAGAAATGACTATTGTTAAGAACCTTGACTTTTTATCGGAAAAAACGTGCCTTTTTTACTTATTCTAGAATGATTTCTAGAAGAATGCTAGTTACAAATTATATAAGTGGCATTTAAGCTTCAAAATATTAAACAGGGTTAGTTTTTTTAGATGATCTTTGTCTTCTATAATTCGTGTATTTAATTCTTTAAAATAGCCTCTATACTACTAGCGAAGGAAGCCAAAGTTGGCCGAAATCGAATAGTAAAGAAGGTTATTTCTTGTTTCCTCGTGGACTTTTGCTTTGTCTTTGCTTATTTTCTATACCGCGTGCGTTTCAAAAATGGCCCACTCCTATAACTTTTTTATTTTTTCAGATGAAAAATCGAGATTTGGTTTGGTATATGACAAAAATTAGGATTGACTGACGTACCTATTCAATTATCGTTTTCGATTAGTCCCTGTTTCACCGGAAATCACTACAACTTTTGATTTTTAAATGGCACCGTCGGTATTTTGTTACTTTATTCGATAGAGAATATCATATGTCAACTTTTGGCATTTTCGCATATGGTTTAACCGGAAATTGTAACATGCTATTCATAACGACAATTTGACTCGAAATATCAAGTGTGTGGTACCAAATTATGAGTAAAAATATTTTTTCCAAATATGCTAATGGGCCACCGAGTGAGCCACCCTCGTTCCAAAACATTATATCAAATCTATTTTCCAAGGCTCTTTCACTAAAAATTAGTGTTTTTAACACATCCGTGGCGCTCAGTGATATTTAAAATATAATGTTGTTTTAAGTGAAAATATCAAAAGTTGACATATGAGTGTGATTTTCTATCGAATAAAGTAACAAATATCGAGGATGTCATTCAAAAATTAAAAGTTGGAGTAATTTCCGGTGAAACAGGAAGTGATAGAACAGTTTTTTGGTATGTGGTGTTTTGATTAAAATACATTTTTGTTTGTTTTGTATTAACACATAGCGTAATTTTTTTAATAAAATAAGTCGATTAGATTTTTTCATTTTTATACAGTTTTTTTACAAAATTTTTAAGTAATCATTTGTCACTAAAATTTTAAATATTGTATTTATTCAAAGTAAATACCTATATTAATTTTCTTCTGTGCGTTTCAATTGTACCAAGTTATTTCTTTGTAAAATAGAATGAACTAAAACTACTTTGAAATTAAAATGACAGACACATCCATCACTGTCAAGGATTTTGTCGTTGGAAAGACAATACTAATTTTAAAATAATGTGAACTTGGCTAGAATTCATTGATTTTGTTAAATATTTTCATTCTGTATTACCTCTTGTTAAATCGGGAGTAAGAAAAGGTGCCGTTGTAATTGAAGAACAATTCCATCTTCTGTCGCGAAATATTTCTCGACACGTATCGGAAGCCAGCATGGCAGCTTTTTGTATATGCGGCATTGTTTCCATTGAATGTCGACAAAGTTTTGCTTGGATTTTAACTAAACCGTACCTGAAAATAGAAGTTTTGAAATAGCTACAAATTATAGGCTTTACAAAGTGATCCAATATTATAAAAATCCCAATATTTGATCAAAACATATCACCTATGACCTAAGATTGATTTTTCATTTATTTATTACTAAATAACTATTGTTTTAGTGCTTTACGTACATTTTTTATCAATATGCAGGTTGATATAAAGCTTTTCCAAAATAGTGATTTTGTATATATGTTACGGCTAAAATGGAGACTTGGCTAATTTTAAAACTAGCCAGCTATTTTGCAAATTAATTAAAAGCGCTGTTATTTTGAAGCAATCCGTCCATTCTTGCAAAATAGCAGGCAGCCAACGGCTAGTTTACAAACTAGCTGGTTAGTTTGCAAACTATAAATTCGTATTGGATAATGTCATAATTTTATATTTTTGTTTTCATATTAACCAGTTCTTTTAGTTAGTTTGTATAATAATCATTTATAATTTTGGCTAATATGATAACTCCATTAGTTTTAGTCACCCAAAATAGCAAGATTCTTGGCAAGTTTACGAACTAAAATCCTTGCAATTTAAAAGTGAGATTATTCCTATATTATATTCTTCATATTGAAGAGCTTACTTGTGTTTCTGTGTTTGTACGCGTATTTATGTGATTCTGTCAACTTAAGGTAGGTTCAAGTAGCAAAATAAAATTAAAAAAAAGTTGCAATGTACTTATTTATTCAAGGGCAATGTACTTGTCTATTCATATTGAAATTATGCAATAAAATAAATCCAAATCCTTAAAGTATTTATAGGTTAAAAACTCCTATTATTATACCCTGTCACTTATTTTATTTTGTCTGTATAAACGCAACTACCATGTTCGGTATAACCAACATAACTTATTAATTTATCTCTTATATTATTTTTTACTATTCTCATTTTATCTTATTTTATTTACTTATTTACTTTGACTGTTTGAACCTACCTTTTCAGTAGTTATGTACTAAGGCTTTCCGCTATACAGGGTGAGTTTCCTAGGGTGTTCTCTATGAGTATCTTGGAAACTACTGAAGATATAGAGTCAGTTAAATGGGGAAAGTATTGCAGTTTTGTGGGGTCATAAATATGCGCCTTTCAGATTTTCGAAGAAGTTCATGGCTTACTAGATATTTCGAAAACAAATTTTAGAAAAAATTACAAATTTTAGCTATTTTAAAAATTACCCCCAATTCCATTATAATCTATTTTAGACAAAAAGTTTTCAGATAAAAGTTGTAGATAATCACATCCTTAATGAGATTGTGTTCTCCGATTTCTTCTAAAGCCTGTCATTTTTGACATATGACACAAACATATGTTTTTTTAAATGGAAACCATAGTTGGCCATGACTTCATAAAAAGCGCCATTTTTTAAGCTTTTCAGCGATATAAGCTATGATATGTTTCTTAAAACGGTTTTCAAGACATGTTAGAAAAGTTAAATTTAGATACTCGCGCATTAATAGAATGGTTCCAACATGACTTTCATTATCACCCCCCCCCCACAATGTAAGTAATGTTAAAAATTATTTATATCATAATTATGTAGACTCAGGTATAGAAAGAGGTGGACCAATTGCATGGGTCTCCTCGGTCACCTGACCTATCCATTTTAGATTTTTTTATGCGGTATGGTTAACAACAAGGTTTACAAAAGAACTCATAAATTAAGAGAGGCACTCGAAGAGGCGGAACAGGAGAAGTTTAATTAAGTCGACCGGTCGTTCTGTAACAATAGCTAGAAATTCAGTTTTAAAAAGATGCATTTATGTACTCAAAACAATTGCGGATTTTTTGACCATTTTCTAAAATAACTTAAAGTATTGTAGTGATATGTAGTATGTAGTGATATTATTTTTTTAAGTTTTAGTTTGTGTAATGTAAATTGTAAAGAGCCGTTTAATAATATATTTTGTCTTTTTATAAGTTATAAATCATAACAAAATTAGAACACCGAACACCATTGAAAACCGTTCTCTAAAAAACGTAAGTAACTTTCACTGGTCAACGTATCCTGTATGGTCAAGAAAAGTTGAACCAATAATCCTACACGCTTTTCTTCATTTAAAAAAAGTTTATTTACAATTTTTGTTTATTTTAATTTACAAAGATTGGATGTGACAATTTCACATTTCTGAGAGCAACGACGATTGAACTTGTTTCCATGGCTAAGTGAAATTAGTCAAGAAAGATAAGAATTGGCTATAACTCAGCAATTTTGTGAAAGAAACATATTATAGTTTATATCGCTGAAAAGCTTAAAAAATGACGCCTTTTATGAAGTCATGGTCCACTATGGTTTCCATTTAAAAAAAACATATGTTTGTGTCATATGTCAAAAATGACAGGCTTTAGAAGAAATCGGAGAACACAATCTCATTAAGGATGTGATTATCTACAACTTTTATCTGAAAACTTTTTGTCTAAAATAGATTATAATGGAATTGGGGGTAATTTTTAAAATAGCTAAAATTTGTTTTTTTCGAAATATCTAGTAAGCCATGAACTTCTTCGAAAATCTGAAAGGCGCATATTTATGACCCCACAAAACTGCAATACTTTCCCCATTTAACTGACTCTATATCTTCAGTAGTTTCCAAGATACTCATAGAGAACACCCTAGGAAACTCACCCTGTATAGCGGAAAGCCTTAGTACATAACTACTGAAAAGGTAGGTTCAAACAGTCAAAGTAAATAAGTAAATAAAATAAGATAAAATGAGAATAGTAAAAAATAATATAAGAGATAAATTAATAAGTTATGTTGGTTATACCGAACATGGTAGTTGCGTTTATACAGACAAAATAAAATAAGTGACAGGGTATAATAATAGGAGTTTTTAAACTATAAATACTTTAAGGATTTGGATTTATTTTATTGCATAATTTCAATATGAATAGACAAGTACATTGCCCTTGAATAAATAAGTACATTGCAACTTTTTTTTAATTTTATTTTGCTACTTGAACCCACCTTAAGTTGACAGAATCACATAAATACGCGTACAAACACAGAAACACAAGTAAGCTCTTCAATATGAAGAATATAATATAGGAATAATCTCACTTTCGAAAAAAAAAATCGGAAAAAACAAGCTCATTGGGAATGTGATTATCTACAACTTTTATCTGAAAACTTTTTGTTTAAAATAGATTATAATGGAATTAGGGACAATTTTTAAAATAGCCAAAATTTGTTTTTTTCGAAATATCTAGTAAGCCATGAACTTTTTCAAAAATCTGAAAGGCGAATATTTATGACTCCACAAAACTGCAATTCTTTCCCCATTTAAGCGACTCTCTATCTCCAGTAGTTTCCGAGATGCCCATAGAGAACATGGTAGGAAACTCACCATGTATATTTCGGTATGTACTATACATTTTGCATTTTTCCTATCGGTACTTTTTCTATCCTATAAGTACGGTATTTTCCTATCCATCCTAACACTGTTTATTAACAAACAAAAACAATTAAGATAAATTTTGTAAACTATCTGGTAAATATATAAACTAGGAGCTATTTTGATAAACTCAGGTAAAATCTTAATCCTAACCAGATTTTGTAAATAGTTTGCATACTAACCAGTTAAGATATAAACTAGCTGCGGGTGTCTGCTATTTTGAAAGAATAGGCGGATTCTTTCAAAATAACAGAGCGCTTTTAGATAGTTTGCAAAATAGCTGGCTAGTTTTAAAACTAGCCAAGTATCCACTTTAGCCGTAACATATATAATTTAAAATTAATTCTAAATTGTTATAAGTACCTTCTTCTAGCTAATGTACAAGGTGATCTAATCCCTGATCTGATTCCTCTTCCATGATTGTTATTTACCGAGCTGACATTCCAATTTAAATGGGAATGTTGAAGTGATCTGAAACAATAATATAGAAGTAAAATCTGTTTTATTGTAGTAAAAAAAAATAATTTGTGATATGTATGTACACAGACATAAAGGCATTACAAATAAAAAATTAGATCTTTGTAAAAACGAATTCGTAGGTTCGAAATCTTAGGTTACCGCCTCCCTTCGGAGGTTGGCGATCCAACTGGCTATGATTGTGCGTAAAACTGCACCTCTAAAAAATTCAATAATTGTTCTTCCTTACCAACGACGCAGATCCTTAAGCCAGCCTTCTGCCAGAGTCTTGCCTTCTTTCCACTGATCTGTTGCCCTCAATTTTACCTTCAATGACCAGTCTGAGTACCTCATATCGGTCACTCCTCGTGATGTGGCCGACGTACTGTAACTTCCTTTCCTTAATTGTTGGTAGGAGCTGTTTATATCTGTCCATCCGCCGGAGCACCTCCTCATTTGTTACTCTATTCATCCAGAATACACGCAGTATACGACAATATAAGTACATCTCAAAAGCGTTAATGCGATTTTCCAATGTCTCATTGAGTGTCCAACTCTCAGAGCCGTAGAGAAATACTGGAAAGATGTAGCAACGCCGCATACGTATGCGCAGTTCGAGGCTTAGATCTCGGCTGAAGAAGAGGGTTTCATGGAAGCAAAAGTACGTCTGGTCTGTTGTATCTTCGCCAAAATTTCAGTTTTGGGGTCGCAAGCGTCGTTAACGAGGGCTCCTAGATATTTTATGGACGATACTTGTTCTACCGCCTTGTTGTTAATTCTGAGGACAGCCTTTTCCGGTGTTTTTGAAAACACAAGTTTAGTTTTATTTATATTGATGTGCAATCCTTACAGCATGCTATGTTCAACTACGCATTCCATCATGTTCTGAACGTGTAGAATGGGAGGATGCTTGAATAAATTTTCATATGAAAATTCATAAAATTAAGGATATTTTAATACAGGTCATTTCAGAAGCAGATTTCCCGCCTCCGAAAATATTTATAGCAAACTGAAGATTGTTGCAAAGATATTATCTTGTAATAATTGCGGAGTATTTACAAATGAACATGATTGACAACTCAAAACCTTTTTCTGTGAAATCAATGATCTTGTTAACGACAGCTTGCTATTTGATTTTGACTCTCAGAAATGTTTAACTGAATCTTTTTAATTCTAATTTCCTTTTATGAAATCAATCCACTAAAGAAACTTATTTAACGGTAAACATGCCTCAATAATGCTCAGCCTCTATCAACCAGCTTCATCCAAAACCATTTATGCCTACGCCCTGTTGATTTTATCACGTAATTGAAAAAATCTTCAGTTCTCTTATCGGATACGTTTAAAAGTGATTCGGTATTAAAGCTTAGCTCAGTATTGGCAAGGGTGTTAATTGCGGTGCATGTAATCACGCGATGGGTTCTTTTATGTAGGATTATCCGATTAAATGGTGAATAATATCAGATAAAACACAAGACATGTTCTATCATTAACTCGTATGTGGTGGGTTCAAAGAGCGAAATAAAATAACTTAAGAATGTAATAAAATAAATGAAATTTTCAAACAAAATTTACAAAATATGTAAGGTTTGTAATCAGAAGTATGATGGGCACACTAGAAGATCAATAACGTCTTGATTCAAAAAGCATAGTGTATATGGTAGTGAAGATAAATTTTGTATTTATTAAAATACTTTTTTTACAAATGACAATAATTAGTTGTATATGAGAACATAAAAATAAATTTAATAACAATATGAACAGAGATAATCGACGCATTGACGAACTGCATCGACGACCTCATCAGCACGTTGTGAGTATGGGGCTTCAGTGATACATTTGAGGCGAAATTTTCAAAATTAACAACTATATCGGTCCAAGATTTCCAACCAATATTAATTTGATTTCTTAATTTTCATTGTCTACTGTTTCCGAATAAATGTTTATCATTTTATCTGCATACAGATTCCATTTAAAATAGCAAGTTAAATATGTCAGACCTGTATCCCATTTTGACCTGAGGTGTCCCATTTTAGTTGAAATCATAATATGGTATCTCCGTTATTCGTGAAGATAGAAGGGTGCGGTTTGCACAAACCTGTGCCACTTTTTTGTCAAACGGAAAATGCCGGAAACAAAATTTTCATAGCTCTCTTCGTTTCTCAGTTACAGGGTCTTGTTGAAAATTTTGCAATTGGGGCACCCCCTGTATCTCTGTCATTTTTAAAGATATCGAGAAGGTGAAAACAGTTTATTGTAGAACTTCTTGCGTAGAATACAGTTGCGTGGTCTGTTATTCTACTAAAAGAATATTTTGAAAGTTATGAACTAAAGTTAGGTTTTATTAAATGGAACACCCTGTGTATTTATAAATTATATGATATGGCTTGCCATAAGCTTCCCAAAAATATATATCACTCTATATTTATTTTCACTATTTACTGCAATATTAAAAAAAATATTAAAAGATCATATTTATTAGTAGGCCATGATTGACAATAAAAGAAACTAAAGAATTATTAAAATTATATACTGCTATCTGTCTTTCGTTTTATTTTGAGAGCCACTAATAAATTCTTTATATATTAGGGAAACTTAACTGTCTACCGCTATTTGTAAATCTTTGAAGCTATCGTATCGGAACTTTTAAATATTCCTTTAGCTAATTTATGTGAAATATACTTTCAGCAACTTTAGTTCATATTTTCAAAAATATGTTTTTCTTAGAAAAACAGAATATATTTAATAATTTCCAATCCTGTGAATAAAAATGCTGTTGTCCCATAAAAAATATTTATATGGCATAACAACGTTTGCCGGTTCAGCTAGTATTGCTATAAATCTTTCTTTACTTTAACATTAGTAGTGAAATTTAAAGTAAATCGATACTATTTATATTACGTAAAATACTTTTCCATTTAACGTTCGTTTCAGTATAATCGGGGGTGTTAAATGCGAGAGAATAAAATCACGCAAAGTTCGCTCATGTGGGATTACCCTAATTAGAGTGACGATTAAATCGTGCGTACTATTCGATGGGATATCGCCTAGAGAATTTTTCGCTGATAAAGCTGCAAATTGGATTACTAAACTAAAAGTAAAATATACAGAGTGTCCTATTTTAGTTGCAATGGATTGAACTTTTGCGCTTAATGAAGAGTAAATAGAGAAGTATGTGGTTTTCATGTTTATCATTTCCAGCAGCGGGTGATTCGTGACTTGATTTAGGCATATCTCGAGCGTAATAAATTTTCATTGTTTAACGCTAACTAGTCAGCTTGGCGCTGCTTCTGACATATATCTAATGTTCTTCTTGTCTGATGCGTTATGATGACAGTCTTATTCATGGCCTTTGTAAATAATTTCCCATCATGATCTTTCAATTTAAAAAAAGAGAGGAAGACCCAAAAAGACATGAAAGAAAGGGGTAAGAAAATTCTTGAGTGAATTTCTTTGCAAAAGATCAATGGAAAACTCACAGAAGTGACACATTTTTGGCAAGGAGATAAGTCACACAACTTGTCGCCCTGGGTAGTCCCAGCTAATTCTTTACTTGAAAAATCTAACCTAACCTAACCTAACTTGAACAAGTCATATCATAACATCTAAAGAGTTTCCTCTTTGTTAAAGAAACATCCTTTGCCTTGAGGTTTAGAATAAAATCAAAATTTCTTTTCAAAAAATCCTTCAAGCAAACATATATATTACTCTGGCGGGACCCCACGAACAGCAGACATTAATCCTACTCAATGGGAAGGTCTGTTTCCAGCAGCGACCGATTCGCGACTTGATTTAGGCATATCTCGAGCGTAATAAATTTCCGATTGTTTAACGCTAACTAATCAGCTTCGTGCGGCTTCTGATATATCTAATCTTGTTTTTGCGTGATGCCTTGGTCTTATTCCCGGCAATTTTAAATAATTTCATATCGTCATCATTCAATTTAAATGAGAGGGGGAGGCCCAAGAAGATATAAAAGGAAGGAGTAAGAAAAATGATGAGTGAAAATTATTTTACAAAAGATCAATGAGAAACTTACAGAAATGACTCATTTTTCTCAAGATGAGAAGTCATACAATTTGTCGCCAGCTAACTTTTTATTTAAGTAATCTAGAATACCTCATTTTCCTTTGAAAAAGTTTAAAATTTATTCGAAAAATATACCAAATTGAACAAGTCAGATCGTGGCATCTAAATAGTTTCATATTTGTTAAAGAAGCATCCTTTGTTTAAGTTTTGAGGACATAGTATCAAGATTTCTTTTTAAAAAAATCTTTTAAGCAAACAGACATATTACGCTTGAAAAACCCCACAAACATCAGACATTAATCCCAGTCAGTGAGAAGGTCTATTTCCAGCAGCGAGCGATTCGCGACTTGATTTAGGCATATCTCGAGCGTAATAAATTTCCACTGTTTAACGCTAACTAATCAGCTTCGCGTGGCTTCTGACATATATCTAATATTGTTTTTGCGTGATGCCTTGCTCTTATTCCCGGCAATTTTAAATAATTTCATATCGTCATCATTCAATTTAAATGAGAGGGGGAGGCCCAAAAAGATATAAAAGGAAGGAGTAAGAAAAATGATTTTGAGTGAAAATTATTTTACAAAAGATCAATGAGAAACTTACAGAAATTACTCATTTTGCTCAAGATGAGAAGTCATACAATTTGTCGCCCTTGGTAGTTCCAGCTAACTTTTTATTTAAGTAATCTAGAATACCTCATTTTTCTTTGGAAAAGTTTAAAATGTATTCGAAAAATATACCAACTTGAACAAGTCAGATAGTTTCCTATTTGTATCTAAATAGTTTTCTATTTGTTAAAGAAACATCCTTTGTTACGTTTTAGGACATAGTATCAAGAGATTTCTTTTTAAAAAAAATCTTTTAAGCAAACAGATATATTACGCTTGAAGGACCCCACGAACATCAGACATTAATCCCAGTCATTTGGAAGGTCTATTTCCAGCAGCGAGCGATTCGCGACTTGTTTTGGGCATATCTCAGGCGTA